GTCCTTGTCTCAGCGGAAGAGAGCTCGTCCGGGATTTCTGGATATCGTACACTAAGAACGCTTCCTCCACATTGCCCCACGGTATGGTTGCAGAGAGTTGGCTGACATCAATCTCGTTCATGTCGTCTAGCCAGGTGAGTATGTGCGCGTGAAGAGTGCCCCTCTTTTGAAACTCAAAGCGATAAAAATAGTTGGTGACATTGTTCGCAGAGGGGTCACTCTTCTTAGCAAGCAGGTGGTTCTTCCATCGGTTTGTGTTGCTTCCACATAAATAGCCACGGATGTACTGTTCCAGCACGTGCGCGATGTGGATCGTTTCGGGTATTGCTAGTTCCGTCGCACCTTTGCCCGTCTGGTTGCGGAGATGGTCTAACCAGGGCGGAAACGGGAAACTCCATTCAAAGGGAGAAATGGTAATGAACATGGAGGGGAACCCGAGTTGGCGGACGGCATCGATCAGGTAACGGTGCTGGTTGCTCCAGTACTGGTGGCTGAACGTCTTGGCCTCTAAGGCAGTGGCGGGTGAACATTGAGCTTGTTTCGCGGAGTTGATCGCTCCGGTGATTGTCTTGAACAACCAACGATCATAATGGTAATGCAGGAGATCGTAGTTGATGGCATAATCGCAGATAGGAGACGCGATTTTCGTCATGAAAGAGACCTTGCCGCTCTTGCGAGTTTCTTGCCCCTCGAGGAAAGACTCACACGGGCTATTGTCGTGGTACAGGTGCGGCCATAGTGCAGCCTCAACCCCGTGGAACGATTCATGCGAAAATAGTTCAAATATCCAGGGCTCGCGGGCGTGATTCCGGTGCATCATGATGAACTTCTTGTACGAACAATTTCTCTTCTTCATTAAGTACTCGAAGGCAGCTCTCGTCCGTCTCCTCGACACTGGATCCCTGATGTTGCGTATTTTGACCTCAACGTCCTCCTGCGCCCATTTGATTTTGAATGGCTCTTCGCGCACTCTGTAGCCGAACATCATGCGATTGTATCGGCCAGAGAATGCGCGAAAAGGACGCAGGGCATAGATGTCATCCACGGTGAGATTCTGGAGAACCGCTGGCACTTTCGTAGGATGTGGCACCTTGTATCGGCCACCGCTGCAGGTACATGACGTGGAACTGGTGGGCTTCGCTCGCTTGCGGTAGCCAGGCAGAAGCTTCTTGGATTGCAAGGATCCACACCGTGTGCAGTATGCCCAGCTCCCGTGTTCGGCCCAGAATCTCAGGTCATTGGCTAGGTCTGTAAAGACACATTTCGTCCTGGTTGAGTGAGTGGGCGTTCTAAAAGCTCGCAGAAAATCTTCTTTACGCGTTGCACGCTTCCGCAGACGTTCAGCGCGGCGACCAGCTCTAGTTTCATTCAGCTGACGTACATTGGTGCAACGTAAAACGAGACGTGACGGACGTTGTCGCCAGTATCTTTCGCTCGACTCCTTGCTCCATTTCGGCCGAGGCATTTCTGAGAACCGAATAGAGATACGCGCTGTAGAAGGTTTGCAACATCAACAAAGATACACACAATATGGCGACTATCTGAACGGGCTGTATTTTCATTGTTTTAACCAAGTGTTAACGTGAAAAATGTTCTGCCAAAGCTGCGGCCAACAAGTTTTAGATGAATATTTGTACTGCTTTGAGCGTGGAACCAAGCTAGACACTGCTATACCTTCTGTTAGGCTATTATTATCAGCTGAAAACGTGACCGAGAAAGAAGCAATAGAGGCTTACTTTTATAGTGGGTTCAGTTACAGGGTTATTCTACTCTTCCTTGACAAGTACCATGACATGCCAATGTCTATGTCAATATTGAAAAGGTTATGTGAATACAACCTTAAAGGGAATAAAGTGGATATAAATTTGCCTGCCGTTGAGAAATTAATCCGAGACGAGATGGATGGCCCAGGAGGCATTTGTGCTTACAGAGCAGTTTGGCATATGCTTCGTATAAATTATGGGCTGTTTGTCCCAAGGCAAGAGGTAGACTCCCTGATCAGAACAATAGACCCAGCTGGAGTGGAAGAGATCTCAGGATCTCAGGATGTAGGACTGTTGTGGTAATCAAACCTTCTTCAACATCCTCAAGGTAATGTGTAAAGTTAAAGGCTATAGCTTCCTCCTTAGCACGTTTGTTACTTCCTTCCACACTAAAGACACACTGAAACTGATTATCAACAACCTCAGCAGTCAGCTTCTCATGTTCATAATATTGTAAGAGCTTGCGGGATTGGTTAGGACTTTCTGATCACATCCAAGACTCCATTCGTTGCCAACCCTTTGACAAACTGGTCAATGTCAGTCTGTGTACATAAAATGAGATGGTGTAAGCAGATGCACCTGATAAATTCATCTTTGTCTTCCAAAGTTACAATGGGCTTTGTGTATCCTGCTTTGAATCTTAGTGGTGTGTTGAAGGATGCTTCTTGCTCAAATCTCTCACGATCACCGATTGCTTCAAGCTCCTCTAATGTTGTCTTCACTTTTTCACTGGGCAGGTCACTGACTGACACTGAGACTGAATCTAGTTTGCCATACACGATGTAGTCTACAACAGGAGTAGCAAACATTACAGGACCAGGTGAACCTTGAAGCACTGAAAGAGCTGAAATAATGCCATAATGAAGATATTCCTCCCTCTGAAGAGCCATTACATTGTGAACAAACCTACGGTTACTAGGAGGTCCTGTGAACAGACTTCATGACTGTTGCATGTGTTTGTGAACCAGGAAAAAAAACTCTTTGCGAGGTCCTCCCTCGTCTCCTGCAGGTTCTCCAATAAATTAGACTGTTACAATACCATTCAAGCAATCATGGTTTATCCTTTTGATTTTTGCCAGAGTATCCTCCCACAGGCAACTTCTTCTTACTTTTAGCCTTATCTTTTTTCCTGAGTTGCTACATTTCTGGAATAGCTCTTTCAATTTCTCACATAAACTCTGCTGGTCCTCAATTTCATGCTCTGCACTTTCATCAGTTTTAGAAAATTCAGACTCCTCCCCACCAAAGATAATGTCATTTTCAGAATCATAGAGGTCATTACTAAAATCTACGTCAATGACAGAAGCATATGATCGAAGCGAGTCATGCAATCCTCCATTTGCATTCTCGCAGAGTGTGGCAATAGCTGTTTCAATGTCTTGGCTGCTGCTGAAAACATCAAATATCTTCTTTTCAGGGAGCTGTGGAAAGATTTCTTCGAGTGTTTCAAATCCAGAGCTGTTACATGCTGTAGTAGAATATGAACCAGAAGATGAACTACCAAGAAGAGAGGTGGGTATATCACTTGTTGTGAAAGGATCAGAAGGGCTAGTTGCAATATAAGAACCAGGTTTAACAGAAACAGAGTTTGCATCTGATGCTTTAACAGTTCTGGTTGTCTTAGCAAAGCCAGTGTCAGTGTACTTGGTTATTTTTGTTTGCGTTGGTTCACTTAGGTCTTCAGAATCCTTGTCACTGTCATTCTTGTCGTCTCCATCATAAGAAATTGTGTCCGCAAAACCTTTGAAACTATGATCATAGTAATCTGATGAAGAACAAAGATAAAATGTTATCCTGTTGTATGGTTTACCCAGTTCAGCTTTATATTCTTGTAAGGTGAATGCTTGGTCGGATTCTCTAAGTTTATTTACTTCTATCCCGTCTGGGTACAGCAATTGTAGGCCAAAGGAGAGCTATAAGTAATTTCATTAGCATTATGCTTCGAGTGCTTTGCTACTGCTATCTTTAATAGCTCCTTCCCGTCGGCTGTTCTACCAATTCTTACAGGAAGAGATTTGCCTCGTTAGGGCTTGAGCATATTTTCCTCTTCAATATATCGCATGATGCCAATGTTGACAGTTACAGGTGGGTCTTCTTTCTCAGTCATCCTCTTAGTCTTCTTGTTATTTTTTTTGAAGTGCGACTTTCTGTCTTCTTTTTGCTGCGGAGCGACCGAAGGGAGCGAGCAGCAACATAATCAGGATTTAAAGGAAATATATAAGGGGCGACGAATTCTCGAATTCATCACTTTTTACCACAATGCATTGCATTTAACCACACTTTTTACCACAATGCATTGCATTTAACCAGAGTGCATTGCGCCACGAACAACTCAAATAAAAACACGGGGAAGTTCGGTGGGTGAGAGCATCATTCGCTGCTCAGACTTAGAGTTTTCTTCGTGGCAAATTTTCTACAGCACGGTTAGCGGTCTTACCAAATTTTAAGACACGCAGGAGTCTTTCAGATGAGTACGATGGTTAACTTGGGGTTTGGATTTCAATTCAAGAGCCTTTTTTGCTCTTCGACTCCGCAACACGGCGGATATACAAATTCCAGCTTGCTAGAAGGTGATGTGAAAGTGAGAAAATGTCATGCAATGCTATTCTTAAGAAACTGCATGAGCCGAAAATGGATGTGATTTTGACCATTCGCTTCAAAATAACAGCGGAAATCGAGATAACAAAACATATGTTTTGTGTCCTACTTTGCAGACGAGGACGTGTATCACCACAGGTTAATAAGGTACAGCGTATATGTCAGTGTTATCTATTATATGGATCTAATGAGAAGTTTTACATTTACTTTAACAAGTTTAAAACCAACTTGCATTTTATTGCCAAATCAGATATCATATTTTTACCTTGTCACCATTAGGCACAGAGGGCTAGGCCAATTCTTGGGAAACAGGAGTAGGTCACCACTTTTTTAATCTTATCACCATTAAGTGCCCGCCAGTTCTTGGGGTAGGAGAGTAGGTCACCACATTTTTACTCTTGTCACCATTTAGCACAGAGGGCTGGGCCAGTTCATGGGGGAAGGGAGTAGGTCACCACAATTGTACCCTTGTCACCATTTAGCACAGAGGTCTGGGCCAGTTCATGGGGAAAAAAAGTAGGTCACCACATCTTTACCCTTGTCACCATTTAGCACTGAGGGCTGGGCAAGTTCATGAGGACAAGAGTTCATCTTTAGAATGGCAGGAACTGGCCCAGTGACCTCTCTTCGCACATCAAAAACACAAATCGGAGCCTCTGAAAATGTTTCCCAAGTATCGACCTTGGGGATGAAAATAACTAGCATAAGGAGGAAAGAAGAAACGCGACAGACTTTAAACCTGGAAGCATTGCTTGGCGAAGGCGCAGAAGTCGAAAATTTGGCGTTGGTACTTCTCTTCTTCTCTTGGAAGGATTTGAACTTAGCTGCCGCTCTTTTCTCAGCCTTTGTGATTTTGGAGACGTCAGCTTCATCATCGACCAAGTCGTCACAGACGTGTTCTTGAACAGTGGCCCAACCAAATTCAGATTTGTCCGCTAATTTAATAATTTTCTGTCGGTTAGTAAGTAAGGAAATACCTTCATTCAGCTCCTCCTTCGCTTTGCCAATGTTTCCACTCTCCAAAGCCTTGACCACCGCAGTACTGGTCCTGATCACCTTTCGGTTGAAGTTAAACTGTTGCTCATTTCCTTTGTTCTTGAAGACATAGTTTTCTGGTTGAACCTCTGAAGCTATTTGCGATGCCAAGTCAGACTGAACTTAAAGCAAGTTACTTTGAGGGCCTTGAATTTGCGAATCTATGGTGGATAAAATAGCGTTTTTCCGTGCTTACCAGATGGCATGGAAACCGGGAGGAAAGGAAGAAGACGAAGAAGAGTCCTGCTCTTGATCATGCTCGGTCGGCATGAATCTGGCAAATCACTGAAATCAGGGGAAAGAGAGTAAGTCACCACATTTAAGGGAAACGTTTCCTCAGTGAAAGCCTACCCAGTACAGTGGAGGGGATGCTACACAGGTCATCACACATTAATAAGGTACAGTGTATATGTCAGTGTTATCTATTATATGGATCTAATGAGAAGTTGTACATGTACTTTAACAAGTTTAAAACCAACTTGCATTTTATTGCCAAATCAGATATCATATTTTTACCTTGTCACCATTAGGCACAGAGGGCTAGGCCAATTCTTGGGAAACAGGAGTAGGTCACCACTTTTTTAATCTTATCACCATTAAGTGCCCGCCAGTTCTTGGGGTAGGAGAGTAGGTCACCACATTTTTACCCTTGTCACCATTTAGCACAGAGGGCTGGGCCAGTTCATGGGGGAAGGGAGTAGGTCACCACAATTGTACCCTTGTCACCATTTAGCACAGAGGTCTGGGCCAGTTCATGGGGAAAAAAAGTAGGTCACCACATCTTTACCCTTGTCACCATTTAGCACTGAGGGCTGGGCAAGTTCATGGGGAAAGAGAGTAAGTCACCACATTTTTACCCTTGTCACCATTTAGCAGAGAGGGCTGGCCCAGTTCATGGGGGAAGGGAGTAGGTCACCACATTTTTTACCTGGTAACCATTTAGCACAGAGGGCTGGCCCAGTTCATGGGGGAAGGGAGTAGGTCACCACATTTTTTACCTGGTAACCATTTAGCACAGAGGGCTGGGCCAGTTCATGGGGGGAGGGAGTAGGTCACCAAATTTTACCCTTGTCACCATTTAGCATAGAGGGCTGGGCCAGTTCATGGGGGAAGGGAGTAGGTCACCACATTTTTTACCTGGTAACCATTTAGCACAGAGGGCTGGGCCAGTTCGTGGGGGAGGGAGTAGGTCACCACATTTTTACCCTTGTCACCATTTAGCACAGAGGGCTGGGCCAGTTCATGGGGGAAGGGAGTAGGTCACCACAATTGTACCCGTGTCACCATTTAGCACAGAGGGCTGGGTCACTTCATGGGGGAAGGAAGTAGGTCACCACAATTTTACCCTTGTCACCATTTATCACAGAGGGCTGGGCAAGTTCATGGGGGACGGGAGTAGGTCACCACAGTTGTACCCTTGTCACCATTTAGCACAGAGGTGTGGGCCAGTTCATGGGGAAGAGAAGTAGGTCACCACATTTTTTACTTGGTAACCATTTGGCACAGAGGGCTGGGCCAGTTAATGGGGAAAGGGAGTAGGTCACCACAATTCTACCCTTGTCACCATTTAACACACAGGTCTGGTCCAGTTCATGGGGAAAAGGAGTAGCTCACCAAAATTTTACCCTTGTCACCATTTAGCACAGAGGGCTGGGCAAGTTCATGGGGGAGGGAGTAGGTCACCAACATTTTACCCTTGTCACCATTTGGCAGAGAGGGATAGGCCAGTTCATGGGAGAAGGGAGGAGGTCACCACATTTTTACCCTTGTCACCATTTAGCACAGTGGGCTGGGCCAGTTCATGGGGGAAGGGAGTTGGTCACCACAATTGTACTCATGTCACCATTTAGCACACAGGTCTGGGCCAGTTCATGGGGGAAGGGAGTAGGTCACCACATTTTTACCCTTGTCACCATTTAGCACAGAGGGCTAGGCCAGTTCGTGGGGGAACAGAGTTTACCTTGTCACCATATAGGACAGAGGGCGTGGTCAGTTTACGGAAGAAGGGAGTAGGTCACCACATTTTTAAACTTGTCACCCTTAAGCACATAGGGCTTGCCCAGTTTTTGGGGGAGGGAAGTAGGTCACCACATTTTTTACCTGGTCACTATTTAGCACAGAGGGCTTGGCCAGTTCATTGTGGAGGGGAGTAGGTCACCACATTTTTAACCTCTTTGCAGTTACTTCACATTCGGTTACATTTTAAGACATGTGTTGACTACACTTACAACTGAAATAATATTTTTAAATTGCTTATTTTTGCAGATGGGGTTTTTTTGCGTTTTGAAAAGATGGGAAAGAGGAAAATAATGCAGCGAGTTGACAATGACAGGTGAGATCTTTTTTATCTGTTTGTAGTTTCTCAAATATACCAACTGTACACGACAGGACAACTGAATACTGTCAACAACTATACACAACTGGACTACTGAATACAGTCAACAGTGGTACACAACTGACTACTGAATACAGTCAACAAGCATACCCATCTAAACAATTGGATACAGTCAACAACCGTGCACAACTGAACAACAAACGAACAACTAAATACACTGAACAAATGTATACAACAACAGTGTAAACAACCCTACAGAACGGGACAACTGAATACAGTCAACAACTGTTAAAAGAAAAAAGAGCTAGTCACACAAAGCTAAGCAACATGGGAGAGAACATAGTAAGATTACCCCTTTGGAATAAGACAGACGAACAACTTCGACAAAACATAACAGCTTTGGTAATCTTTGCCCCTGTTTCTGAGGCAACGCTTGCGTGGCCTCGTGGATCAGTTCACTCTCCTTAAATTACACACATGTCGGCTGCTGTTTCCCTGTCGTTTTGTAACTTAGTTTGAATGACTTATTGAGGTGGTTTAGCTCCCGGCTGAACCTTCGTTGGCGGGCTGTTTTGCTGTAAGAATCCCTATTCAAAAATAGTTTATGGGGGTAGAATACATTAATGGATGTTTTTTGTGACCAGGTATCTTTGAACATCATGGAAATGGTGACCATCGGAAGGAAGAGAAGAATTCTTGTGAAAAAAGGTGAGTTTATTTAGTAGCAATCACCGGGTGATAACTTATGACTAAACAGAACAGCATTCACTGAGCTTCTGTGTAGATTTTCCATAAGTGAAAAGGGAAATGCTAAAAACCATTAAGACTGATGCAGATGCAGTTAACTGTAGTGTCGTGGGAGAGGAATTTCTTTTGTAAAAAATAAGAGGAAAAGAGTCAGAGAAAACATAGCTACTTTGTTAATCTCTTTCTCAGGCAACACTTGCGTAGCCTAGTGGGTAAGTTCGCTTTCTTTAAATTTAACACATGTTGGCCGCTTCTTCCCTGTCGTTGTTTAATTTAGTTTGGATGACTTATTGAGGTGGTTTAGCTCCCGGTTGAACCTCTGTTGTCGGGCCATTTTACTTTTTTTCCTCAAGTTCCTAGAAAAATTTTGACTTTTAATTTTTGTTTGCCTATTTTTTTCTTCTTTTTAACCAGCAAGAGAGTTCTAATATTTTAGACTCTTTTCTTGGTTAAAGAAGAAGAAAAAAAAGGCGAAAAAAAATTTAAGTCGCAGTTTTTTCTAAGAATTTGAAGAAAAAAAAAATAAAATGGCCCGACAACGGGGGTTCAACCGGGGGCTGAACCCCCTCATTAAGTCACCCAAATTAAATTAAACGGCGGCAGGGGGGAAGCGGCCGCCTTGTGTTTAATTTAAAGAAAGTGAGCTTATCCACTAGGCCACGCAAGCGTTGCCTGAGAAAGAGGAGCAAAATTAACCTAGAAATACGTACAGGGTCTATTGTTCTCATTGAATAACGTTGATTACTCTTAATTTATTCACATCCCGTGCGGAATGTCAGTGCCTAAAGAATATTCAGTGGTAAACAGCATGTAATATAAGCCAAATGAGTTGACTTGAATTTTCTCTTTTCTCTTTCTAGTGATCCACACGGCTACATGAGAAGAACAGATTTACACGGTTCTTTTTAGGAAATCATAAAGAAAAGAAATAAAGTTAACTTTATTGTTGTTTCATCGAAGATAGGATAAACGAGTAAGTATTTGAACAATTTATTGACAATGTTAACTACTATTTGAATACTGTATGAAAGTACTGAAGTTTACAGTTGATGTTCACTACTTTCATGCAGTATTCTGACACTAGGTTATTGTCAACAGTTGTTCAAAGACTTTCTTGTTTATTCTTGACACAATTGTTCACTTTCAAATACTATAGTGTTCTACACTTAGTCAAAACTTTAGATCGAATTTCAAATACTATAGTGTTCTACACTTAGTCAAAATTCTAGATCACTTTCAAATACTATAGTGTTCTACACTCAGTCAAAATTCTAGATCGAATTTCAAATACTATAGTGTTCTACACTCAGTCAAAACTTTAGATCACTTTCAAATACTATAGTGTTCTACACTTAGTCAAAATTCTAGATCGACTTTCAAATACTATAGTGTTCTACACTCAGTCAAAATTCTAGTTCGAATTTCAAATACTATAGTGTTCTACACTCAGTCAAAATTCTAGATCGAATTTCAAATACTATAGTGTTCTACACTCAGTCAAAACTTTAGATCACTTTCAAATACTATAGTGTTCTACACAGTCAAAATTCTAGATCGAATTTCAAATACTATAGTGTTCTACACAGTCAAAATTCTAGTTCGAATTTCAAATACTATAGTGTTCTACACAGTCAAAATTCTAGTTCGAATTTCAAATACTATAGTGTTCTACACAGTCAAAATTCTAGATCGAATTTCAAATACTATAGTGTTCTACACAGTCAATTCTAGATCGAATTTCAAATACTATAGTGTTCTACACAGTCAAAATTCTAGTTCGAATTTCAAATACTATAGTGTTCAAAATTCTAGATCGAATTTCAAATACTATAGTGTTCTACACTCAGTCAAAATTCTAGTTAGAATTTCAAATACTATAGTGTTCTACACTCAGTCAAAATTCTAGATCGAATTTCAAATACTATAGTGTTCTACACTCAGTCAAAACTTTAGATCACTTTCAAATACTATAGTGTTCTACACTTAGTCAAAACTTTAGATCACTTTCAAATACTATAGTGTTCTACACTCAGTCAAAATTCTAGATCGAATTTCAAATACTATAGTGTTCTACACTTAGACAAAACTTTAGATCACTTTCAAATACTATAGTGTTCTACACTTAGACAAAACGTTAGATCACTTTCAAAAAGTGTTTACACTAGTTCGAATTTCAAATACTAGACAAAACTTTAGTAGTGTTCTACAGTCAAAATTTAGAGAATTTCAAATCAACATTCTAGTTTACACTCAGTCAAAATTCTAGTTCGAATTTCAAATACTATAGTATTCTACACTTAGTCAAAATTCTAGTTTACTCTCAAATAGTACTATACTATTCGACACTTCAATAAAGTAGTCAAAATCTTGAACATGTCTCAAACTTTATTAACACTTCACAACGCTTTTCGTCTACACTATCCACACTGTAAATAGGTTTCTGGAGCGATTGAGTCTTCACAACACTGCACCTGAAAATAATTCAAAATAGGAACTTTGTAAAAGCGTACAAAAACATAAACTCACTTGTACACTATACTTCGTCATATTCTTTACAAAAACGTGGTCTGAATAACACATCGTTTTGGAATATTTAAGTTGTTTTGCACGCGTTATGAATGGATAATGACTAATAAACATGATCACCGAAGAAAAAAAATCTACCGAGGCACTCAATTGCTCTTCAAAAACTTCTAATCTTATACAACCAGCTGGTTTAAAATCCCTCTCTCCTTAAATGTTTTGACACAGAAACTAGCTTGCGATCCAGTTAAAGTCGCGAATATTCAAGAACGTTGTTTTAGGATTTTGTTTTGTAAATAAGAAAACATTCCACACGAGAAATGAATAAATTATGACTAATCAACAAGATTCACTGAAAACAATAGACCCTGTACGTATTTCTAGGTTAATTTTGCACCTCTCTCTCAGGCAACGCTTGCGTGGCCTAGTGGATAAGCTCACTTTCTTTAAATTAAACACAAGGCGGCCGCTTCCCCCCTGCCGCCGTTTAATTTAATTTGGGTGACTTATTGAGGGGGTTCAGCCCCCGGTTGAACCCCCGTTGTCGGGCCATTTTACTTTTTTTTCTTCAAATTCTTAGAAAAAACTTCGACTTAAAATTTTTTTTGCGCCTTTTTTTCTTCTTCTTTAAGCAAGAAAAGAGTCTAAAATATTAGAACTCTCTTGCTGGTTAAAACAAAGAAAAAAATAGGCAAAAAAAATTAAAAGTCAAAATTTTTGTGGGAACTTGAAGGAAAAAAAGTAAAATGACCCGACAACGGAGGTTCAACCGGGAGCTAAACCACCTCAATAAGTCATCCAAACTAAATTAAACAACGACATGGAAGAAGCGGCCAACATGTGTTTAATTTAAAGAAAGCGAACTTACCCACTTGGCCACGCAAGCGTTGCCCGAGAAAGAGATTCAAGATTAACAAAGTAGCTATGTTTTCTCTGACTCTTTTCCTCTTATGTTGTACAAGAGAAATTCCTCTCCCATGACACTAGAGCTTAACTGCATCTGCATCAGTCTAAATGTTTTTAGCATTTCCCTTTTCACTTATGGAAAATCTACACAAGCTCAGTGAATAAACTCACCTTTTTCAGAAGAATTCTTCTCGTCCTTCTGATGGCCACCATTTCCATGATGTTCGAAGATACCTGTTCACAAAAACACACCCATTAATGTATTTAGGGATTATATAGGGATTCTTACAATAAATACATCACAAGAAAAAAATTCCTACGAAATCGCCAGAGTAATAATTGAATCCGAAAGAAAGGACCCCTAAGGCTGATTTTTTTTTCTTGTTTGTGGTCAATGATTGGAAGTCAATTAAGAAAAGAGCTACGAATTTTTTCCTGTCCTAACTGCCATCTAAGAGTATGTGCACGTTCATATTTAGTACTGAATCACACTTACTTTCAAGCTCTGACTGAAATGTTTTTTCAAGTTTTTTTTTTACTATTCTAAGTAACATAACATCAACAGCAATAAGGGTTAGTAAAATACTTTTTTTCTACAGTAAGCAACGAGTACTTGAAATTGTTTCAATGGCAAGGAATGGTGTGAATTAGTTAGACATTAAAGTCCAAATATATCCACCACCAGTAATGAGGCAAACATGACGCCGTGAATAGCGAACAGTTACCATTTAATGACAACAACTCAGTTAAAATAACATGGCCAGCAAGAGCATGAAAGAACAACGACAACACAGAAAGCACATCCTCGCCTAACAAAGCCTGCAGGTGCATCACCCTTTTTAAGCAAACAAACGAGCAAAAAGTATCCTAGAAATATCAACAGCTCCATCCACATTAAGTAGCAGATTGTCTCACAGTTCAAAAAGTCCATGAAGACTGGAGCAACTAGTACAGAATGTAGTCTTGTAGGTGGTGTGGGGGCCTTGCGACAGCGGGGATTGGTGTCTTGGGTGATGTCAGCTGCACGGGGAAGGCGAGGTAGATGTAGGAGCCAGAGAATGGGGGTAGCTTGTTACATCTGGAGGAAAGGCTTGTGGGTAGTTGGGTTGCAATGAAAGGAGTCTGAAGAGTCTGGACTTCGTGACCAAAGTAGCTCAGATAGATTGGCGAGTGGCTAAACAACAGAGAAGAGATGCAAGGGTAGAGCCGAAGTCACCTTCATCGTAAGCATGGGAAACTGATAAGCTCTCCACGGGTATGACATGACGAATACACCGTAACACTCAGATAATTTAATTTTGTACAATGTGGTGGAGTTGGGAACCAGTGAATTTCTTAATGAAACACCACTCTCTATTGATGTGGGCAATGGTGTACCTTGTGCAAGCGTGTGACGCATACCAGTCAGATTTCATGTATACTACCTCCAAGTTATAGAGGAGCCGAAGGCTTCAATGAGTCATGGCATCCTTTAGCGATTGGTGTACTGCATGTTGGACACAGGTACTTGCTCATGAGTGAACTGGTTGTATTGCTTCAAATGTCACAGCGAAGGCCTTGGATGTGAAGTCGAGAGTTTAAATGGACTGTGGCTACACCAAGCCATAGTTCAGCAACATGGCTGCCACCAGGCTTTTGGCGCAAGAGACCCGTTTTAAAGTACTGCCTTTTCAGCAACAAGATTTTCTTGATGGTTCAACGTGGCCGACTTCAATGGGAAAACCAAGGTTTAGTAGTGCACTGCTGTACATTTGCAAGACAAATCCAGGTGCAGGGTCAACATGTTTAATCCTCGTTGGGACCATCCAAGTGGTATAAGCCTATGACCAGTCAGGCAAGGGTGTCACAAAGAAGTGTCACTTTTATCATCAGGTACTATGCATGATGCAGTGAGGAAGGTTGTACATTCTCTCAAGTAGGACGGAGACACCGGCCGCAAATGACACACCTACAACTTCATGTGGATCACCTGACGACTGGTTGGTGAGGGTGTGTTGGAACTTTTAGAGGCACCGGTGTGGCAGGAATCTGACACGCAAGTGATGGCGGTGCTCTGAAGGCTAGTGAAACTTCCTTTAAAGGGCGATAAGAAATCCATCAAGAATGTACCATGGTACCACGATCAATTCAGTGGGGGCGACAGTAGTTGCTGACGTTGTAAGACTAACCATCGTTAGAAATCAAAGCAATGTTCAGATACTGCTTTACGTCTTTGATAGACGGTGGTCGTTTCAAGTGGGCACAGATGCAGCATAAATCAGGCCTGATGGTTAAAAGTAGACGCCTGCCATTCTCTAATATGTCTTCGACAAACACATTGGGTATGACGACAGAATTCTCAGTTTCGAGAATGAAGGAGCAGATGACACAAAGCGGCACTTTTCAGGCAGAAGTGTTTTGACTGGCAAAGTCAGAGGGTAAATTTGCACTGCCTGCATGGTGTTGCAAACTAAGTTGATATCTACTGAGAGCGATAAGGACGGAGGTAGTGCGGGGGCCGGCAGAAAACTCTCCTCGGCATAGAATAGGACGGTTGTACATTTCCACAACCTGAGTAGTAGTCATCTTCATTTTCAAAGAGTTGTATCATGTCAGAAATTAAACTCTGGTTAATGACCTGATTGGTCAATTAAGTTGAATAGTCAGTTCAAGTTGTTGGTTGTCTAATCATTCTGTTGTTATCAGCTTTGCTTGAGTCGATGTGTCAATAAGTCGTTTGTACAGTGCTGGTAATGTTGACTAGAATTCAGTGGCATTTTGTTCAAAGTTAGTAAACCAGCTTTCTAAAATACTGGTAAGTCGTTAGTAAAAAACTGTAAAACATGTTAAGTATGTCGCAGAGTCCCAGTCGATTTGATGCTTCGTCTGTAAATGGTGTTCTACCAATATGAGTGGCCTGGCAGTCGCAGCATTTGATCTTGTATACTGCACCCTGTCTGTCCTCAGGTCTATCTTTGTCCTTGACATTAGTTAGCAGTTGCCGCAAAGTGGTTATTGGTTTGTGTGCAATGCATATGTTGTAAGGTGTGATAGGTTCAGATGTGCCTCTGATGTACTGCAAGTCACTGTTGTAAAAGGGCAAGAATCAACATTACTCCGAGTGTTGGAGTTGGCATCACCGAGAGTGTTCCGTTTAACATAGTCCACGTTGTATTTGCTTTTAATAAAAATGTTATTTAGGTAGTCAGTCTGTGTTGTTGTCGCCTTGTGAGACGTCAAGTTGTTGGACGACTGCTTTAGGAATCTATTGCATGTATACCACGACCTTACAACATCCACCTTGCACACAAACAGAAAATACAGCTCACTCTGACTCTGAAAATTCAGGACTAAGATCACCCAGACGATCATGCTCCACCTACTCATATAGTTCTGCCAAGACCGCATTTAGTTACTGAACCATCAGTCACAATCCAAAGTTGGTTGGATGGGTGTGGGAGCAGGGCAAGGTAGCACACGGCTAAAGACCTTGCAGGTGCCAATGAAGAAAGGTAGACCCTTGACAGACTCAGGAGGAGGACAGCCAGTGAGTGCAGCGATACGAGAAGGGGCTAGCTGAGAGTACACCTTGCGAAAAAATTCCACCCACGATAGTCGTTGATTTGAGGCAAACAGACATCAGCAAGCTTTGCTGTAACATCCCTTCTGGATGAAGTTGCCCAGGACGCAACAATAATATTTCCACAGTAGTCTCTGAGCCAGGCATTCCCATGGATGACCTTTGTGTACACTCTGATGCCGCGAAATAGGGTGGCAACACCACAGTACTTCATGGTAACCTTGGATAGAAGTGTCTGGTAAAAGGCACACATGAGATCTGACTTGATTATGTACTTCCATGAAGCAATAGTGCAAAGGGTGGAGTCAACGTTTAGTTAACATCAACAAGGGATGAAGCTTGCTGCATCAACCGACTCTGGCAAAGGTGATAACAATATGAAATCCCCCAGATGGCTTTTTGGCAAGCAAGGATGGGGTTGAGGTACATGTATTCCACGTCGAGGAGGCTTGCGACCTTTTCTCAAGGTCTCACCGCATCCTGTTTGATGCTTCATAACTAGCTGTCGTGCAATATTATGACAAAGCCCCAAAGTGAAACAACATATCTAAAATAAAACTCAATTTTAGACTACGTTTTGTTGAAGCAGACACTCCCTTAGCAACAGAATAACAATGACATGAAATCAACAACTGGGAATTTTCTTGAAAGCTAGCAATAATCTGTTAAAATCCTCTACTGTTCTAATTGTTTAGACCGTTCTCTTTACTTTTCACCATTTTCCAATTTGATATATAACAATTTTGCGCTCTTTGAATAACTGAATCAAATGAAGCATTGTAAGAAGAATCACTCATAAGTGAAAGAAGCAGTGAGCCATGCTGTATGCAATAGCTATGCAGAAACAAACAAGAGTAGGCCTTTCCACAAGTTGCTCGTTAACTTTTTAGCAACTTCTCTTATTTCAAGCAACTTTTTTAGTTTCGAGCAACTTTTTGCATTCTGAGTAATTTCTCTAGTTATCTTCTAATTCTGAGATATCAGAGCAGCTTTTAGTGCTTAAATTGGCCCTTCTTCCATATTTCACAATATTTTAGTAGACAATTTATGTATTTCCCGTAAAAAAGGAGCCAAATCCTCCCCCAGATCAGGGGCACAAGATAAAGGTAGCCGCGCTGCTAGGTCAACGGTTTTTAGCGAAATTCACTCTCAACTGACTTTAGTGTCTCGGATGAAGAAGGTCAATCCGAAATTTTAATTGCAGACAAAGTTATTTAGCAGCGCTGGTTACGCCGCAAAATTGCACAAAAATGCTTAGAAATCTTACTTTTGTTGTACAATTTGCATACTTAAGCATCCGACCCAAAAAAGTTTTTGTTTTTTCGAGCAACGTTTGATCAACTTTCGTTACAAAAAGCAATTTTTGATTGTTTTCTGAGGAACTTTTGAACAACATGTTGAGACATTAAGGGAAACTTTTTGGAAAATCTCGAGCAACTTGTGGAAAGCACTAAGAAAGAGACATAACCCTAAACGGGTAAACTAGCAAATTATGGCCTTTACAAACCCAGGCACCAAGATTCATAATGAAATTGATTATATTTCAATAACTAAGAAATTTTTCCATAGCACTAAAATTTCACTAAAATGGTTAGCAATGATTTAACTCTCAAGGAACAAATTTTTAAACTGTGATTTGAAGACCACAGTTGACACCTTTTTGTGCTTACATGAGCAAATAAATCTTATGAGTAAGAGTAGCAAAATGCGTGATCACAAAGAGTGACTATTGAAAGAACTGAACTGCACCTAAAGCCAGGTATGTAAATATCGATTGTACTGGCATCATAAATCATCATTTATATGATCAAAACACAAAGTGTGAAAAAGACCTTTTTTGGGATGCAAAATTGTTAGGACATCATATTTTAAAAATGCTGCCAGAAACTTTTTTCAAATCTTGCCAAGGTAAAACAATGGGTAGAACTATAATAGCACTCTTGAGGATTTTAATGTTAGATTTTTTAACTTTGTGGCTTTTTTGCACATTCACTACAGCCAGAGTTATGAAACATCAAACATGAAGGGGTGAGACCTTCAAAAATAGATGTGAGCCTCCTTAATTCTGACATCCTCAGGACGACGGAAAACTTGGAATTGTTCCAGTTTGTCAAATTTGTCTTGCAAGGGTACTAGCTTGTCGCAGGAGTACTGTGTAATAGAGCCAAACTGACAGTGGCTTCAACAGGGCCAGCAGCGCTGTATATTCTGCAATAGTCAGATATAAGATATCTTCGTGGGCCTGCAGCACTTGAAGAAACTCGTTTGTACTCTGTCAGATACGATGTGGTCAGAGTCAACTGTGACTACGTCCAAAAAGAAACCAGACTGGTGTATTTGGCTCCAGCTGTAGCTGGGGGGAGTTAGGTGAGATGCCGCTGGAACAAATGTGGAGTCCATGGCCACGATGAGATGCAATTTACAGAGGTGTTTATGATGACGGATGGCTTGCAGTTTGTTGGTGTTGTTAGCTATGTGAACCTTGTTAGCCAAAGGCTTCAGTAATATAAGGTTGAGGCCAGAGCTGTAACCTTGGTGCTCTGGTTGGATAGTGTATCAGTACAGGCCTCTATAGCTACGGTGCAGTCAGGGCCTAATATGTCTCCTGGCTTCAAACTAAGTTATTGTCTTGCATTTCGCTAGAGACCACTATTTAGATGCAAGAGGATTCATGGCAGTATGGTGATAAAGAGAAGACGGATAATGAGTACTTTGCTTCAAGTTCTTGAGTGGAGTAACTGAAGGAACAGCTGGGAGCTGGGCTGCTTCACTATCTCCTCATATCAGCTGGCTTTCTCTTTGGACGAGATGTAGATACAAATGTCAGAGGCCGCCATGCCAGTAATGAGGAAAAGACGACCCGTGAATAGTGAACAGTTACAATAATATGGTCGCGAAGCACAAGAGAACAACAACGAAGCATAAGGCACATGCTCACCCCTAACAACGCTCGCTGACATAGTACTGAAAGAGTTACAATGGCAAGGAATGGTGTGAACTGGTTCAACATTAAAGCCCCACCATACCCATAGTTGTTTGTGCTAATCACTTTTCCTTACACTGGAGTACTACCTAGACACATAACACACTCTTAGCTCAATACCATTAACTTACCATATTGTCTTGTCCTCTTGGGCTGACAACTGATAAAAAAAGAAAGCTATATTAGGACAAAAAAGTTGATCATAGTTGTTTGCACAGCTTGGTATTCACCACTGAAGTTTATACCGTATCCACTTGCTATGAAGAGTATTGTATTTTTTTACCCGTGGAGAACTTAGGAGTTTCCTTGTTAAAACGTGTCTGTATGTTCTAGATGAAATTGGAATTTGGAAGTGTTGGTTTTTGAGGAGAGGTGAAAACTAGAGTACCTGGAGAAAAACCTCTCAGAGCAAAGGAGAGAACCAACAATAAACTCAACTCACACATGGTGTCGATGCCAAAATTCCAACATGGGCCATATTGGTGGGAGGTGAGTGCTCTCACCACTGCGCCTTCCATGCTCTGCGAGTACTCTCATGAGTGTGGATGCTACACTATACTTTCACTTGTTACAATCTATATGCACTGTTACTCTACGAGTTAAGATCTTTACGCATGGTTTCTATATCTAGTTGTTTTTTGGTGACTATGGACGTTGAATTGCATATTTGTTCATCAGTCTTTGTTTTTTTGCATTTATCTGTTAACTCATGGGAAATCTACATGCAAACAAAGTGAATGTTGTTCTGTTTAGTCAATGGAAATTCTAAACAAATAAACTCACACTTTTTTAAGTCGATTTCTTTTCCTCCTGAAGGCCACCATTTTCATGTTACAGGATATCTAATCGGATTAAAAAGCATTCAGTAAATTAAATGTGTTCATCTATATTACCCCAACATAATAATACATAATATACATCCCATAAGAAGGAACTATGTAAGTAATCACCAGAATAACTTAAGCTGAAAGAGGTGGTCTCAACGTTGTTTTTTTAATATCCTTTTTGTCACACCACTATTAATCTCTTTTTCATGAAAATCCCATGAAAATGTGTTGAAAACCGCATGAACCCACTTTTCATGGCCATGAAAGCAAAGATTTCAGCTTTCATGGTGTTAACATGAGTCATGACATTTCCAAGAAATTCTTAGCTGGTTATTTTTATTCATGAACCATGAAAAGTGTACAAAGCCATGAATAAAGATTTTCAAGGGTCATGAAAGTCACATATATTTTAGACTGATACATTTCATGACCCCGGCAAAATAACAGTGACAGTGACAGTGACAGCCCAGCATGTATTTCATGCGTCGTAAAAATTGTAATGGCCCATGAAAATGTAATTTCTCATAAAAGCATAATTAAAAAACCATGAAAATGCCAAACTCCCTCGCACAAAAGTGGATGATGTCATAGAATGATGTTGCACACAGTTCTCAATTTGTAGTTGTTCTTGCCAGATTTGCTTAAACTTAGGTCAATATTAGATGTTTGAGATGACACACACTGGTAAAAAAAAAAGTATTAAAAGCAGTACTTTGTTATAGTCCAAAGAAACTGCTTCATGGACTTCTGTTACTAAAACTTTGTTATACTGTATGCTTCAATCTTTTGTGCATTGTAATTTGTTTTGTTGCTGAAGACATAATATATTATGTTATCACCACTTGAAGACAATTTCCATTTGATTTTTAAGATATGGCAGATACTGTGAATCAGTGATGGACTATACCTTGTATGACCTTGCTGAGGCATTGAATGTTAAATTGAACAAATCATAGTGCAGTGAATTTAATACAAATATAATAGTTTCCGCCTAAGTCGTCATATAAGCTCTGGAGACTGAAGGTGTCGCTATTCTTATTCTCTGTCATCATATTATATTGAAACTTAAAAAAATGTGGGCACTGTCCACATAACATTTCAGAAACTTGGCTTTTGCATCCAGCTGGCTTAATTCTAGTGAAAACTGTGAGTATACTTGAAGTAGCATTTTAAAGTACAATTTGAGTTTGTGCTTAACCCATTCGCCCCTGAACCGCCTGTAACCACCCGTGCGGATCCACGTCCTTTCTACCCTTTGTGACGTCATCAGTTTTAACGGTCAAGGACAAATTTGTCCGCTAACTTATGCAGAGTGAAGAGATCTTTCAAACCATACCAGAATGAGCACAATTCAGTCACGGACAATGGAGAAAGAGGCAAAAAACCATAAGTCATTGACCTGAAAATCTCCGTGAAAATCTTGTTCCATTGCTCACCTACCTTTCCTTTCACCTAATCCTAAGATCCTAAAAGCTTTCCTAAAAACTCTTCCCACCGAAACGAAGCCTACTAAATGCCCAGCAAGAGAAAGAAAAGCGAAAAAAGAGGGGAGGAGAGAAAGCGAAAAGTAAAAGTCAAGACTGCTGTGTCACTTTTAAACCCAAAAACTATCTCGAAATTTTGCTTTCTGCGCATGCTGATATTTTGCAACTGGATCAAAAGGCCGTGAAGTGCACGACCTGTAAACCGGTTTGTGGTAAGTTTTAGCTCTCTATAGCACTGTAGTGACCAGAAAACCACTCGACTAGCTTCAAAACGCCTTTTTCGGCAAAATCTCCAGGAGCGAATGGGTTAATTTCTAAGTGAAAAATACATTCCTTCTTTGCCCATTTAGAGTTAAGTATACTTTAGATTTGTTAAACTTGCCCTGACATAACGATCAAACATTTTTGTCCAACATTGTATTTATCATGCACAACATGGGGTGGCAGGGGGTGTTTCTTTCTTTCTTGACATTTTAAAGCAATTATTTTAGTTATGTATGACAAAGTAGGGAAAAGAAAATACTGTAACCATACTATCATCACAGGGTCAAGATTTTCAGTAAACCTAACAAAAACGTTTGATATTATGAACCAGCTTAAGTTCCTGCTGATATTTAAAGGAGTTTGATTGATTTTTACTAACTTTATTATGGGATATTTTGAGATATTTGACGTCACATTTTCCCTGGAGAAAGCCACATGAAAGCCACAAGCGACTTTTTTTGGAAATATATAACACCAGCTGTGGTTTATGCGCCCCTGCTTAAAAGTTATTTAACTTACATATTTGACCAGCTAGAAGCTACACGTGACTGAGCTAAAATAAATTTGGCTGGTCATCGTGTCTGGAGACTCTTCGGAAATTATTTCGAGCCCTGCTGATAGCTGGCATTATAAAGCATGTCTGGAGAAGTATTTAATATAAAATGCATAAATTTATATGATTGTTATTACGAAAACATGTCACTTGTCATTAAGAGCATGTTTCACTAACACAGGATTCTCTGTGAGAATTTTCAACAAATTGAACGACTGTGTCATTTTTTTCTTATGCACAACTGTACACTGAATTGAAGGAAGCTACTTTTATGCTACATCGTAATCTCTGGTGATCAGTGTTCATTCTACACGCTTAAGAACTGCCAAAATTCTCACTTTAGCAAGTAAGTATAGGAATAACAGATTTACGATGAGAGATTAAGGAAAGTTTACCGTTTAGAATTTTAAATGACCTGTTAATAACTTTACAGATGATTAATCTACCTTCTTGTGGAAAGTCATCGATGGAAAAAAATTGGAACTAAAAATGAAAGGTACATACAGTCAAACCAGTCCACTAACAGCCACCTCTCTACAATGGCCACTTTTTTTGGTCCTGCCGACAGTCTATACATTGGCTCTAATTTAAACCTCTCTACAACAGCAACGGCCACTGCACTGCGTCCCCAGCTGCCAAAAAATCCTCTCCACAAAGGCCAGTTTTTTCAGCGACTGACAAACAAGTCAGGAATGGTCAGGGAATTTGATCCGTATGGTGCGTTGATGATCATTTATGATTGGATTTCCATGATTGCAAAAAGTAGGCATGAACTTGGCATAATATACATGTTGTTCTCCCCTAACAAAAATTGTCATATTACACCCCCACCTCCTCATAACGGCCACCTCTCCACAACAGCCACTTTTTTTGGTCCCCAAAATGGCTGTTGTGGGGAGGTTTGACTGTATAAAATCCTATCTTCAAAATGATATGTTAGGAAAAGTGATAAAAAAAAATCATTATAAATATTATAATATTTTGCAAAATTGCCAGTGGTTTTATTCAGAAATAAAAATCCAAAGAAGTAATCTGTATGATACTGGAATCCAAATATTATATGCATGTATGTATGGCTGGTGAAAGGCATAAAATTTAAAAGAAAGTGACAAATCAGCATAATTTATTGCCTTGTCTTGAGCACAATAGACCTATTCGGCTAATTAACTCAATGTTGTACCCAATTCAAATCCTTTGGGAATAAAACGTTTTGTTTCAGGAATTTCCATATCATTTAAATGTGAATGCCCCATTATAATCAAAATTAATACAATACACAAAGAATCTTATCCCCGAGAGATTTGAATTGGATACAACATTGAGTTAGCCGAATAGGTCTATTGTGGTTGCAACTCCCAGCGAATTCCCTTGATGGGAATTGGGGTACTGGATTATATTGTTTGTGAGAAAACACCCATAACAGTTTGACAGCCCAAACTGAAACTTGAAATCATTTTGCTTGTATTATAGTTTTGTTTTTGAGGATGTCATTGCTTAATTCAACATTAATGGAATTTTCATGGTTCATGTTTTCGCTTATTCCCCTACGAAATGAAATTTTGCTCATAATCAACTTACGTTTTTCATGGATCTTAAAAATGCCATGAAAAATACATGAATTTGCCTGGAACATTTTCATGGGTCATTAAAGACAGCATGTACAATGCCATGAAAAAATTCATGAACTGCAGCATGAGGACATACTGAGATTTTCAGCATCTTTAAAAACCCTTGCCAGCACTTTCAACCAGTACTTGAAAGTGTTTCAATGGTAAGGAATGGTGAGAATTGCTTAGACATTAAAGCCCAACCATACCCACAGTACCTTAAAATTATCAATTTGCCTTTAAGTGGATTTATATTGCCCACACATATAAAACAACACACACAGCCTATTAACTTAAACTTACCATATTTTCTAGTCCAGCTCGTCACTGAGTCCTCCTGAGATTAACACCTGACAAGCCAAACGACAGTTATATGAGAAGAGAAAACTTGATCATAGTTGTTTGAACAGCTTGGTATTTACTTCTGAAGTTTGTTAGGATGTGTATCTATGCCTCAATCCTCTATATATCTACTTGTTTTTTTTCTTCTTTGTGTGCGTATGCGTAGTTGAGACACATTATTATGCATATGCGTGTATGCATGCATAATTACAGTCTATCATGATGAGTATGGGTGCTTCCTCTATCCATTCACTCATGATATAATCTGTAAGCACTTTAAATATATCAAGTTATGATCTACTTGCATGTCACTTATAAGAATAGAATTCTAATGTCATTATTCACAACCTCTGACTGAAATTAATGTCAAATAATGTTTTGCACTATTGTGAGCGACACTAATAAACTAAAAAATGCGTATTTTTCTATAGTAAGCACTGTATGGTAAGTACAGTAAGTACTTGATAGTATTACAATGGCACTGGCAAGGTGTGTATTGATTACACACCCAACACCCAACCATAGCCTTAGTTGCTTGGAATCATAAGTATATACCACACTCTGAGCCAATTGACTTTAACTTACCTGTATAATGTCTGGTCCAGCTCATCACTGAGAACTCCTAAGCTTGACATCTGATGAGCAAGAAGACAGTTATTTGAGAAGAGAACTCTTGATCATAGTAACTGTTGTTTGCACAGCTTGGTATTTATTTTTGAAGTTTGTTTATGATGTACTCTAACAACTTGTTTAACTTACCTGTATAATGTCTAGTCCAGCTCATCACTGAGAACTCCTAACCTTGACATCTGATGAGCAAAAAGACAGTTATTCGAGAAGAGAACTCTTGATCATACTAACTGTTGTTTGCACAGCTTGGTATTTACTTTTGAAGTTTGTTTATGATGTACTCTATCAACTTGTTTACCTTACCTGTATAATGTCTAGTCCAGCTCATCACTGAGAACTCCTAACCTTGACTTCTGATGAGCAAAAAAACAGTTATTAGAGAAGAGAACTCTTGATCATATTAACCGTTGTTTGCACAGCTTGGTATTTACTTCTGAAGTTTGTTTATGATGTACTCTAACAACTTGTTTAACTTACCTGTATAATGTCTAGTCCAGCTCATCACTGAGAACTCCTAAGCTTGACATCTGATGAGCAAAAAGACAGTTATTTGAGAAGAGAACTCTTGATCATAGTAACTGTTGTTTGCACAGCTTGGTATTTACTTCTGAAGTTTGTTTATGATGTACTCTAACAACTTGTTTAACTTACCTGTATAATGTCTAGTCCAGCTCATCACTGAGAACTCCTAAGCTTGGCATCTGATGAGCAAAAAGACAGTTATTTGAGAAGAGAACTCTTGATCATACTAACTGTTGTTTGCACAGCTTGGTATTTACTTTTGAAGTTTGTTTATGATGTACTCTATCAACTTGTTTACCTTACCTGTATAATGTCTAGTCCAGCTCATCACTGAGAACTCCTAACCTTGACATCTGATGAGCAAAAAGACAGTTATTCGAGAAGAGAACTCTTGATCATAGTAACTGTTGTTTGCACAGCTTGGTATTTTGTACTCTATCAACTTGTTTAACTTACCTGAACAATGTCTAGTCCAGCTCATCACTGAGAACTCCTAAGCTTGACATCTGATGGGCAAAAAGATAGTTATTTGAGAAGAAAAAACTTGATCATAGTAACTGTTGTTTGCACAGCTTGGTATTTACTTCTGAAGTTTGTTTATGATGTACTCTATCAACTTGTTTAACTTACCTGTATAATGTCTAGTCCAGCTCATCACTGAGAACTCCTAAGCTTGACATCTGCTGAACAAAAAGACAGTTACTTGAGAAGAGAACTCTTGATCATAGTAGTTGTTGTTTGCACAGCTTGGTATTTACTTTTGAAGTTTGTTTATGATCTACTCTATCAACTTGTTTAACCTACCTGTACAATGTCTAGTCCAGCTCATCACTGAGAACTCCTAAGCTTGACATCTGATGAGCAAAAAGACAGTTACTTGAGAAGAGAACTCTTGATCATAGTAACTGTTGTTTGCACAGCTTGGTATTTACTTCTGAAGTTTGTTTATGATCTACTCTATCAACTTGTTTAACCTACCTGAACAATGTCTAGTCCAGCTCATCACTGAGAACTTCTAAGCTTGACATCTGATGAGCAAAAAGACAGTTACTTGAGAAGAGAACTCTTGATCATAGTAACTGTTGTTTGCACAGCTTGGTATTTACTTCTGAAGTTTGTTTATCATGTACTCTATCAACTTGTTTAACTTACCTGTATAATGCCTCGTCCATCTCATCACTGAGAATTCCTAAGTTTGACATCTGATGAGCAAAAAGACAGTTATTTGAGAAGAGAAAACCTGATCATTATAACTGTTGTTTGTACAGCTTTGTATTTACTAGGGGTGTAACGATTCGTATTCCTTGCAGTTCCATTCGATTTCAATTATTGCCTTTTGATTTCGATTATTTCGATTCGATTATGTAAATGTTTCTTAATTCTTATAACATAACGGGTCATGTAAACAACATGCAACCCTAAACCCTCAATTTGAGAAAAGTAGCAGGGACAGGAGGATTCACAGTCGCTTGGTTTGTCGCCATGTTTGAGAACCTGACAAAGAGCGTGTCGCACATAGTTTGCCTTATTTGGAAATTCTCAAGGGGTGGTTGAAGGACAGCATTTTTACCAGGCAGCACAAAATGGCGCACGAAATGCTATCATCTTTGCTCGTCAATCATAAACCCACAATTTAAAGCATTCTGGATTCTGATTTTACGATATAATAACTCACTGAGGGCACCCTGGAAAAGGTGTGCAAAAATCGAACCAAAATCAAAACGTGAAAGCAAAGAATCGTTAATCGAACCAAATGGTCATAATCACGATTAATCGAGAATTTGATTAATCGTTACATTAGTATATACTTCTTTGTTTATGATGTACTCTATCAATTTGTTTAACTTACCTGTATAACGTCTAGTCTTCAGGGCGGAAAAACGTAATGAGCATGCGTGAACTTTTTTGCCCAGATCCCCTGGCCGGGTTTGAAAAAATGGCGGGATTTCAAATATTTTATTGCCTAAAAATAAAATGTTTCCACTCATAATCTGGAAAGAACAGGCAATTTGTCTTCAAAAGTTGCAAGTTGTGGTTATAACCTTGTCGTTACTTAATTTTCTCGAAGAATACCTCATAGTAAAACGGACTTTAACGACATTTATTTCCTTGCGCTGTACTGGAAATGTGCATGCGTAGGTCCGATTTTTTTCGAGATGCATTGACAAAATGTGTTCATATAAGGAGGTTCCTGGATATATAAGGTCCGGAGCTCCACTGTGGACACAAAACAACATATCTTTGGACAGTGATTTGCCCAAAAAAATAACGCTTGCCCACAATGTGTTTGAAGTCACTGAACTTTGTCGCTTTTCGAGCTGATATTTTAAAACCCTCGCTCGATCGGGACCTCGTAGTTTCAAGAGATCACTAAAATATAAACAAAATCTTCAATGTAGAAGTTATTGCGTTGATATGTGGGCAGAAAAAAGGTCAATCTTTATCTAGTAAAATCTTCCCAAAAATCGGTTTCAAAGCAACTATAGGTTTTTAAACTTGCCCGTTTCGCGCAGATATATAAATTTTGCTTTGTGTTGTCAAGTTGAACTCGCATTAAACATCTGTCAAAAACCTACGCTTGAGTAGGATTTCCTTCAAACAAAGTTAAAGTTACATTATTTTAAAAACTTCCTGCTGACAATGAAGAAATGAACTTTTTGTACGAAAACAACCTACCTAAAGATCTTAAAAGCAAAAGATCAGTTGCAACTTGGCAGCCAAGCCATGATTCACCATTTAGCTATTTTCAATAAGCTTAACTGGTCCATGCGAGGGTCTTCGTTTAAGCAAATTAAACTCAGCCGATCATTAGAAAATACAGAAAATTGCACATAAGGGTTTGTTTTGCTCTCCTCAGTCAAATCAAGCTGCAGCAATTGTTTACGGGAAAAGAGTCAATTGTTTTGAAGTCACTGCCGGCAGTTGTTGTTCTCTACTTCACAGCGAGTGAAAAGGACAATTTATGCATAAAAAAGTTATTCTTATAAAGAACAGAAACTTTCACAGTGCACTGGAAAACAAAACTATGCAATGAAAAATGAAAAAACTCTGACTATTATTACTTGAGCAACAGAAAATGATCTTGAGTAAGTTTGCTGGCCTTCTATTTCCGAGAAAGTTTAATAAGCGCACAAGTTTGTTCACTCTGATGCGTTAAACAGCAATATGGTTCTTTGACTGAAGACAAAAATAAAGCTGGTTCTGCAAAGGTAATAAATCTGGGCATGTAAAAAAGTAACCGTAACTACAAATAACAGAATACAAGCGGTATGAATTCAACCCGGCGAAATCAATTCATAAACGGATACTCAATCAGAAAAATACTCGCCTCTTAAGAAATGTTTAAAACCTTTTATTCCACCTCAGACTGACGGAATGATCCGTTTTTCCTTTAACATCGGTTGTTCTGAATCCAAAGTAATTTTCAAGCGACGAAAAAAAAGCAAACATTTCAAATAAAAATGCTTTACAGGGAGCAAACGTTCGCACCTCGTGCATTTCACTCAGAACTCCAGCAACAAACAAACACAGTCAACACACAGAAAAGCCCGCCTTGAGCCTGCGATAAGGGATGCGCAGAGGCTTGCGCAGAACGTTTTTCCGCCCTGAACGTCTAGTCCAGCTCATCACTGAGACCTCCTAAGCTTGACATCTGATGAGCAAAAAGACAGTTTTTTGAGAAGACAAAACTTGATCATAGTAACTGTCGTTTGCACAGCTTGGTATTTACTTCTGAAATTTGTTTATGATGTACTCTATCAACTTGTCTAACTTACCTGTATAATGTCTGGTCCAGCTCCGTTAAATGTCTGATCTGCAAAGGGCAGTACAGTCCATCTGAGAACTCCTACACTTGACATCTGAGGAGCAAAAAGACAGTTATTTGAGAAGGAAAAACTTTATCATAGTAACTGTTGTTTGCACAGCTTGGTATTTACTTCTGAAGTTTGATTATGATGTACTCTATCAACTAGGTTTTTATTTTTGTGTGTATGTATGGTCAAGACATGTTATGATGTGTATGCTTTATTATAGGAAATTAACGATGCACTTTATTGACGCGATTTTAAAAAAAAATCACGTTAATATAAAAGCAATTTTACTGTCATGCAAGTAAAATGTAATTAATGGAACCTGACACTAGTTATCAGTAACCATTTCACGGTGTTTTTTTTCAATAAAGCGATTGTGCAGTCAAGTTGCATTGTGCAGTTAAGCAGTCCACAAGTTAAGTGGTCAAGTGGGCCGCAAGCTTAGCAGGCATCCATGGTAGGTGGTAGCTCTGTACACTGCTAGGATCTGCGAGTTCTTCGTTGAGCATCTGTGCAGTGCTCTGTGAAGCAGTTCATTTAGCATCTTTTAGTCCTTTCTAGTGGGGTTTTTTGAAGCGGCAGTCCTACAGCGTGTTTTTTCTTGTATCCTTTTTTCTTCCAATTTTCAAGGTATGAGGGTCATCACATTCTGTGAGGATGTGAACAACAAACAACAGCTTGTCTACAATGTCGTTTCCGGTTACCGTGTCGTAGCATTCTGGTAGAGGTTCTACACCAGCTCCTCCAGTTAACACTCCAGCTTCACCACCAAGTCAACCTACTTCTCTGCTGCACAACAACACACCAGATCTCCAGCCAACACTTCAGCTGCTTCAAGCTCCTCAACTTCCTCTACCTTGTCTCTAACAGAGCCTCTGGCGTCTTCGGACAATCCACGGTCTAACAAGTATTGCTACTCCTGGAATGATGGGCGCTGTCACTGGCCCTTTGGCCGCTGCCGGTTTCGTCACTCCTATGAAACGTGTCACGAGGACCACCCATGCATCCACTGCCCTTGCCGCTTTGCACGGAGAGAACAGCCCCGTCCCCCTTCTCAGTCAAAGGCGGGTTCACCGCCATCATCCTAACCCAGACAAAGTTGCATAAGTGGTACAAAGCCTTCGTGATGGTTTTCGCCTAGGCTTCAATATTACAGTACTTCTTTAAAGTCGGCAACGGGGAATGTGGCTTCGGCACTCCTAAACCCTCAGGTCATTGACAATTACTGGCAATCGGAAGTCCAGAGAGGCAGGATCCAAACGTCATCCCCAAACGCCAACAACCTGGGAAATGGCATCTTATCCTGGACCTGTCTAGCCCTGCTGGCCACAGTGTCAACAATGGGACTGCAGGTGAGGATTATTCTCTGCAGTATATGAAGGTAGATGACATTATTGCGGGCATAATGCGGCTGGGGCAGGGTTCCCTTATGGCGAAATTTGATTGGCAAAATGCATACCGTATTGAACCAGTCCATACAGAAGATCGCCAGTTGCTGGGTATGAAATGGCATGGTGCCTTTTATGTCGATATGGTCCTACCTTTCGGTATCAGGTCAGCTCCATAATTATATCTTCACATGTATAGCAGAGTTGGTGGAGTGGGTGGCCAAGCAAAACTACGATGTCACCTTCCTGAAGTATTATCTTGATGACTTCCACACTCTTGGCCCTCCTGGTTCCTCTGTCTGTCAACACAATCTGGACAGGTCTATTGACTGTTTTTCTAAGCTTGGCATCTCCCTCCATCTAGACAAACTAGAAGGGCCGCCGACATGCCTAACCATCCCGCACATTGAACTGGACTCTCTTAATCTGCGGGCGCGCCTTCCTCAGAACAAATTTGATAGGATAACCTTTGTGGAGGATTGGTCACTGAAGCGTTGGTGTAAATGCAAGGAACTGGAGTCTCTGATAGGCTACCTTCAGCATGCCTGCAAGGTTGTACTCTTTCTTGCGTTGAATGATCAACCTGCTATGCGCTTTTCGTCATGATGACCACCCGATTAGTCTCAATCAGGTGTTCTTTCTTGACCAAGCCTGGTGGCAAGAGTTTCTTCCAGTCTTGGAATGGTTGCAGCTTCCTTCAGTACCCCCAGTGGGCTCCACTTCCCAACTTTGAGGTTTCTTCAGATGCCCTGGGGCTCTTGGTTAGGCGCATGGCTCCCAACACAGGTCTCCCAGTCTATCAAGTGCAAAGAACTTTTCCCTATCCTCATGGCAGCTTACCTCTGGGGTCCCCTACGGGCCTCCAAACAGGTCAACTTCCTATCAGATAACTGCTCAGTGGTGGAAATTCTGCGGTCTGGCACTTTAAGAGCCCCTAACATCATGTCCTTGGGTCCCTATCTGTCCCTATTGGCAGCTCGTCACTCCTTCTCTTTCACTGCCTCCCCAGTTAGAGGGAGGTCTAACCCGATCGCTGACTTCCCGTCTCACTTTCAGTTTCAGCGCTTTCGTAGGCTAGCCTCTCATGCAGACTCCATTCCGACCCAGATTCCGCAGCAGCTCCTCTCGGACTTGGAACTTCGCTGTCAGATAAATGCCTCTTCTACTTGACTCAGGGTCTTGCCCCTTCTACTAGGAAAGTTTGTGCTTCTGCCTAATGCCGCTTCTTGGATGTCTGTGCTCAGGAAAATAGCCTTTCTCCTTCGGGATCAGCTCTTCCAGCCAGTGAAGACGTGCTCATCCGTTTCTGCTGTCATCTTGCCAATACTCTCCACCATTCATCGATAAAGGTTTACCTTTCAGCAATCTGGTCCCTTCACATCGAGGAGGTATCTGCCTTCTCCGCTGGTTGGTTGCCTTCGGTTACAGCGTGTGTTGTGGGGTATCAAACGTCACCAGGGCTCAAATAGGCGTCAACGCCAACCCATCACAATCGAGCTGATGCCCATCATCTAACAGTCCTTGAACTGGAAAACGTGTTCTCTTCCCTATACGTGCCCTTACCCAGCATCTACAAGTCCGTGGCTCAACTCCTGGACTACTTTTCATTCTCTCTGATGGCACCCCTCCACATCGCCAATAGCTGACATCTAGTATCACTCCAGTTCCCTCTTGTGGCTCTGTATTTGTTTCATGATACCACCGCCAAAGATCATGCCAGGGCAATTCACCCTGGTGTGGGTTCACCCCGGGTTGTTGTATCAGAGCGAGAATTTCTCTCTGGTACGAAATTTTGCGACGGCATAATATAAATGCGAAACAACCACTCGTTTCGGTGTAAAATCAGTCTGCTGGTAAACTGGAATGGGTTTGCGCATGCCAATCAGGATGGCATTGTCATGTTAGTCATGGGACGACAAAAGACAAAACACGTAAATGCAATATGATATTAAGAAGCCACCCCAGTATAGAACTTGGGCCAGGGCGAGTTTTCTTATGTAAACACCACCTATGTTAAAGGATTCCCTGAGAACCTGTTACATTACTCAAGCAAACTACCATTAGTATTTTTACTCACTTTTTGAGGTTTCTCCTTCTCTTTCTGTTTCAATCAATCTCTAGGTCCCATGATGTTCGTACAATTTAAACTCACTGCTTGATAGAAAAGAAAAAGATATTTTAAATGATTATGATGGAATGGTACTCAACTAAAGTTTAACATTAATTTCTTAATCCACTAACAAAGCTTTGCTAGTAAGAGTTTCTCTAATAGAAAAAGCATTAAATTCAGTTCTGCCACTGAAGCTGAGAGACACTTGAAAAAGGTTTTTTTATCTTAGAAAATGACCATGTTTCCACTTAATCGAGACATGTTCCACACAATTAAAAGTGCTTTCTGTTATTAAAAATAACTGTTATATCTGTGTTATCAAAACAGATAGCATGTGTAATGCTTTTTGAAATGCATGTTGTCTCCCAGCAATTTATTGCTAACATTGCCATGCTTTGCAGTAACATTGGACCAAAAGGTCAGAAACAAGACTACCATTTATGATTTTCGCCTTCCTTAATAACTCTACTGGACCTCTCACAAAACAGGCTTATTTCAGCAGGTTTAAGAGGTCAGGTCTGTAGGTTACAAATAGTTCTTTTTGATACAAGTTGTTTATAGTAATTATGATTGACAACCAACTTTTTCAGAATGCATTGTTATGCTCAACTTTGTCTTCAGGTGGCCTTTGTTGTTGCAACGTAAAACAGTAAGATATTTCTGTGATTACATCTTGCAACAATGTGTGCAACCTAGCTTAACAGGCTAATGATCAGCTCACAACAGACATTGTTCCTAGTGCATTGTAAACATTTGTGACCCTCCACAGGAATATTATTCTAAAGGTGAAAGCATGCTGATGATGAACTTCCAATGGCAAAAAATTCAATTCATTTTATCATGCTTTTAGCCACCTTGCACATAAGAAATTTCTTTCATCTCAGAGAACACGCTTGAGATGTGAGAGAGCAAGTGGAGCAAAAAAGTGTGCTCAAGTTCCCAAACAAATGTCTGCGATTGCAAAATTGCTCACCACACTTTACATGTGCACAAAAGTACGCAAGGTGTGTTATCTTAAAGGAGAAGTTCATGCCAATGGCAGGTTCCTCACCGAAATTTCAGCTTGCAAAGAGCGTTCCAACCCTATGAAATAATTTCTCATCTCAAGTAGCCTGAAATTCAAGACCTGGCGGCCGCCATCTTGGAGAACTCCTAGCAGCCTGGTATTCCTTAGTTGCACTGGGTACCAGTCTTCTGTCCTCTAGGAGCTTGTTGCTGCCTTCGCCTTGCTACTTTTTCCTACTTTTTTGGGCCTCTCAACCTGCAGTAGCAGGTAAAGCAGATGTAAATTTGGTGTGGCCGGCTAACAAGAAGTGGTAATGTATTTGTTCATGAGGACCGCTTATGACTCATCATCACGGCGTGCAAAGAAAGTCGTGTCCGATAGCCTGGGGCTAGTGGATTTTGCTATCAGGCTAGCGATTTTTGTTCTTAACTTGCCCGATGGGCAAGTGCTGTTTTTTTTGGGAAATTCAAATCACAGAAGGACTAATCAATCCTGCTAATCAGAAAGGGTTTTGGGCCTTGTTAAAATGACTTTTGGGCTAGTACATGCTAGCTACAGCTTGCCTGGATGGCAGGCTGTAAAGCTGAATTTCTTTGCACCCTGTCATCACCTGGAACACCACAGTTGTCCGCGTAAAGTTGGGCATTTCTGAGGCAGTGCTTGGGGGTTTTAATATAAAACTAATGCATGTTGGAAATTGTACTGTTTCCCCCTCTTCCAGTCAAAATGATTTTGTCTATTAAAAAATTCTCTTGCCTAGGGATGGATTCACAGGAGACATCATTATCAAACATTCCACACTTTCAAGAAGTTTCAAAACAGATAAGGGCCAGGCTGATTTGGGTTTAACGCGTAGTGTAACTGTTGTGCATGGTCACAAGAATGGTGCAAAGTGCTGTTGTAGGAACATGCTCGGCTCCATGGCCGACTTCAATGTTAGCTCCTCGAAAGTGTTTTCGAATGTCCTCTTTTGACCGTCCACACCAGTTCTAGACTCGCTTCTAAGCTTAATTTTAGCTGACATCAAAATTGGGAAGCGCAAATTAAAAATAATTTCCTGTTTAAGAATAAGCATGATAATATTTTTCCCAAAAGTGCTTTTCATTCTGCAACTGGTTTCACAAGTTTAAAGTCAAGTAACAGGGACAAAGCACTGCGATATAATTCAGCTTACTTCAAAAAAAGTTCCAGAAAAAACTAAAATTACAATTCATGGGGTTCTTCGTTGACTGGCAAAAGTTCGCCTCATTAGAAAAAGTAGAACAAAAGTAAAGGCCGTGTAATTCTTCTTGGAAAAAAAAACTAAAAAGAGACAAGTGGTAAGATTTAAGGTTAACAGTAAGCAATTTTGTACCTTCTTTTGACTCCAACCCGTTCCTTGAGGTATTCCCGCCATCTTGTTTAGTTGCCTTAGCTAGTTCCCAGTCTCTCCTTGTCCTTCTCTGCCAGGTGCATTCTCAGGTTAATTCTCGAGGATCCTGCTGGCGTAACTGAGTTAGCCCCTTAGCCTGGCCCCTTAGCCAGAGATAAATCCTTCAAGTTTTTTCCGTAAACAAGACGCTTGGGTCTTATATTTAACAAAGTATTTGTTTATCGCAATCATAAAGTATAGGTAGCTCCCAACAGTTTCAATCAGAAGTTCAATAGGGAGCTTAAGCAACAACGTTTTTGAGCGACGCACGTCAACCGGAAGTGGCCTTTTTTCATTTTTTGACGGTGGTTTCGCGCAAATTTTCAGTCAAATTGCCTCTATAAAAGTAAAGAAGCTAAGGAATACAAATTTTATATCATCAAGGCATGTTAAGAGGGAAAATACCTCACTTCCGGTTGACGTGCGTCGCTCAAAAACGTCGCTGCTTAAGCTCCCTAATACATAATCAAGAGAAAAAGATATGAGAAATAATAATAATCACCAAAGGAGAACTGCTTTGATTTTTTATAAAATTCTCTCAACTTATTCTTTGAGAGATTGTTTGTAGGTCAGTCTTGAGAATTTATAAATGGAAATTGGGGGTGAAAGGATTAATACTCTACTTCACCATCTGCAACTTGAACGGAATGCTTAGTTATGTGTGTTGCCATATCTACTCATCATTAAGCCCGCTTCTACAAAACAAATGGTTTAGAATAATAAATTTTGTTAATCCCTTCGTTCCATCCCTAAGGAGGCATCTTTTTTGTATCAAATACCAATAATACGTTGTTGTCAAGTCTGGGTCACGACTTCCCTTGAGCTTTGGCTTTGCTTGTGTCTCGCAGTCTTATCAATTGGCTTTATCCCTTCTGATTCAGGCTGTGTGTGTTCGTTCAAGAAGTCATGATTTAAAATAGACCTTGTTCTTAGGCACTTGAGTGGGCATTGAATCATTATTGGAAACATTTTCTTAGGTTCTGAGGCAATGCCCTGCTTTGGACGCTCATAAATCCATATGACACTAATGTTTCCAAATGACATCTGACTGGGTAAAACAGAGCAAATATGTACTCTGGCTGTTTCCAGGCACTAACGCTCAGGCATAGTATTGTGAACATAGCCTGTTAGTTAAAAAACCAAGTTTAAAAGTTCAATAACAGAAATATACACTCTTGCATTAAAGAAAAAAATGATTAACTTTTTCAGATAAACAAGTAACTTATTTACAGTCGGTTTGCACATTGCTAAATAATAAAGCAACTAAAATAATATAATCCTTAAACAATTGACGAGGACTAATAATTATTCTTGTCTGACAAAATAAGAAATTGTTTGACTTGTTTTCAGGATTATTATTTTGCATTGTAGTATGACAAGGATTCTTGAGTTAGAAAGAAAGACTATTACTTTAATACTATTGTTGATCACAAAACGACTCAGACTAAAGAGAAAAGTATGGTACAGTTTTTATAATATCAACGAATTAAACCGTTGTCTTACAATCATTCCTCTCAATCAAAACAGAAATTAATGAACCATAACTCCATGTCTGGTTCCTTCTTTTGCTACAAGCAATGCATTTCAATAGGGGCAAAACAATTTGTTAATTATATACAGCTACACAAGTGTCTGAAAACTGCTTTTTAAGGAAGATGCTTTAAATAAACTTAATTTTTTAACATTAGGAAAGAATTTACAATAATCATTCAAGGTAGATAGGCAACTTCCTTATAAAAAATGAAAACAGAAAAAAAACAAACAGAACAACAAATATGTGTCGTGCTATTATAACCACTTTGTTCACGTAATCTATTCCTAGCATTTAGAAGTAAATGAGGTTCCAAAATTGAAAACTAATATTATTGTAACCTCTCCATATTGAACGATTAACCACCAATATTAACCTTGGAGTTATGTATTGTCTTGTTTCTGGGATTGTTTGTTTGGTGGGGAAAAGCTTTTTAGTAATATTTTTCTTTTTTCTGTGATAAAGTTGTTGCACTTGTTGCAAGAGTTCTGCATGTTCATGCATTTAACCGACGTTTAACCACCAAGATTTGATTCTCTTTACACAACAGCTGTCTGCACAGGAATAAACCGAACCTTGTTGTAACATTCCATACTGCAGACTGGGAGATTGTTACCAGAACAAGCATATTTCTTTAAATTCTTGCATCCCTGAGCTGCACATGTTGGTCTTGTTTTTACTGGCCTATAATTACAGAAAAAATATTCAAATGGCAGTGGAGCATGTGAAGCATAGTAAAGCACCGAGAAAGAATATACTACTATTAAGCAATATACTAGAAATATCTTGCAAATCTTGGAAGGAGTAGGGTCACTTAAGTCAAACCCTGTTGGGTAGAGTTAGGAACTGGATGGGTGACCAGCAACAAAATTAATATCCTCTCTTCTAGACTCCTACATGTATGCCTTGTTTTTGTTCCCCTATCTTATTCTCTAATGTGCATAGAAAAACAGACATACTTAGCATTCTTTTTGGTAACCAGGTGAAAAAAAATAGATGGTAATGCGTGCAAACTCACGCATGCCAGTACAACGGTCAAGATAGGAAACTGAAAGCAGTCTCAATTAAAACACTAACAGTGGCAGAAAAGGTCCAAGTTCACTGTGATTTTACCTTAGTGTAACATAACCTTTAAGTAGATTTCAGGAAAATAACTACTCAAGTAAAATTAATTTAATTAATTTAAATTAATTTTTTCAACACTATGAATCCAGTTAAAGATTTAAAACAATAGGGTCAATTTTAGTGCATCCTGGGCTATCTGTTCTTCAAAAGAGAGGAGCAAGGGATGGCGCAGTGGTGAGAGCCCTCACCTCCCACCAATGTGGCCGGGGTTCAAATCCCAGTATCAATGCCATATGTGGGTTGAGTTTCATGTTGGTTCTCTCCTTTGCTCCGGAGGTTTTTCTCCCGGTACTCTGGTTTTCCCCTCTCCTCAAAAACCAACGTTTCCTGAACGAAATTTCAATTTGACCAGGAGTCAGGTAGACAAAGAACCACTATGTGGACGTGCTACCTCTAGATCATTATTTATCTTTTTATAAAAGAAATCATAAGCCTACCCTCGAGATGACTGCATTTGTAATGGGAAATCAAGTCCCTGTGAGAAGGACAGAGCGAATCCACTTCGATTGCTAATGTATCTTATATGGGGTACTTCTTGCTTTTTACGACGGGCCTAAAGAAAAACACTTAGGTGACAATCTATTCACTGCAAACCCATACCCCAGTGACAGCTCAATTTTTTTTTCTTGAAGGACAAGTAGCTTCTCAAGTTCACTTTCCCAATGGGAAAGGTTCCAGGCAAGTCATTATGTAATACTTTAAGTAATAGAGAGGAGAGGTGTGTCATCACACTACCATGGTAGCAAAATTTTAGGATCACAACAATATGGAGCTTAAGCAACTTTGACAGCGACAGCAACGAGAATGGCAAAAGAGCAATAGGTTTATATTAGCAAAACAAAAACTTTTCATGTGCATCCTGCTTTTTTGTACATTTCTTAGCCGTTGTAGCATGATTGCCAATTTCACCACAAAACATAAAAACACAACATATAAACTTCCTCTTCCTTTTTCTTAACTTTGATATGGTCCTTTCAGGTTCAACCCCAGAAAATTATGCAAACATCTGCACAAATTAAAATTGTATAAGATCCATGAATTTTTGAAACAGTGCGAATTCACTTTTTAGGTGACATGTTCGGTTTGTTGTCATTCAGAAATTTTGCTACCACGGCAATGTGACGTAACAACTTCTCCCCTTAACTACAGTGTGCCACAAGCAAGCGATGGTCCTTGGCAAGCAGATTATGAGAGTCTAGTACAGAAAACAAGCTAGAATTCACGTTTGCATTCAAACCCCTTCCCTGTGCCATCATGGTTTTGAGACTGCTTGTTTGTCTGGTGTTATTATTGTTTTCTCGCCCTATCCTGGCCAAGGACACAACCTGCCTTATTAAGGGCTGTAGCTGACAGACAAGTACCAGTGAACTTCCCTGGCTGAAAATGAGCTTATCACTGGCCCAAACCTCTCTGGAAAAGAAAGATGTGAGGGAATTTTTAAGGTACAGTTGAGTAAAAAAGCTGGCTTGACGGTGCATGTCATTTGTAGTCAACTTTGTCTTGTTAGGAGGAACTAACTCAGTCCTGGTCATTTGGGGATTAATACTGTATTCCGTTTTTCGTAAAATATTACTTCGTATTAAAACAGTAAATGCTTTTTGCACCACATCATTTACATCGCGATACAAGTTTTGCGCGACAATCTCACTTATCAGTAATTCCATCTTACGAAGTAAATTTTGATTGGTTCCCTAAACAACCCGAGCTTTGCGACAGAGTTATACACTTCGGGGTTATATGCTTCTGTCCCTGCTCATTGCAGGTTGGTATTACCTTCTCCTCTTCTTTACGGGACCTAGAAGCTTCTCGATCCAGCAGTTTCTTGACTGTTTGCGCCTGCAAAGAAACCATACATTTTTTTGTTTATTTTAATTTTTTATTATTTTTAAAAAAGTTTAAATTGTGATGCAAACACTAAGATATACAGTAACTTTAGTGAATGCTAAAAAGATGTCATAGATACTTGAATGTTAAAAAATATACCTTGTTTTCCTCGATCTTTTTCTGCATTTGTTGTTTTCTCTTCTTTGCTCTTTGCTTTCTCCTCTTTTGGGCCTCTTCTGTGTCTTCATTCTTCCTTCTTGGTTCTGTGAATCATATAGCAGAAGGCACAATTATTATTACACACTGTACACAAGGTGACCTATACTATATAATATATATTTTTAATAATAACAATAAAAATTAAAAATATGTATATAACTTACAGAAATATTTGAAGTAAGAATTAAGCACTGTACAACATTAAGAATCATATAAATCATTAAAACAACAATCACTGTGTCAATAACGATTCCTTGAGGCTCAGATGCAATCAATGACTCTTGCAGACAGTCCCATGTTTTAAATTAGGTCATGACAAAAGAAAATTATCTGTCTCTGATACTAAAAAGAAACAAGTTAAAAAGATTAAAACCTCATATTCCTAAAAAAAAATTAATTCAGGCAGGCTCTAATGTTTTCGATCTGTAAAACTGAGTCAACAAAGTCTAGCTGTCGCCTTCTGGATCTTGAGCCTCTCAAGTATAGTATCACAGACCATACAATGGAGAGAGACACTTTAATAATAATGACAATAATAATAATAATAATAATAATAATAATAGTAATAATAATATTATTATTATTATTGTTATTATTATTATTATTATTATCATTAGCAACTGTAAAAAAAAATTTAAAAAGACGATGATAGTTATTATGTATAACTACCTGTCGGCAATTCCAAGAGTTGATTCTCTCCCTCGATTTCATGCCCCAGCATGGCTCTCTGAAAATACAACCATTATCATAAACAAAAAGCATACTTGTAAACAAAATCATACCAAGTGAAATAACAGAAACATACAGTCATGTTAGTAAGTCGAGCATTAACATCAAAAGGTGAAGTGTTGAAAAGATAATGAATGGAACCATTTTAATAAAATTAATGTTTCAAAAAGCTTTGCATGAGGAATTTGCATAAGTCTTAGGAGAGAGTAACAATATTTTTCACAAATGTATTGCAGTGCATAGGACTTGCAGGGGCATGCTTGAAAATGACTGAGCAAAAAGGTGCTTCTTTATCTCCACCTGGTTTTATGGTTATTTAATAAAAAATATATATTAGAAAAAGAAGAATGGTTAAGAATTTTAAAAAATAATACCTGTCTGGCAGTCATCATGCTCACATCCTTGTCCTGTTTTACTCGACCAAAGTCGTCTAGCTCACCTTTTTCCAATGCATCTAACCATTTCTGCTCTTCCTGGCTGCAAAATTAACAATTATTATTATCGCCAAAATCAACACCAATTAGATTTTGCTCAACTTTAAACTCAAAGCGGTGCCACGAAAAAACACTCACTTCTGCCTTTTTTATTTACGAGCGAACAGATGGTAATTGAAAAGGAGAATTGAACAATTTATCAGATGTCACTGGGACCTTTTTTCCAAACACATCTTCAGTCAGTCCTGAATTTGTGGGGGTCGTCCAATACTGTGGATAAGATACAAGGCTCAAAATTACGACTGATATGGTCGCCAGTGAGACTAACATTTTCTCTATGAAATCTGGTTTTGGTGACCAGATTTCTCTATGATTTAGATCATTTTAAATTAAAAGGGTAAAGTTAAAACAAGCATATACTGACTTCTGTCGCAATATTTTCAAACAATCAAATCTGATGAATCGTGCCATACTATGAGTTGTGTTATTTACATTATACATACTAGTGACTAAAATTTATATCTGGCGACTATATTTCTCCATTTGGTCGCCAACCGGTGATCTGAGGATTTTTTTAATTTTGAGCCCTGTGATACCAGGGGAGAAATAATGTTTTACAACTCATATGAGGGGACAAGTTGTGTCCACTCGACAGATGGAGTTGTCATGTGGACAAATCCGTCTCATTGAGGGGACATGAAATTTAGAGAAAGGTAGCTTATGCAAGGGTCATGGCAATGGTTGTCAGGTTGTACGAGTCATACAACTGGACAACTGCATTTCATAAAAGAGACATGAAATTTAGAGCAAGTTAGCTTAAGCAAGGGTCACTGCGATGGCCACCAGGTTGTATGAGTGAAGTAATGAGATGTACTTTCCACTTTCCAACAACTCAGTTGAGTGGACACAACTTGTCTACCCACATGAGTTGTAAAACACATTTTTCCACTCATATAATGTCAACAGTTGATATTATTTCAAAAAATATAACTTACTCATCAGAATCATCAGCAGGTTTTTCAGTAACTTCAGGTTCATCTTTTTCACTTCCTAACGAAATAATTAACAAGAAATTAATGGTTATCATCAAGACAATCTTTTCGAGTACAAAGGAACTTCTACTTTTACAAGTGTAAATTCTTGATTATTGTGTCACAGCAATTTTGGTTCTAATGCACTTCATACAATCCTTGATCCACCGCTGAAGAGGTCTGTTTTCAAGAGAAATGCCAGTAACCACTTTGCTAACAATCAGTGATAAAAAAAAACCTCGTGATCAGCTGGTAGATCTGAACTAACCTTGCCAAGATGGCTGGTAATTTTCCTCCTCAGGCTCTTCTTCCTCTCCACTGGTTATCACTGGTTCTGGTATTTTTACATGGACTATCTTTGCCATTCTGAAAACGAGAATAACTTCCCTTACATCACCACTACCCATAACTTACTGCGTACAACGTGGCAAGATGGAGTATAACCTAACTGACTTGTAAGAGTACAACTTTAACCACAGTAAATCTAAGTATAATGTCTTATTTGCCTTGTTGCTTTAAAATATACAACACACTCCAAACACAACTAGGGGCAAAAACTTAACAAAATAAATGTTTTTACTCAACTGGGATAGATCATTGATGAGCATCACATATAGTGCTTGCAACACCAACCTCTTTTATCATCAAATATGATTTTGTTAAAAGTGATGTAAGATATCCTGGCGTTTCCAATCGATGACAATCTATATCAATCAATACCAATCGATATCAATCAATCGATTGATATTGATAATGATGATATCGATTGCGAAGATTTGTGTGGTTATCATTATTGGTATTGATTGGTTTTCCAATCATCGATTTCCATTGATTGGAAATACTGGGGCAAGTGGGTAATTCAAGTACACAAGCAATGGGGTATATTCTTTGCATTGAGAAGACTGGGTTGGAATTGTGCCAATCGATGAACTGTTTTTGTGTGGTTATTGATTGATCATCGATTGACCGATACCGACAGATACCAATTGATACTAATTAACTCATTTTATCCATTGATATCAATTGATTAATTGGTTTTCTGATCATCGATTTCGATCAATTGGAAACAACAAGAAGATATCCTTCATCTCTTCTTCTTTTTTTTGCTGACATTATTAATCCTGAAGATATTTTTCATTGCTAAGATTATTAATCCTTGAAAATATAATACAGAGTCATAGCTACTACTATCTTTAGTTTATAACAGTGTGATAAATGAGGAATTAAATGTGAAAAACAAGTTTTAAAAAGAAAACACAGAAAAAAGAAAGGTAACTCACTGTGTTGTTGCCACAGTTTCACCCCTAAGCTTGATTTTAAGTTTTACAGCTCTTCCACCACTTTTGTCAACATCCTTTTCTTTTTCCCGAGATTTGTTTTTATCCTTGCTCTTCTCCTTTTTGCGCTCTTCATCATATCCCTCAGGGCCATGATCCTTCTTCTTCTTGTGCTTTTTGTGCTTGCGCTTATGTTTCTTTTTAGGTGAAGTTGACGATGATTCTATCAAAATTAATAAACATAAAAAGGCCCTTTGTAATACTTTTTGGTCCTAGTACAGTTGTAGTTTCAATTTGAAAGTAAGTGCCCGCATCAGAGTGGGAAGAGAAGAAAATACGGAGAATACAGTTTCAAAATAAATAAAGTAAAGAAAATGAAAATGAAAATGAATTAGGGTGGGTAAGCCTTTTTTTTAACCTATGTTGATTCTTAATTTCTTTTGTCTTCTAGGGCTAAGAGACATTAGAAATTGAGAATCAACCTAGGTTTAACAAAAATTAACCTGAAATCAAATTTGACCTGTAAAACATATACAGCTACAATCCTGGACAAAACTACTTGAGAAAATGTTTTCATTAATGCACACTACCTAACGCAACAAAACTGTTTCCAAATCAACGGCTTTGCGTAAAGAATACCCCCTCCCCCAATTCAAAGTTGCTTCCTAGAAATGCTTAGGGATCCAGCTTTCTTTAGAAGACCCAACAACATTGCTTCCAGGGGGAGGGGGGAAGGGAAGAATCGGTCGGCTACGAAGTTCAGAAAAAATGCCCCCAAATATGCAATTTTCTCAACAGTTTTGTCCAAGATTGTAGCAACTTGAAATCTTAGTGATAGCCCTGTATAATAGTTCACAACTTACAGAACAGTATGTGTCAAACCCAAACATTGTCCATTTCTTAAACCCCACAGCTAGAAAACGTGTTTTTGTAAGAGGGGGGGGAGGGGGATATTAAAAAATTTGCAGTCTTTGTTAACAGTTGTATGCGACAGATTGCGGCAGCTAAACAGTATTTTATAAAACGTCCCCTCAATCAGATGAATCTCAGTTATATAAGGAAGAAATCAAGGGGATAATTTTTGATTGAGGTGCAGTTGAGCCATGGGACTTTGTCCTATTAAATTCCTATTAGGAGAAATTTTCAACTCTGCTCTGCCCTATTACTATCCTGCTGGTGGGCCTCGGGTCCTACCTTTGGGGAAGCCAGTGACATGTACATTAGAGTACGTTGTGAGCTATATATCATATCCAAAGCAAAATAAAAAGTTACCTATGTAGAACACAAGTGCAAGTTCAGCTTGATAGTTTAAAAACAAAATAATAGATTCTTTTCTTAATCCAAACTTGCACCAGAATAGATGGTTTTCACAATGACATCATCAAATTGTAAAGTCAAAATAGCATGGTTTTACAAATTCTTATTAACTCTAGGTTGAAGATAAACAAAAAGTAAATATTTGTATAAGTTTCCATTCCCGTAGCATGTTTCATTTCAAAAATACAGCAATTTGAACTTCCAAGTTTTCACAGTGCTAACACCAAAATAGGAATGCTGTCTTGTTGAAAAAGGGTCTCTCCTCTTGATTCTCAGCAATATAACCATTTCAAGTATTAGAAGATATGTTTACGCGCACGTATGCTAGTTGTTGAGTCACAAGAAAGAGCTTTTATAGAAAAAGTGAACTCCAGATGTTTTGTTGATTTCCGGCAGCCATATTGGTGGACCAAAATGGTACACCAATATGGCATCTGCATACAAAGCTCTACAAAGGTGCGTGAAACATTTCGGCAAATAACTCAGAAACTGTGGGCCACAAAGACCTGAGACTTAAACAAATTGTTTATGTATTAGTCTTTTATAACATTTCATTTTCTTGGCTTCTTCTACTGGACGGTTTCCAATATATTTTTTTGCTGCGTGACAGTGAAAACGATCTATAAAATAGTTCAGATTGTGTGACAACCAACATCTTTTTGGAACACATGATACCATTGTAAGGAAATCGACGAAATCGGTAGTTCTCGGTGAATAAGTTTTAAAACAAGAAGGTGCTTACAGTCCTTTCTTGAAACAAAATCCAGGTATGGAGTTAGAATGCTATGAAGTATCGGTATTGAGCTAATATTCAAGCCTTAATCAATCCAAAAAACCTCACTTAAAAGTAGGAGCACACCGCGTTAAATAAGTTAACTACCACGTGTAACAAAAATCAGGTAGTTGATCTTTATATCACGCGGTTTAAAGAAAGAAAAAAGCGACGTTTTTATGTAAACTAACCTCTTGTATCGTCTTCGCTTATTTCCTTTCTTTTCCCCATGTTCAACTTTTCAACATGGCGGCTCGCCTGCCTCATTTTCATGATCTTCCTTTTCTCGTTCTCAGTCCCCTGTTTTGCGGTCCCATTTCGGGTTTTGGCGTTCCCATAGAAACTGAAGATCGCCTATGCTATCGTTTTGTAAATAAAATTGGGATCATTTTGATAATTTAGAGTCCGGCAACACGGATTTTCACTGTAAATGAAGGAGACTCTGCTCATTCAAGAACCACAGCCCCTCTGCAGGAGGCCATTCGGTAGCATTTGGAAGTGCCGGATGCAGTGGTTCAGCTGGCGGACGTGCACCGCTGGCGCGAACGTTACAGCTGATTTAAGAATTTGTTCATGCTTAGCGTGCGTATATCGAGTTATGGATGCACGCGGGAAGTTTGGAGAGCACGAAAGATGCGTAAGAGTTGCACGAGGCGATAGCCGAGTGCAACTCTAGCTTCTTGAGTGCTCTCCAAACTTCCCAAGTGCATCCATAACTCGATATACGCACAGCTAAAAGCATGAGCAAATTCTTTTATAACATAGCTGACAAAAATGATTGTTTTTTGATTAACTGCAAAATTCTCGTAACGCGCGACACAATAACAAACGGTTCTATTGGCTGTTTACGAACACGCCACAATCGTCTAGTTTGAATGAAAATATTCTTTCTGTAAAAGTGAGAAAGAAAATTTGCTTCTTTATTCGTCAACGACCAATGGAAACTAAGCAGAAACAAAGGTAAAAGAGTCTTAAAAGTTCACCTGAAGTTAAAACACTAACATGTTCGTAAGAAGTCGTGGAGCATGGTTTAGATTTGCTGAAAAGATGTTTACGTTTCAGACGTTTTGCTCGGCGAAATCCAGAAAACATGTTTTTAGCGAAGACGACTGTCATCCTTCTTTAAACTCATATTCATTTACGAACATTAGTTGGTCATTACGGCTTCTTGAGAAGACCTGGCAGCAGTTGTTTTTGTGAGTAATAAATTTGTCTTCTCGTGTAATTTGTGTTGTTATTGCGAGAGAAATTTTCCTGCTTAAGTCGGATTGTCCGGAGATAACAAAATGCATAACAAATTTAAAAACAACCTGATAAAAACGGAAATTTTGCCTTTAAATGTTGTTGATGACCAGTTGGTGTCTGTTCTGTTCCCAGTGAATGTCTTTCGGCCAAAGTTTGCTGCAGCTGGTCTTCGGCAAATTTGCGAAACGGGCTACTTGCGAGTCTTTTTAAATTCGGCTTTATTTTTGCTGCTTGTTGGATCAGGACCTAAAAGGTCAATGCCGATAGAAAAATTGGGCAGTTCTTCGCTGGTTTCTTCCATATTTTAAAGAGAGGGAAAAGTGCACTGCAGCTTAAAAGACGACAATTTTGCAGTCGGGTAAAAAAAAATGCTCACGTCATCTTATTTACGCACGGGCGTGCGTAAATAAAGATTTTGTTCATAGCGGCTCAATAGGACTTATATAGGGCAAGCACGCGCGTTATGTTATAATTCAGTGTTGTGTATACACCCTGATTTTTAGACATGATTCGACGGTCGTGATTCGACCATCATGATTCGACACTAATCACGTGACGTATCCCTTCGCAGTACGTAACCGGTTGCAAAAATAATTGAGAGTTCTGCCGTGGGATCCGAAACAGTGAGAGAAAAATCTGGCTGGCAAGGAAAACTTAGCACTAAAGGACATAAGTGTAACGAAGCTAGAATCCCGACAAATGCGTTTTACCCTGAAGTGGAAAGCTGTGTTGCCTGGAAAGAGGCGACATGATACAGAAATTATGATAACATGTGATACCTGTAGTGCGATTGCCGAGTTCGAATGTATTTCAGTAGGCGATTTTATAATGGACGAAATATTATCAATACGGCGAAAAGCGAAATAGTACGATGGTTTATCGTTTAGTCTTGTTCTGTATGACAAGGTTTCGGTATTTTGCCGTTGGTGAATACCACCCGCAATTTACATGTAACAGTGATGCAAACTTTGTTATTTGTATTTCTTCAAGTTGGTACTTTTTCGTCCTTACTTAGCTTCTGCATGGTTAAAAAATAACAGGAAAACTTGACGTTTTGCAGAAGAAATCAACAGATAAATTGATCAGTCTGCCGTTGTGAAAGAATTTGCTGGAGAGTTTGAAAGTTTTGTTTTGTCGACCATTGAAAAATATCACAATGTTCGGTCCTCGACCTATGACCCTAGTGAGCACAAATAAAGAAAACCATACGTAAAAGAAAGCAACTTTTGTTTTTATTGAAAAAGGGTAAAATATGATATTTCTTTAAAGATCAAGGTAGAAGCCGCAAAAAAAGTTGAGAAAAGAGCCAAAAAACTTATTGATCGAGACGTCCAGACGCCCGATAACATGTATTGCTCTTAGATTGCGTGACTTGTATGAGAGGCTATTGTCTGAAAAGGAGAACAAATTATGGATCACAGTCCTCTTTTTCTGAATTACATTCAAGCTATCATTAAAGTAACTTTCAGATTGTGTGCTTTGATTCCTGTAGGATATTCAAGGTAAAATACTGTACTGCTTGGTAAACTGTCGGTCGAATCATGACGGTCGAATCATGACCGTCGAATCATGTCTAAAAATCAGGGTTTATACATAGCACTGGAATCAGTTGTAAGTGTCGGAGGCACGAACTCCTAGCGGGGTCCGGGGGCATGCCCCCCCCGGGAAACTTGTACAATTTGACTATCTAAAATGCAATTTCCTACGTTCCCTGGATTGGAATTGGGTAACCGGGAAGGTCTTTTAAGGCGTTAAAAAGTGCTCACTGATTTGGCAATTATAATTATCAGTTTGCAGAAGTTTGCTCTCTGATCAAAGGTCAGGGTCAGTTGTGGGCGAGCTTGTCTGGTCAGTTATTATACCTGGCAGGGGAGGGGGTAAGGGATGGGGAATGATGAATAATGATTTTATTATGCATGTGTATGACAAGAATTCTCTCTCTTTTTGGGGGGGATTGTACGCACTACATGACTAAGTGAGTAAAATAAGGGTCAAGTCTTCCTTTGGTTAATAAATGGAAAAAACGATTTTGACACTTATTATTTCGTGTGTGAACTACCGGACGTTACATGTCAAACAACCGGACGTTGCGTCCGGCGTCCGGCCTGAAACGAAACCCCTAGTTAATGTTAACGTCGGCAGTGAGAAGCTCGGTATTGTTAGCTGTAACCAAGAGAGGATAGCGCAGTGGTTCCATAGGAAAGATGGTCACGCAACGCGGTGAGGAGGTGCGTTGCGTGACAGATACGAAAACGGTTGTTGCGCAGGAGACAATCGTTGGTTTTCAGTGTCACGCCATTCAAAATAGATCCAATAAAAATCAAAACTGTTCAATGGATAAATTCCAGAATCTAGTAAATTAAAGGAAGTAAATATGCAAAGACCCTCGCCAAGAGACGCCATGCAGATGCCCATCCAGACGGGCACCAACATGGCGGACGGACACCAACAGAAACATTTGTTACCGAGTTTTGCTTCAAAATAAAATTGTGAATTTATCCCTCACGCGCCTCCTCACCGCGTTGCGTGACCATTTTTCCATAAACATTAAAGTAACACTTTTGCAAAAACATGAACTGTTCAGATAGCAAAATTTTCCAGAAGCATCTCACTTTTTAACCTACGTGACAGCTCTCTCGGCCGTCATGTAATTGCCCCGTCACGCAAGCTCTATCACAAACCAAGAACCCTTTCGATGCGAAACATTGTATGAAAGTTAGTTTTCAGTTACTCTGATACATCATGAAAAGTAAAATCTCAGTAGGATCGATAGATTTAGTGACGTAATGAGAAAACCAACAATGGTCAGACAGTCTGTAAAAAACGAAAGAAAAAAAAACAAGCAAAACAAAACAAAACAAAAACTGTCGAATGGGACAGTTTCATAGGGCAAAACAACAACCTCAGTTTGCGTTTACGAGATATTTTTCTTTCGTTTACACTCCAAGCAAACAAACGTGTGAAAAAATTCTTTAATAGCAATGTATTAATTACGCACATAATTTCATTGTTTAGAAAACATCTCTCTCTTGATGCAGTTACATTATAATTTAGTACCCACTTAGTCTTTCTTATTTACTCATCGTCTTTCTTTATTAATTCATATTATTATACAAACAGCCAACCCTTCTCCATAACGGCAAAGGCCTATGTTTTTTAGATACATACTTTGACTTAAAAAATGACAAGTGTATAGGCTGTCAAAAGGTATGTCAACTGCCAACAACACTCCAATTCAAGACTACAATAACCCGGACCATCATGTTCCACCTCCTAATGAAATCATTCATTGATATATTTCGATAGTGTTAGGTTTAACACACTACCAAAAGCATTTTCAAAAGAAAATGTTCTACCCTCTCCCCCAAATGGTGTCACATCACACCCCTTACTCCTTATCACGGCCACCACCCACGTTCTCAAGAGTAAGAGTGCCGTTGTTGAGAGCTGCCACTGTATTTGAGGAGATTCCCGTTAAGGTCATGTTTTTCGTTCGCCAGTTTTTGCCTAATTCATGTGCGGCGTTTTCCCAGGCCTTCTCGAGGTAAATTCACCTCGGTGACGTACCCATGGTGTCACGTGACCCGAAATGTCTTGGCCGCGCGGAATAACGAGGCCTAGGGACTAGGCAAGGCCATTTTGAAGTTTTGAAGTTGCGCGTGAGTCCGGGCGGTGGTGTGTCCCAGTGCACTATGGGATACTTTTGGGAACGCCGTCGTCATTTCCGTTGGCTGCTGCGAGGGAAACTGGGTCAAAAATTCGTCCCACAACAATCCCACAGTGCAATTTGACACAATACCAGACCTGTATCATGTACAATCCAAAAATGGCCCATTGCAATCGTGTGTATTACTTGTCACTTCAACGACGTCTTATTTCATACAAAAGGGATTGAACTGACGCTTATTCAGTTTCCTTCTTAATATTCTTAAGGACCAAAAAAATAGAAAGCCTGTAAGAAGGTAGTAGAGTCAGGTAGAGTAGAATACTGTTCAACAGCATATTAGGAATATATTTCGAATATAAAAACTAAATACCCCTCTGATAGATTTCGAACACAATCATCGCTTTACATTTTCCAGTATTATATCTTCCTCCTCATCATCCGTATCATCGGAGTATTCGTTGCTAAGCAACGCCTTGGAGTTAAAGGAGTTCAACGAACGCTCGTGGTCGTAGTCCATTACATATCCATTTCGTCTGACATTCATATGTTTTCTGTAACGACTCAATCGCCACAATCCAACTACAACAATAGCCAGCACTATAGCTATCATGAAACTGAGTCCCACCATCACGGCAACTGGCAATCCTAACACAAGGCTTTGCTTGTGCAATTGAAACTGGACTTGTGTCGCAGGCTCGTTTGGATGAACGTAAAGGTTTAATGTGACCGCCTTATAGCCTGGTGCTGAGGCAGTAACGTCATAGCTTCCGGGAGTTAGAAGCCGCCAAAAATCCCCGTCTTTAGCCGTCGTGACGTCATGGTCGCGATTTTTAACCGCTATTACTGCGTTGGGTATAGGAGATCCTGTATCATCATACACGACACCTTTTACACCATGATGTATCTACAATAAAAAGAGTGTTTAGAAATGGTATGACTTAAACACTTAAAAATCCCTATTTCCTAATCCTTCACCGTCAGCATTCGCCCCGCTACACTTTCACACTTTTTAGGAGTGGAATGTCACCTCAGTGCCGTTGACGCTGTTTTCAATAGCTACTAGTACTGTTTTTTATCTATAAATTATTCATCGTCACTAGTCTAGGCAATTGAATACCAAGGACAAGAACGAAGGCCTTTCTGTCTTTATCAGTAACATAAAGGACTTTACCTGAAACATGAAAAAGAAGAGGGCTTTTTTATGCTCACTCCACAGCCGCTCCAAATCCTGGGCATATGGGAATTTGCAACATCCCATGTGTACGCCGATCTCAAGACAGTTGGTATTGTCGTACATATAATCCTTCATACCACCGACGTTACTTTGCCAAGCTGCACCATTTGTGATCCCTTTGGGAAACTCCTCCCGCACAGAAAGGCCTGGGCATAGTGGTTTCCCATAATGCATTGATGGATGCAAGTTGGCATATGAAGATGCTAGATAACGGAAGACATCTTCGTCAGGGGTGGGGTTAGGAATTGGGCGGCCTTGAGAGTGTGAATCATAGGGGTAGTGAGCGACCAGTGAGCCTCCATGCAAACTGGCTGATAACACAAATGGATGTTGTTTGATCCACTTCATGACTGCAGCTGTTTCGGCTTCAAGTGTCTTACTTGAAGGGTCGTTAACGTCTATAAGATAGAAGATTAACTTTTACTGAGTATGTGCATTATAGTTAAGGAAGAAAATGATTAATTTAGTCTGAAGTACAGGGATGGTAAGGATTTTTTTGCTTCAAGTTTGGTGACAACACACATATTGGACGCTACACGTGGACTGAGTTTGTTCTTGGTTCTCTCCTTTACTCCGAGAGGTTTTCTCCGGGGACTCTAGTTTTTCCCTCTCCTCAAAAACTAGCCTGTACACAGACCTTGTTTTCTTTTCTTTTCGAAAACCCACCCCCTTGCGCTAGAAGTCAATAAACCCCCCCTCGGTTTTTATTTTCATACGCGCGCTCTAAAGAGAAAATAGCGGCTCTGTGAACAGGCTACACAAAAACCAACACTTTCAAATTCCAATTCGATCACGAATGCACGGACACGTTTTAAAAAACCAGTTCTTATGAACTCCTAAGTGTTTCATGGGTAAACAAATTCCATTTGTTTTGGAGCCACCTCTCCAAAAGTGTCATAGATACAGCAGGAGTCCCCTGTCCACCCATACTTGGTAACTATGGTCCACCTTTCAATTGCCCCTGAGAATGAATGCAGGTGTACATCACATGGGGCGTTTCTAATGGCAACAAAAAAGGTCCTGCGCTAAATTTCATGAGCTGCCCCCAGTTGTTCAAAGCTCACAAGGCGGATACGTTACCCAATGGATAAATCTCTATCCAATGGATAGCGCATTTGATATCCCTATGGATAGCGCTATCTAACGTTTTAACAACCGGAGCCTGTGCATGTTGTGGTTTCATATCAGATTTCCTTTGCTTTTGTGTGTGGTAATGTATACCTATAAAACCAATGAACAATGAAATTTGAACAACAAAATAACAACAAATGGGCCTAAACATACCTGGAAAATTTGTGTACAAATCCACGTCCCTAGCATTATTCCTTCCTTTGTCAGTGAAACAGTTTCCTTTAATGGCCACCTCAGATCCATCTGAGTTGAGAGAAGGGAGAATATGGATGCGAGTACTGTTCACAAGGCGTGTAACCAAGTCATCTTTACCATAACTCAAACACAGATGTTGAATCATAAGCAGCAGCATTTCCTTCCCCACTGCCTCATTGCCGTGAACCCCGCCCACATACCTGAACTCTGGTTCACCTTGTTCGTGCAGTCCTGGATTATCAGAAATCTCCATAACCCAAATGTTACGATACTGAACAGTTTGACCGATGCTGTACAGCCTGGTAATGTTGGGACACTTAGTCACTATGTCTCTGAGGAAGCGCTCCATTGCGTCATAATTGTGAAAAGAAAATTGTGGTTTTTCATGCAAATTATACATGACAGAGGCTCTAGAATTCTCATGTATTGTAACCTCTTTAGTTATGCTTGCATAGCCTGGAGCAGTTGCTGTGATTTTGTACTTTCCTTGAGGCAAGAGTTGGTGGAAGTACGAATCAGATTGCTTGAGAACAAAGGAAATGCCAGGACCTTTAACAGAAACTGTTGAGGTATTCACAGGTCTGTGGTCTAAGGTATGAACAACACCATCAACGGCTTGGTGTGACTTGGCCAAGAATGCCAGAAGTGGCTCACGGTTTGCCTCCCAAATGTTCTTTAGCTGTTCAGCTGGTGGGTACTTACAACAAGAAATAAAGAACGAGAGTTGTGGGATGTTGAGCATGAGGTATGCATAATCTTGCATGGTGTAATGAAGTTCTTTCCACTGTGCACCATTGATAACCCCATCAGCAAACCCAGAGGCAGATTCATTACAACCTTGACCAAGGTGCATTGTGGGATGTTTGGTGGAATAGGTTAAGGCAAGCTCTTTAAACAAAGAGTTGTGTGATGTTAGAGAGCCTTTGACATCATCACGGTCACTCAAATGGACACTCATAGGATACCTACGGAAAAAAGGACTGGTTTTAAAATGACACAGCAGTCTTCACTTTTACTTTACGGTTTCTCTCCTCCCCTCTTTTTTCGCTTTTCCTGCCTGATTTTTTTCTTTTGCTGGGCATTTAGTGCGCTTCATTTTGGTGGGAAACACTTTTAAGAAAGCCCTTAGGATCTTAGGATTAGATGAAAGGAAAGGTAGGTGGGGAGTGGAACAAGATTTTCATGGAAATTTTCAGGTCAATGTTACATGGTTTGTTGCCTTTTTCTCCGGTGTTCTTGTATGGTTTGAAGGATCTCTTCACTCTGCACAAGTTAGCAGACAAAGTTGCCCTTGACTATTAAAACTGATGATGTCACAAGCAGTAGAAGGGACATGGAACTACACGGGTCTGCACGAATGAGTTAATGAAAGTGAAAAACATTTAAAAAGCAGCAAATCATCATCCATACCTTGCCACCAATTCACCTCCACTGAAATCAGCCAAGAGGGTGAAGTTGTTGCTTTTCATCCAAGTTTTCATATGCTTGACCTCTTGAGGCTCATCAGCAGCTGTGTCAAGAAACTTAGAAAAAAGAAAGTTTATCGATTAATATTACAATGACTGAATCATTCATTAGCAACTGAAACATTCACATTTTTAAACTAGACCCATGGTGTGTCTTTTAATTTAGAATATGAGAGATTACATAGCAATGATGACTTATATGCTATCCCTATGCACTGTCAAGGGTTCCAATGGCATCTGAAGAAGGCAGCATTATATCAAAAAGGTTTAAAAGACTCTTTCATTCCCCCAATTTAGGGGGATGTCAGTGGCGATCCATACCTTCAGATAAGGGGGGGCCCTAGTCATCCAGACCATGAGATAAGGGGGGGCCCGGCCTCAAAAAAAATTTTTTCGGCCCTTTGGGCCTCATTTTGGTCTAAAAATGAGGGGGGCCCAGGCCCCCGTGCCCCTCCCCTGGATCCACCACTGGTCAGTGGCAGATCCAGACCTTCAGATAAGGGGGGGCAGTCATCCAGACCCTGAGATAGGGGGGGCCTGGCCTCAAAAAAAATTTTTTCGGCCCTTTGGGATGCCCCTCCCTGGATCCACCACTGGTCAGTGGCAGACCCAGACCTTCAGATAAGGGGGGGCAGTCATCCAGACCCTGAGATAGGGGGGGCCTGGCCTCAAAAAAATTTTTTTTTGGCCCTTCGGGCCTCATTTTGGTCTGGACCCACCACTGGATGTAGCTGATTTATCTGAGTGATGTGGCCGATCATCTGTTGGCTGATAATGCTTATTGACAGTACTGCTCAGTATAGAGAGAAATGTGAAAGAACAATGTATTTACCATATTTTGGTCATGACCTTTGTTGGTTCCCTGCATATATGGAAGGTATTGCCTTTAAGGAAAATTTCTAGGATACAATCATGGCCTAAAGCTTACAGAAGTTGGGACACCAAGCTAGATGTGATCATGACACAGTATTGTTGCCCAGAAAATCTTTGTAATACTGTTAGCATAAATTTTATACAATTCCACATAATCTGACACCCCCTAGGAATCTTCTTATATAGTTACTGGCACATTCAATGAGAAATGTTTGTGGCTTTCTAGTCCACATTAATCATTTGGACAATGCTCTCCCGAGTTAAAAAGAACAATGTAACTAAGAAGCCTAACATCTAAGGCTTTCAGGCTATGGAAACTTTTAGCTTATTAAGTAAAAGTGATCATATCACTGCTTACTTCTTTGATATTCTTTGGTAACAGGCTTTTATCACTGCTCGTCAAATTGAAGTAGAAGCTCCTGGATAAATCATCCATTGGTTTTAAGTGGCCTTCACAATCTCCTTCAGTTGCCTTTTCATTCCCATCCACATCAACAGCTGGCACAATATGAAGCACTGTTGATTGAAGGAGTGTTTTAATCCGATCATCTTTCTGTTCATAATGACTACACAAGTATTCTATCAACTTAAGAAGTAACTCCTTGCCAGTTATATCTGTGCCTTCTAAGCTGCCAACGAGTCCAACCTGAGGTTTTGTCTTTCTTAACTCTGGATTTTCTGTTACTTTCAAACCATAAAGTGGCTTCCCTCCTTTACTGGTCCCAATTGTCGTCAACTTCATGATACTTGAGCACCTTTTGGCCTGCTCTTGCAAGAATTCAGTCATTTGCTGGTGACTATGATGATAGAATTCCAACTTGGCATCTACTATAAAAAAACGTACAAACAACTAGTGAATTTATATGCTGTGCAAAGTACAGAGTAAAGTTACAGTGAGCTCACATAAATATATATGAACATTCCTGGCCAAAATGGCAGTGATTTTGTTATCTCTGCGTCCTGTGTCCCTGATGCATAAAAATCCCAAAGAACGCAAAATAATTCATGGAATGCATCTCGTAGGACGCAAAGATCAAGAAGATGTTTTTAAAGAATATCCTGTTTATGTGATTTCTGTGGCTGTTGTCTAATGATCAATGCATATATCTTTTAGTCTTTGTTGTGGTTGACGATAGAAGGAGTAAATTTTCATTTCAGTAAACTGTAATAGAGAGTTGTGGAGTCTGCCTTTAACCCTTTCACTGCCAAATGTGGCCAAAAGCAAATTTCGACCAAAGTTCCAAATTTCATTTTCAAATATTTTGAGAAACAAGTGGTATAATGTGAAAGTACAGGCAGAGAGATTTCATTTGAATGGTCACATCATAGGATTTCGTCCATAGACTAAAAAGTTAGAGTCACCTTACAAAACCCCCTCAAACACTCTGGCAGTGAAAGGGTTAAATTACCTGTGTGGTTACATAAAGCCCCAGGGACTCATGTTTTTGAATAGGGACTCAATGGTTCTGGACTGGGACTCATGATTTTTCACAAGATGAGTCCCATGACTTACCATAACTATTTGTAACAAAATCACTGAAATAGTGTACGGAAAAATTTGCTTTTTCTTTCACAATAGGCCATAAATTAAGACATCATTTTGCTACAACTACCCAGATTCATTCCTCTTTCCCTTCTTGTTTTCAGTTTAATCATCCCAGTGAGTTTCATTAACACAATGTACAGCTCTAAGTTACAGAATTAAACAATTAAAAAGGGAAGGATTTTAATAGTTCCAGTAAAATGATGCCCTAGAAAAGGTTGCATCTGTTAAGCCTTAAGAGAACCTAATATTTAACATTCAATTCTCCCTTTGTTTCACAAGGATATACAAGACAAACTCAAAAGAGAATTTCGGAGTTTAAGAAAGCCACTTATGGAGTCAGTTGTTCACAGTATTACCAGGTGGTTCTAGAAACCATCCTGAGTAACAACAGGATTTCAATAAGCATCAGAATACAGCTCAACTTACCTTCTGTTGAAACTTGAGGTGAAACATTAAATATAGTAGTTGGTTTTACTTCTGCAGAGGTAGATACAGAGGGATAAGACACTGGAGACTGGGAGTTCTTCTGGCCAACTCCCTCAGATGGTTTGTCAACTGGAAACACACTTTGGCTTGTTGTTGATATAAGTGGTGCTTGAACAGTGGATGGTTGTGGCTGCTCAAATTGTTTGAGTACAAAATTTAACTCTGTAGCAAGACCAGAAGATACCTCCACACTTTGAGTGACAGGAACATATCCAGGAGAGGAAACAGTGATAGAATATTTTCCAGGAACAACAAGTCTCCAATAATCTCCATCTCTTGCTGAAACAATCTCATGGTTGATTCCTGAAACAGCAATGGTTGCCTGACTTAATCCATCTCCAGCTTGATTTCTTATGAATCCCTTGATGCCAGTATGAACTTGAGACATGAATGTTAGAAGAGAAACTTTGTGGGCATCCCAGTATGACTTAAGTGTGGACTGAACAGGAAATTTAATACAACTCATTTCTATGGTAAGTTCAAAGCAGTTAGAATGAAGATAATTATAATCTTGCATGCCGCCTTTAACAACATACCAATCAGCACCGTTAGTGATACCATCTTTGAAATATTCATCAGGATAAGCAGAACAAGGGCGGCCTCCTCCCATAGTTGGATGTGCTTTGGAATAGGTGAGTGCTAACTGACGGAAGACACCATCATCCGGGCTGCGACTGTATGCTTCCCTCCCAGAAGGAGTGTCATCAAATGGGTAGTTTGCAACAATCGATCCCCCATGAAGGTTAGCCGACAACACAAATGGAAAATCTTGGATCCATTTCATAACAGCCAAAGTCTCGGGCTGATGATTGGGGTTCAGATTTGGGAAATACTGATCTGGGAAATTTCTATTCAAATCAACATTTCTGGCATTCTCACGACCAGGGCCCGAGGATTGCCCTTCAGTAGCCCTTTCATATCCATCAGGGTTCATTGACGGCATAATATGAATACGAGTGTAATCAATAAGTGCTGTAATTGCAGGAACTTTCTGATAATTCTCACAAAGGGATTGAATTAGAAGCAAAAGAGTTTCTCTTCCTATAACCTCATCGCCATGCATGTTGCCTACATATTTAAACTCAGGTTCACCTGGCTCATGAATTCCTGGATTGTCAGTTATTTCTATTACCCACAGTTCTCTGTCCTGAACTGACTTTCCCACAGAGTATAGTCTGGTGATGTTTGGGTACAACTTTGCCATAGTCTGAAGAAATATTGTCATGTCATTATAATTATGATGTCTAAAGATTCTTGGTTTCTCCCAGCCTTCGACAATTTTTGAAAAGGCATTGGATGTAGTTGGAATGCTTGTAAAAGGGACTTGAACACTTTCAAGTGGCTCAATTACTTGAAGGTTAGAGCTTAAGTCTCGCTTGGTTAAGCGTTTCAGGCTTGAAAGCCATGGAATATCTCTTGTATAAACGTTCCCATAAAAATCCCTGCTCCTTTGATTGCTATCTCCCCTCAGCACAAACTCTAAATTTGTTGCATCCCCAGAGGTTACAATTACATTACTTAGAGTTTTACTTTGATACCCTGAAGCAAAAGCACTGACTGTGTAAGTTCCAGGCAACAAAATTCTCCAGAAGTCACCATGTAATGCAGTTGTTACATTATGATCAATTCCATGAATATTAATTACTGCATCCCTTATACCCATTCCATGTGTGTTTCTTACAAATCCCTTAATACCTTTATGCACTTGCTCTAAATATGCAATTAAGGCTTGCTTGTTATTTGTCCACTCGCTCTGCAAATAAGAGTGATGCGGGTACTTGCAGCATGAAAGTTCAAGGGTAATTTCAAAGCAGTTGCTTATAAGGTAATTAACATCCTGCATACCACCAGCAACATCATACCAGAATGCCCCATTGGTTATGCCTCCTTCAAAACCCTGGTCACACTCCTTACTGGTACTCATTGTCCTGTGATTGGTAGCATATGTCTTTGCTAAATGTCTAAAAATTTCATCATCTGGAGATCTACTATAAAATCCACTTCTTCGATGTCCCTTATTGCTGTCAAAAGGATAACTTGCCACCAGGGCCCCTCCGTGTAAATTTGCCGACAGGACGAAAGGATTGTTATAAATCCACGTAAGCATTGCTTTAGTTTCCGGTTGCGCTGAAGCCATATCGTAGTTTTTCCATTTATTAAACTGATCAGGAAAATTGCGATTGAGATCGACATTATTATAGTTATGCCGACCTTTTATTCCCATGCAATCACCTTCTCTTGAACGTTGAAACCCATCGGGGTTCATTGAAGGCATGATGAAGATATTAGTCGTGTTAACAAGTTTAGTGACACGCTCGTCTCGGCCGTAATTCTCGAGTAAATAAGCGATAAAATAGATTAAGACTTGCCTTCCAACGGCCTCATTTCCGTGCATATTTGCAACGTATTTGAACATAGGTTCTCCAGGTTCTTTGACGAGAGGTTGATCAGTGATCTGTAAGGCATATAATTTTCGATTCAACGCTGATCGTCCAATGACATGAAGCCTAGCAATGTCTTTGTGTCGATACACGAACGAACGAAGCAAACAGGCGAGCTTGCGGTTACTTGTATAGCCTTTAGATACTAAAGACGACAGTCGAACATCACAATGCCTCTTAGACTGTATCCCTGCGATAAAAACGAAAATTATTACAGCCAAAATGCAATTCGCCGCCGCCATGTTTTTCATACTCGTATTGTTTTCTTTCATTGACACGTGACGGGGACAAATCACGCCGCCACTACAACCCGTGCTGAGGTGCAGCCGCGTCTAAAACTTCCTAAATCCGTGCGAAAATTCACAGAAGTTCGCTTGGCGCTGTACCGGATCTCAGTTCTCAGGTTAAAAATTCAAGAATTAGGATATTTACTGTTAATTCAGCGTCAAATAGTTCCATGGTAAACACAGCTGGTCGAGTTTGGCATGTATCACTAATGAGTCTCTCAAGAACCAAACACAGCTGTGTTCTAAAAATAATTATGTTCTGCAGAGCGCAGAGTGATTTATTGGTTGGTATTTTGCTCTTATTCAAGCTCTAATCGATACCCTTCTATGGAGGCTCAGACATCTCAGTCTTATAACCTGTTTGGGACTTGTCTGAGGTAAAGCCTGTTTTTAATTCCAAGGGTTGGAGTGAGCCGAAACCTACCCTGAATGAGCTAATTTACCCATGTTAGCTTCTGAAATAAATGTATAAAACTGGTTATATCTCGGATGATAACTCACGCTTTTTTCCAGGGAATAAATACAACCTACTCAAATATGGGTAGAAAGTGTTGCCCACAAGCAACCAATTTTTTACTCTAGACAGGTACCCTTTATCGGCCTCCATTGGCACCCTTGTACTCCTGACAGTACGTATTGTCTTGGATACGGGATCGTAATAGGGTAGCTTTACAGTGGCCTTCTTTCCGTTACGGTTAGCAAAAATGACCTTTATACATAGTTGTAATCAGTGTTTCCCATTAAGTTGGATATGAATGAATTTCCATTGCCTTGGCTCAGTATGGAAATATAGCTGCAATAGCCATTTAGCAAGACAGTTGATGGCCGAAGTCTAAATTAATAAGTGTGTTAACACCTTCAAAACGAAAAATTGTAGCTTCAATTTTTCTGCTTAAGTTCATTATCGTTTTCGTGATTAATGGTTAATTTTGTATAACCACATCGCGACCCACCCACTATAGACTCATTTTCAAATAAGACTGTCCTACACTAACTATTTCCATACGTGACCCTCACGGGCTAAGGAGACCACAGTTGCCTCGTTTCTAGTAGACTAGGAGCAGCTGAAGAGCAGTCTCTCTTTTTTCTGTAGTCCGTCGAGCAAAACGCGAGACACGCAAATGGCCACGCGCGAGACTGATTGCGCGAGATGGGAGAGGCTTCTCGGGCTGCCACCCTCGTTTCGCGCGTCTCGCGGCTTCGCCGCTCGCGCGTGCGTGCACTCCCCTCACTAAACCGGAAGAAAAAGAGAGACTGCTCGCAGTCTACGTTTCTAGTCGCTCGCGATCGCTGATTTTACGGATACTTTAGTTGATAATGCAAAAAGGCGGAGGCAAGGGGAACTCTGTTTTCCTTCCTATACTATGGCTACCCCAGTTGGTAACCCCAACTCGTGCTTTGCGCTCGTTCCCATCATGCCCCTCTTCCTACCCTCTCACTAGTATCCAGGACCAACACAGTTAGAAACAAATAATATGGACACATACATCTTCTAGTATAACCGCTTAAAATATAATGATATGTTGACTTCACTTTCATTCAGACAAGGCAATGGGTTCGCACTCCGGCTACATCTTTCAAAGGCCAGATCTGAAAAAGGGTATAAAACATGGCAAGTTTTGGTCTGAAAGGGGCTCATGATTTGAAGAAGCGGGCCGGACAACCTCCCTCCCCACGACCCCCTCCACCAAGTGTTCCTTGGAGAACTACAGCCAGGCTTTGTTGTAGCCGATAAATATTACCAAGCATCAGAAATAGTATGCTTTATTTGCAGCTCCCTTACAAATTTTCTCACATCAGCTCACACCTTGGTGAAATGAACTCTTCCTTTACTCGGTCTTCCCCCGGCCGTTCGCAGTTTATAGAATATTTATCAGAAACGTTCATGGTTGGTTTAGCATAGTGGAGTCTTAATTTTCGTAATAAATCATTTACGACAACTGCACTTTCGCTTACCAAAACCTCTAAATATTCCTTTAACTAAAACGCGAGATTAAAAGGCCCAACTAAACTGTTCAGTTTGGGCCATCACGAAGAAACATATATGTTGACACTGACTGAAATAAGTAAGCGGGACAATTTCTCCTAGAATACTCAATTATTACCGACACAGTTTGATGGTTTCTGGTATGCAGCTTAGCATCGGTATTTTTTAAGTCTTTAATGTCAAGTCTGTTAAAATGTACTCAAATAACCGTTGCTGTGTGTTAACATTTGAAAGGGTACGATACATTCTAACAATTTTCAGGCGTTGTTTTCAAGAAATATACCTTATTTTCCTAAAATTATGGACTTAAATAGGTCCGCCAGTGGGCCAATGGGTGGAAGTTACTTTCTTGCCTTTAATGTAACCTGTGATCAAGCTTTTCTTTCCTCTTTGAGAAGAGAGGAAAAAACCAAAAAGCCCTCCTTTTCATGACAGACATAGATATAAAGGGACCTAAAGAAAGGGGATGATCGTAGGCTACGGATTACGTTTTGAATTGGGTTGACTCTGTCTCTTCTCCACTTCCCTCAAAGTTGAATTAGGCTGCGTATGATAAAGGGTTTTCTTAAATGAGAGTTTAAGCTTTTTTATCTTGTTATTATGAGTGTGCGGAGCCGCAGAATCGTGTGATAGTCTTTGATTTCCCCCACTGCCAGGAATGTCATCTCTACTAATAACACGTTTGTTCATTCTACTTTTGTTTCCACCCATGCTTAGCCCATGAGATTTGTTTCCGCTGGTACCGTTTTCCTTTATGGTGATTTTGATGTTATGAGTACCCACATAGGAAACGTTCATGCTGTTAGCTTCACGTGAGGTCCCATTTTTCTCATTTATTTTTCCTCTCGGTTTCATTTTCACGTTGCCTTTTTTAGAAACAGCAGCTTTTATTTTATGCGGCTTCACGCGAGCTTCATTTCGCAGACGAATCTTGCCTTTATGTTTCGGTATGGTATTCCTTCCAAAAACTCCAAACGTTTTGATTGAAGGTTTAGCCTTAGCCGTTGAATTTTGTTGCTCGTGTCTTTGAATGGCTTTACGTTTTTGACTTGCCAACATGTTATCTTCAGCTTCCATATGTTGTACTGCCTGCACCGCTGGGTCATCCTCGATCGAAGGCAAATTCAGATCTTTGAGGTCTTCAGCTACCGAAGCAGCCTCGCGTCCTGGGTTCCACTGTTCTGCGCCCACTTGAGGTTGTAGACTACTTTTCGTGGGGTTTGAATCCAACAGCCTTTGTGCGTGTACCTGCTCTGGTGCAAAGTTCCAGTTGTAACTGTTTACCTCAGCACTCGGCTGCTCTTGAATATTTTCAAACCCACCGCTATCCACATAGCTGGTTTGAATTGGTGATGCCTGAAGAAAGTTAGCGTACGGATTGTTGTGTTTTGATGAACTCAGACTGGTCTGGGGGCTTTCATAACGTGTACTCTTCAAATGAGAAGAATTGATCCCAGTAGCAGGTTCCTTCACATTTTTGTCGTTGACATTCACGTTATCTGCTGTTTTACTTCGGACAGGAAGCTGACCACGCGATGAATCATCCGCTTCGTCCTCTAGCTTCAACTTGTTAGCGTAGCCGCGAAGAGTTTTCAACAAAGCTTTCATAGAAGTAGATATTTCCCTGATTTCAGAAGCACTTGGAAGCTCTATTTCCGGAGAGGCCGGCTTAATCTGCCTGTCTGCAGCAGTTTGTGCAGTTTTTGAGACAATGGCCTCCGTTTCCCCTAAAGTTTCACTATCGGTTGTTGAAAATAAATCCGAAACAATCGGCAAAGGTTTATCCTGAAACGACTTTGTTTCCGCACTTTTTGAACCTAGGCTATCAGAACTGAGAGATGATGTTGAGGTTAGAGCAGCAGCGAGATCGACAGGTTTCACAGTGGGAAGATCTTCATCCTCATCTGTCGCTATTCTCCCTATCGCATTCATCTGAAGGCCCAAGGGAAGGTCCGTCATTGATTTCGTTTGGGAACCTGCACTATTTTGTGAAGACGGCGAAAGCGTCGTTGGCAACACATCGCCATCTGACGACTTTGAATAAGCTTCGACCTGACTTGTCCCTGCGGTTGGATCAGAGAGTACCCCAGGCACTTGCAGTATTTGGTGTTGCTTAAATGAATGTTCAGTATCTTTAGATGATGTGGAATTGATCTTTCCCAGTGTTGTCGCCGACTGAATATTGAGGTAATGAGGAACCTTACTGCTTTGCAAACCAATTTTTTCTTTAGCCAGGGGCTGCTCTTTGCTTTTAACTGAAGGAACTGGTGTAGCATCTACGGTCTCTAACGTAAATGTTACCATTTGGTCACCTGAGTCAAGTTTATCAATGTCTTTTGACTTCGTGGAGTTGGTTGCCCTGTTTTCTGGCAAAGTAAGGATAGGCACAGCAGGATTGAGATTTTTATCTAAAAGTTTTTTAACCTTTTTTCTTTCGCCTGCATGGTCGTTAGGCGCCTCCAAAATTGCATCTGTTTCAGAAAGGTCACCCAAGGTGTGGTCAGTCGGCACAACATGTGCCAAACGCTCATTTTCAGTTTCATCGTGGTGAATTTTTGGCTTTTTCCTTGCTGAGTTGTCTTCATGGGTGTCCTTCACATTTAAGAGACTTGCTATGACCGCGGACATCAAGTCACTCGCCTTCACTTTGGAGTATTTATCTCCTGGTTTATTATGACTTGTAACAGGATGTAGGTTGTCGTTTCTTGACATGCTGTTCATAAAATCCATTAAGGTCGTATTCTGTATAGACTTGGACATATTTTTCGTGTTGTAATTGGAGAACGTAAGTTTTTCTTTTGCATCGTCATCATGGAACGGTTTCCGTATTGTTTCGAAGTCAGGACGTTGCGGCTGATCAATGTTGATACCGCTTTTAGATCGGTTTTTGCTTTTTATTTCAAGGTTCTCTTGTACAGAGGAATTATGGGGCGCTTTCAGAATTTCCGCCACAATCTTTCTCCCCAGTTGAGTGATAACATCCTGTTGTGGAGTGATTTTGCTTATACGTCCACCTAACAGAATTCCTTTAAAGTTGGTGAGTGTGTCAATTGTCTCATACAATGATCTGTTGGTAGAATTGCCTACGAGAGAGTTCTGACGTTTTGATAGTATTCCAATGATACTATTCACAGCTTTAGTAAGGAGAACATTATCAATTGAAGCTGTCTTATTTAAGCTCGTGATTCCTTCAGCTAGCTTGGAATTCGACTGATTATTTTTGACTGTCGGATGTTTCAAGGGAAATGTATGAAAGCCTGCTTCGATCACCTTTTTGTCAAGTGGGTTACTTAAGGCACCATTGTTTTGTAAAAATGAGGAAATATTTTGAGCTATCTCCGCAAACGGACTTCCACTAGCATTCCATTTTTTAATCAGATCGTTTATTGTACCTCGTTTTAGCGCGTCGTCAATCAGTCCAGTAAGAATATTTTTCAACATAAGAAAGCCACTATCTCTGGAGGGGGATTTTTGTAGGTTAGAACTATTGGTGCCAATTTTTACAACGTTCTCTCTTGTGTTTGCATTCTGTTGTCCCACAGCTTCCGCCATTTCTATGGCGTTATTTATTTTGCTTTGGACCATTTCCAGTTCTGCTGTGTTCATTTGGCCATTTATCTCTAAATTATTGTTGGGGTCCATTTCATCGTCATTACTGAACACTTGTTTTTCAGTTGGGCCAGATTGTGTATCATCACTTCCGGATAAGAGTGCTCCTAACATCTCCATGTCTTCATCAAGCGGGCTCTTCCTGTGGTGATGATGATGATGACGGTGATGGGGATGACGATAATGCATATATTGGTTTTTAAGTTGCGGTCCCTCTTGAAGATTTGGATACTTGGCGTCTGGTGAGATTGGTAAGTGATTTTGGTTGCGAGCATGTTTTGAGCTTTCATCTGATGATAACTTGGCTGTTAGAGCATCTAAAGCATCACTTAAAGTTTCCAATGTAACAATTTTGTCATCTAGCTTATTGATTTGTTCTTTGTTGGTTTGCTTCACCGAGTGTTTTCTGCTGCCGTTTATTGCACTCATAGTCAAGCTGTTGTCTGTCGATTTATTACCGTTGGCAGTATTTAAAACACTTGAAAGATCATTCAGAGCAAAAACCTTATTACCTATAGAGATAACGGGCGTCGACAAGCTTTTGCCGCCTGTAGCTGTTGTATCTTGTTTGGAGGATTGAAGCAACAACCCAGGCAGGATGTTTTCAATCAATCTTGTGTTAAGCGGAGTCTGAGGATTTGGTTCCACTGATGGTTTAACCGAAGATCCAAAATGTTGGGCCATTAAATTTTTGTACGACGAATCTCCAAGTGTTCCGAGGGCTAAAAGTCCTTTGGCAAGTCCCTGCCCAAAATTGCTGGCAAGAAAGTTTTTAACTAAATCCTGAGTATTACTGAGAGGTGAAATATTTGATGACATATCGGCTGGTGTTTTTGCAACAGCTGTAGCAATATCGTAATTATTAGGCTGGCTGATGTGATTACTGTATCCCGTTGGACCCAAGGCGGAACCTGTTTTGCTTATGCCAGGTGACTCATCATGTGTGTGTGTGACATCAGCGTTAGAATTCGAGGTACTGCCTCCAGAAAACACGTTCAAAGGTGTAATGCCAACTTGCAGTTTTGACTTTTCCTTTGTGTCCAGCAGTGTCGGCCGCGAATCCTTTGGGATAGGTAGATTTTCCCCAATCAACGTTGAATTTCTGACTTGGGATTCCCCTCCCAGGTATTCGATAATTGGCTTCAGCTTATCTGAAGCTTTTCCTTGAGGAACTGGAAGCAACATGCTTAAGTTCAATTCACCCATTGTGGACTGGGGGGCTGGACTCTTGCTACTCGATGTTAGGTCCAATGAAGAATGCACTGCGTCATATTGTTCTGAATCTGGAAGGTAATTTTGATCCTCTGCCTGCCCATCTGCCAAAATAACACACAAAAAAGCATTGGTTCTTGTTTGTTTTTTTCCTATCGGAAAAAACGATTTAGGGGCGAATTGTGCTGACAGACATAGTACAATAACTTTAGAATAGTAACCAATAAAAACGAACTCAAGCGAAAACTGCAAAAAGGGAAACAAAAAGAGTCGACTAGCCTCAAGATTGGCCAAGGGACCTCTTTAAGGTTTCCTCATTGGTGTCAAGCGACAAGAGACTTTAATCGACACCTTAACAATATCAATACGATAATTTTTAACTTCTCTAGACTTTTGGAACGCAACTTACTTGCTTCTTCCTCACTTGGCTGGCATTTGTAGCTAATGACAGCGTACTTGTCAATCCCTGGACAGTGTTCTCCACCTTTAGTCAAATGATGATCATCCGCAGTGACGATACAACTCTCCTTCCCAGAGCACTTAGACTTCAAAGCTAACAAACTGTCTGCTGAGTTGGCGCAAGTAAAAAACTTCCCGAGGGGGGTTGGGCAGGTAGAAGGGGAATCCCGCCCCCAATATGCTGATAGAACATGAATCTTCCATCCTTGGCCACACGTAAGCTCGGTCGTCTCACCATTGCACAACACAAACTTTCGTTTCTCTGGAATGCACGTATACTTGACCGCCAAGTATTTATTAACACCTGGGCAATGTTTCACTCCTGGTGGCTGCAAAATGCTATGCCTGGCGGGAATCTCGCAGTATTCCTTGTCATCGCACAGCTTTCGCACAATAGGGGTAGTGGAAGGATCACTGAGGCAATTGGTGACCGGATCTCCATCTTCGGAGGGGCAAATTTCGGATGAAAGGCGACCCCAAAAGGCTTCCTGTATAGCGATGCTTGAGCCAGGAGACACGCATTCGAGGGACTTGTTCTGACCAGCGCAGACAATGACTGATTTTTCTGAGGAAAAAAGTTGTCCTTTTAATCAGCTGTTAATACTGCAATTTAAAGTAGTGGGAAATATACAAATTGGCAGCTTACAAAATAAGGTTAATGGTACCAGCCAGAGCTCATTTACATGTGCAGCGGTCAAATAGCGTACTTACGTGGTAAGTGACAGCCGCGTTCTCCCGGTAAAACGCTGGTTGTGGAATGTCAAAGAAATAGCAAGTAGAGCTTTAGGCTTTTCCTTCACGTTTTTAGGATCTCAATACGCTAACATTCTTTCTTCAAAAATGTTCTACTTTAAGCGCTTTGAATTGACTTTCGAATTCTTTTCTGTTTTTCACTGAATTCACTTATCATTGACTTGCTGGCTTTGAATAACATTTAAGTGCGAGAACCTACATTTACATGTAATGAAAGGTTATTGAAGGGGAAACTGCCTTCCGTTAGCGACAAACCTGTTTCCAAGTCAATTTCACTTCGTGTCCTTCCAACTCTCCCTGGCGTTTCTGTCCGAACTGTGTGATGATAAAATTAAAATCAGTGCGCTCATAAATGATAGGGAATATCTCTTACATCGTAACTCTTCAATTAGCTGGTGGTTGTTACTGAGAGCTGTAACCATATTTCATGTTAAACTTAAGTAAATACAAATTTAAAACGCGTAAACTGAATAGATAACCGAGTGCTTTAAGCTGTAAAGGGACATATCGTGTAAATACATGTGAGTCGTCTATTCACAAAAGTGACTGTGGTAATACAAAATAACCTAACAATTTATTCTTTAAGACTCCCTGTGTGCCTTGTTTTGAAATCCTTAATTCTCTAAAATACTTGGCTTACTAAATGTTAAAATGCCATACAATAATCGAACTGCTTCAGCTCTTTGCTAGAACTAGTTAAACAGTTCATATATATGTATTTTCATTTTAGTCGGTAAACTATTAACGTCTAAAGAGATTAAATCGACAACAAATTCACAAGAATGAGAATTGAGCCAGGAGACATTTTGTTTTGAATAAAATTCCTTAAGTTATCTATCTATTCTCGAAATGGTTTCAGTAATCGTCTTTGTTATATTTATTGGCGAATTCTATTAATTAAAACTAAACTGAACAAAACAGGACTCTATCAAATCTCACCTGATAACTGGTCAAAAGTACCCGTTGAGACCACCCAGTCAAACAATACAGCAACAAGAAGCCAATAAATGAATATCAAATAGTTCTTCATCTTCAGACAACATTCTTTTACATCCCAAGGCGTTTAATTTCACTTGAATAAAGGAATCTTGTTTTGCTGGGATCTCTAAATTTGCTCTTCATTTTCCGTAGGACTTACTGAGCCGTACACAATCAATTCTTTCTGACCTTGTCACCAGCTAAGGGTCACCTTGTTCACAAAGTGAAAATGTCAACCTTAATGTGAATTCCCACCCTGAAATATTCATAATTAGTATAATCCTAGCACAAAAGTGTTATAGACGCCTTTTCTTTACAAACCCTACAAATAGTTCTTATTTTCAAATCTAAAATATTATGGTGGCTCCTAGAAAACCTTCGCAGGGATTTTTTTTGTAATTCTTACGTCACGTTCATTTAAGTGTCTCAGTGAATGACCATTGAAGTTAGGACAGCTTTTCGCTGGCAAGGTTTGACGAACATCGATATAGTTGTACAGTGTAAGTTAATTTAATATGCTTATTTAAAGGGTAGCCTGTAAGCAAGCTCTCTCTGGGGAGCTCTAGGGCAGGGGAGAAATAAAGCCGGGGATTCGGTTTTCCCCCATTCCCCGCCCCCAGAGAGCGTATTAGCAGGCTTTCGCGGCCAAATGAGAAAACAGGTATGAGATACGTTTAACGAGGAAGACCTTGTGCGCTGGCCAGTTACGTTCAACCAGAATGTACAACCCTCAATACTAAAACAGTCGATTTCTTTTCTCAAAACAAAGATGTTTTCTTTCGACTTCTAATAACAATACATTGGCATGTTTGTTTTTCGCGTAATTACACAAAGAATATTTGCATCGTTTAGTATTTTGTTTGTCTCTCATGAACAGGAAGCCAGCGCGTTCCTTTTGGGAAAAGTTTCAAGACGGCCAATTGCAGATCTTCATGCTTCACCTAGCTTGCTAACGCAGCCGTATTTCTGATTGTCGTTTCTCTCCACCCAAAAAGGGCGTCTGCGCACGCAGGCTATGCTTCCCCAGAACTCATGCTCGACGATATGAACCTTAGAGTATGTGATACTGGGGTGCACTGGAAATTTGACAAAGTCAGAGGTTGATGACAAGCAAACGATTGAAGCTGAGTACGTCATACCAAGCAAGTTCAAGTACAAATACAAGTTCATCTATAAGATGATAGACTGTTTGGATCGTCTTGATTGAGTTCTCATCATTAAAGGGTCTTAATGGGTTAATCGTCGGCCGGAAAACAGCCAAATGTGTTAGACGTTAGGCGTAAAAAATAGAATTGTTTGATCATTAGACGTAAAGAAATGTTATGTAACAGTTGAATTTTTTCTAGCCACAATTTGTTATGTATAGAGTGTCAATATCGCTTGTTAGGACCGACTTTAAGTGTCTTGTCTTGTCTCGTGCTAGCTTGTTCCAGGCGTTCAGATGGTGGGGGGCGGGCGAAAAATTAGTTGGGCGTGGCCTCATTCTCCCCTCTCTTTTTTCCTTCGAGTTTCTTTTTGCGCTCACCGCGTACGATTTAACTTGCTCCCCACTATCTAAACGCCTGGAACAGGCTAGTCTTGTGAGTGATGGACCTCCTGGAGAGGTCCTTAGAGGCCTGAGCCTAAGCCAATGGAACAACCGTTAACGGTAGAAAAGCCAAAATATTAACCGTTTACTGACCCACCTATAACGGGCAGTCCTCTTGATTTCCAATGTGTTAAGAGGTGAACGTTGGGGTTCATAGGGTCGGCGAAGGAGTTGCGTAAATTGGTAGCTTACAATAGCAACTTAAGTGAAACCTGGATTTCTTTGATATGTCGCAGCCAACACTATAATCTTAATGTAGGATGAAATTTTCAAGTTAATCTGTTTTATCCCACCAAAGCATTTCCTCCTTTGCGACCGCCATCTGGTTTTGTGTTCAAATCATAATCAGTTTAGTGCGCATGCTGGATCCTTTTGTGAACGAAAAAATATCTATCGTTAACGCGTTTGGATGTACATTCAAATGATGAAGCTTTTGAGTGATCGTAGCTAGTCCTGATGAAAAATACCAACAAAAGATCGCCAACAAAAGAGCTAACCTGTTGCCTTAGTAACGGAGTCACTATAGAAGCATTACCTAAATTTTTCTATCAGTAGTAGAACAGTATGGAAAAGCTGTTCGAGCCAATGTGTCCGTTGCCAGCATTAAGGGGTATAATTTGCACATCTAGTTAGGCATTTGCTTCAGAGTGACAATACATGGCTACATGCTAACATAACGGGAGTTTTTTTAACCATACACGACGGTTGGTCTGGCCTGCTAAGTTCAAGACAAAGCTGACAATGCTAACAATACTTTCAGTACTTTTAGCTACAGTCATTATGACCTCATTCTAGAAGCTAGTACCTGATTTGAAGAATCCAAGTGATTTTTGCTGAAATTGTTTTTGGGGGTTTTCTGGTAAATCAAGTATTTTTTTTCAAAATTAAGTTGTATAAAGTATTTTATTGCATTTGTTAGGAAGCAAGTTCTATTTTCTTTCAAATTTTATACAATGCTACATTATTAAATCTCTCGCGTCTACGCGGAGTATAATTATCATTATCGTTTTTATTTCTGAAGCGGTCCACGTTGGCCGATTGATCAATTTGCTGTGACAACGAACTTATAAAAAACTATTATTTTCATTGGCCTTTGAAAAACACCTGCTATTGTTCTTTTGGGCTAAGGAAATTTGTTGTTTTCCCCACACTTTCACTCGGACCTGCTGGTGGTCGATTTGAAGGAACATTTGTAAAGTTAGAAAGTAGTGGTAAGGTTGAATGGCGTTCTACGTAAAATGAGTCAAAGAAATGAGAAAAAAAGCCTGAAAAGAAAACTGTGACATCCTGTTAAAATTTTCTTTGACACAGCTACTTCTTCATCGAATCACTCCAGGTTGAAGTTTAATTTTTTTCGGAAGGTACCTTCTTAGGTTTCAGTCTGCGCAGTGACCGATGAAAACTATCGCACTCTTATAGAATAGTATTTTAAACATTGCTCAAGATATATACCGCATGACATTTATCTGAAAAAAATTCTGTTACAGTTGTTTATAACGAAACTATACAGCTGCATGGCCGTATACAAGAATGAAACTTGTAATGTATGTCCTTATTTCAGTTACTGTACATCGCTCTTAAGGTGAATTTCCGGTTCCTGCAATACCCAGACCTAAACCACGAAGTTTTCTGGGTTCTGAATTCTTCCTCTGTTCTGTGAATTTACTTTTGAGAACAGGAATGGGTCTCATTTTACCGGATCCTACTGTAGACTTTGAATCAACTTTGTTACTCTGTGAAACCCCTTTCAACTTCGGCTCTTCTTTCTGGAGCCTCGGAGTTCCTACTTGAACCAGTGCTGCGACAGGTTTTGAGTCTTTTTTCTGTGCTGTTGTTGATTTACTTTGGTTTTTCACTGGAACACCTTTCGGTCTAGCTGCTTGTGGAAATTTTGGAAAAGCTTTAGAGATCACATTTGGCGCGATCTTTTGTCGTGGGATGGAGGCTCTTTGAGTCCCAGACCCTTCTGGCGTTTTCTTCTTTATGTGGTGTATTCCTTCAATGATCATACGTTCAATAGCTTGCGCCTGTTCGTCCGTCAGCCCATTATCCGATGGACCCTCCTCGCCGTCCTGTGTCTCGGCGGAGGCTTTGATGAGATTATTTATCTTTTCCAAGGCCTTTAACCCCCCCATTCCTAGCCGTCCTATGTTCAGGTTTTCACCAGCCGCATCAGCTGGTGCTTTTACTCCTTGTGGCCCATCATCAAGTTGTTTGAGGTCACTCACCACGTTTGGTGCGAGGCCTGGGTTAGGCTTTAAGGGTGACTTGACCACTGTTTCCTGCTCATTCTGAGGCAGATCCTCCTCGGTTCCTAACAGGGGCGTAAAACATATAAAATATCAGAAAGTCCACAGCCACAAACCAATGAGTGGTGCCGGATCTCCCAGTTGTAGACCTGGATCAGTACAATAATAACTTGTAGAAAAACTTAAAACGGCAAACTGATCCTTACGACAAGGCGATGAAGAAGTAAACAAAAGAATAAAATTAAAAAAATATATATTTAAACAAATTTGCTCAATATTTCGGTTTGAAAACAAACCTTCTTCAGGGGCTAAAAGAAGAATGAAGATAAAACTAAAAGTTCTTTGCAAATAAGAGTTTGAAAATATGAAAATAGAAACAATAGATTGTTATTGGTTTAGGAGACTAGGTAGCATCGTATATCAGCGAGCTTCAAAACGCAATACGTAAAACATGTAATACGTAGCAAGCATCAATAACTGCAACCCTATCTCAAGGATAGCAGCTTTGAATCTTTTTGCACTTTGCCATTTCAAATCAAAATAAACTTATTGAAGAAAAAGGGTTGTTTAAAATTATGGGAAACGGACTATTTTAAAATTTGAAGGGGACAGAATGTATACATTTGAATTGACAAAGACCAGAGAGGCCGCCATGAAATAAAGATGCTCCTTAGCCTGATAGCAGATCAACTGGTTTATACGGCGAATACTCTTTAGTACCCTAGAATACCCTGGTATCCATGGCAACATCTGGCATTCTGATTGACTGACCTTGTCGTTCTCTATCAGCTCATAGAAAACCAGCGGAGAAAACCCGGGTTTTTCGTCAGCTAGTACTTGTTAAAAATTGATATCAAGTGCTCTATTTTAATATAGAACAGAAAAGGTTTTTAAAGTTTATTCCGAGCTTCGCCCATCTTCACCTATAATCAGCCAACTTTATCCTTTTTATTACATGTACTGTTTCTTTTACGGTCATTTTACCCATAATGCCGCCTTAAGGAGGCACATAATTGAGGCAAAACAAATAAGCTACGTGCAGTTAATTGATTAACTAGCGAAGAGTCTGTTTGTAAAATCTGTCGAACCAGGCACTAAGTTACCTATATTTGGGTGTGGTTTACAGCTGTAATTAATTATCAAATACTTCTGAACTCCTGGACAGTTCTCTGCCCCATTCTGAACTTGATCGTAGGACGCATGCACATCACACTTTGTCAGTCCATCACATGATTTCTTAACAATCCCAAGGCTCTCCGGGGCCCCAGTGCACATGGTCTGTCCATTCTCAGCTGGACAAACAGTTGTAGACTGCCGCCCCCAGAACACAGAGTTAACTCCAATCTTCCACGAGGCCGGGCAGTTAAGAGTTGAGTTCTCGGAGTCGCACATAACTTCCTCTTTCGCGTCTGGAACGCAGGTGTAATTAACAGTAAGATATTTGTTTACTCCTGGACAATGTTGCGAGCCAGGGTTTTGTAACAGCGCATGCCTAGCTTCAAGTTCACAAGATTCTTTTCCTTCGCATCTCCCCTTTACAATGCCCTCTGACTCTGGAGCAGTGAAGCAGTCGAGTTGAGTATCACCATCGTCTGAAGGGCAAACGCTCGCCGACCGGCGTCCCCAGAATACACCGGTCACTGCTATATTTGAACCTGGGTATGAGCAGCTCAGAGGTTTCTTCTGAGTGGTACAAACAGTTATCTCTTTGGCTGATAAAAAATAAAAACATTCTTTTAAAAGAAACGGAAATTACTAAAACTCAACTTTGAACTTAGAATAGATACTCCTAAAACATCTCCCAAACCAACTGATTTTCCCTTCATCTGGATTTCTTGTTGAATATCTGTACAAAGACAGGAGTCCAAGATCCTCATTGCCGTCCCCCAACCAATAAAAATTATATTAAACTACGTACGTTTCAGGAAAAGATCACATATTGATTTGATTTCCCAGCGTTTTGTGTTTGCACGTAGGCTATTTCCCGTTTTGAATTTTTACACTGATTAATAAGCAAGTACATCAAGAAACCACGACGTTGATTTTCATAACATTTTTCATGCTAACCATTCTTAGAAATGGAAGGTTAGGCATGTCAAACAATAAAGAAGTAATGGCTACTCACATGACTCTAAGTCGATCTGGCTCAGACCAGCCCCTGCATCGGGCGTGTGCACTCCTCCTACCAAGAAAAGGAAAAGGTTTGTTTTTTTAGTAACTAGGGAGGTTGATAACATAATCTCCTGAAGAAGTAGTTTCGCAGAGAGAGCTTGAAGGGTTATCACTTGATTAACTTTACAAAAACGCCTTAAACAGAGGAACTAGAAACCTATATAGGAAAATCAATACAGTAACCAAGTATCAGTGTATTTTCTGCCAGGGCCAGAAAAGGTTTCCTTTACTATCTTTCGTCACTATAGCGACTACTTTCTTTACTCGTAAAGGGTATTATTTAAAACTCTTTTACTCTCCTATTTACGTAGTTGCTTATTAGTTGTACAAGGAATACGCCTGAATACAAGAAGAAAAAATCCTTTTATTGATTGTGGTAGAAAGTCAACATGACAGCGAGATAACACCAACCAAAATACTCTGAGATCGGCGAGTCAAAATTAACAATGAAACAATGAATACAGTTTTTGTTTCACAACTGCAAAACATGGACGACCTGGAGTGAAATTAATCGAACCACAGGTAAATATTGACTAAGCAGTTGTATCGCCAAAAGGCAATGAATATAAGTACAATAACGGTCATTCGGTGCACAAAGTGGATACTCTGAACTTACCCTGGGCAAACGCGAGTCGTAAATCCAAGCTTGCTATCACGGCAAACAACAGGGAAATCACTCGAGGAGTCCCCATTACTGCCTGGAGAAAAACAGAAGATGGTTAAAAAGATTCCCTTAAATAAGCACCTTATAGAGATGTTTTGTCGTGATATTGTCCAATTGCCAAAACACCAACCCGCAAAGCAAATTTACCAAACAGGTGGCAGTAAGAATTAAGAACAGGTCTAAATTCTCTTGTTAACGGTCAGTCACGAAGCAAACTCGCCCTGAACAGTTCTAAGCTATATTCCTTATTGTTTAAACACTTGCCCAACGAATAAGGTTCTTTCAACAGGTAGCTTCCACCAGACAAAATGGTACTGACACATTCAGTTTAGTGTCCCTTCCACAGAGCACATCATTGAAAAGCAATTTACCAGAAAAGTCATTGTTTTGGTTTGGTTCGACATCAGAGACACAACTAATGATGCAAAAACATTCCGTGCCTGATAAAAAAAAGTCTTATTGGGGAACAAACCCATGCAAGTATTCACTGTCCTAGAATCCTCGATTAGATTTCAAGAACAACATACTCCCTAGCCTTCTCTCTCTTATTTCAACAAGTCTTTTTAAAAGAGTGTGTTTTGGTCATAAAAACCTAACAGAAACACATCTAAACAAAAGCGATCAATAATTTTTAAACGGAAATTTACCTTTTCTGGGGTATTTTTTTTGTCTCCTTTCGTATTTCCTTATCCCTTGTTGTTCCAATGACTTCACTTGAAAATGTTTAATAATGAAACAAGCTCGTGACGCCACTTGAGTCGCTTTCAGATCTTCAATGGAAACAGCAGATGATCTAATGAACTCTTCGTGGTCAAGAGATGATCATTGTTATTGTCAGTTTGTGCAGAAGAACATAAACCAATTGACACATGGGGCTCGTTTAATCAGAACAAATTTTAAATTTGTCCAACCCTCACCTCTGAAGATTGTTTGCTTTCTATCAGCGTCAAGACGACTAACAGCCAAGAGAAGAACACTGTTAATCTAGTCGAAAATAAACACCTTACAGGCAGATCTAAAGGTTCACTGATGAGTCTTTCAAACCGCGGTCTAAGTTAGACTTCGTTTAATTGAACGACTCACGAAGCCCAGAGGCTGTCTCTGTCAAGTGTGTTGTGTAGGCTGCTTATCGGTCTGGAGTCATTAGATTGCCTGATTTTGGTAGCTTCTCTTTATCCGGCTATATTGCTTTCGTTAATTCAGTTCTATCAAGGGCTCTAACACCACCTTACACAACAAGAAAACTGGCGTAATGGTTTATACAAATATCATTTGCTATTTTTTTTATGCTTACCTCTGTTTGGTTATGACAATACTCGCTGAGCTGATTTTCAGTTGAGTGTCAATCTAGCCGCTGTTTGGAGCTATACATAAACCCAGGGGTCTCTGCGAGACAATACTTATCACTAGCGTAGTCAAGTCGCCAAAGCCTGGTTTCCCCATGATTGTCCGAATCGTCCCGATCGCCTCAGTCGTTTCAAAAAATTTCGAGACGATCCGCACGACTGGGGCGATTGGTAGTTTTATGATCGTCTCGATCGCCTCAAACGAAATCCCACTTTCAGTGCCCGTTTGCGAACTGAAGCGTATAATGAAGTAAAAGCACTAAATGATGCCTAGAGAGAATCTATTGGAGGCGTTGCCTGTGCAGGAAGGAGTGCCGCAAAACCTTATGGGGCCTGAGTTTAAATGCCATGAATTCTGACTAAAGACGATGTTTATTGTTCCTTTTTGGAAACATGGCACTCGCTGGATCACTCGGATGAACAAGAAACGTTATTCACTTCTTCTAAGCATTTGCATCTATTCCTCCATAGTCCGAAATACAAACGGCGCTTTTTGGAGGTTACCGGGTTCAATATAGTCCACATTAAACATTTCTACTGCATGATCGACAAATCTCCTCTTCGCGGCAAAATCTTCTAATTCCACGCCCCCATTTGAACTCTGTCACGCACAAACGTGCACATGGCATTCCCGCGACAACAAACCGTTGAAAAGACCAGACCAGCTGACTGATTTGCGGCGTAGCATTGGACACGAAGGCAAAAAATAAGACTGACATGATCCTATGTGGCTGCTGAGGTCTACTGGTACAGAATTTTATTTCTTTTAATTTAAAAAGGCACATTTGAGCAATTGTATCAAATAATATAGTGAAAGGAAAGAAATTCAATTCCCATTTTAGAAAACGTTTTTCCCTTTCCCAGTGCTTAAATCCCAGCCTCAGTGCAGTAAATCCCATTTTCAAAGTACAGAAAAAGGCAAATCCCAGTTCCCATTTTACCGCTTTAGTACCCTCTATCAGATGTTTAAACAGAATGTTGGAATTAAGAAACAACTAGAAACTGAAGGTTGCCAAGACACCAGCCTTATGCTTCTAAATTCAGTCAAAACTACAAAATGGAGCATTTCCTATCGTGCTGAAAGTCACTATAAAAAACGCAATGACCTCGTATAACAGATAGGCATCTGATGCTGAAATATGTTGACATAAAAAGTACCAAAGCAATATAGATTTAGGAGTAATCTAAAAGAAAATGGAAATATTTTATTTATTTTTTTGAATTCTTACTAAACACACAAGCTGCTGATATTTCTGGTAAAGGGATTTTATCTGACTGACGAAAGTGGTGTCAGCGGTTGAACACCTCCAAAAGCGCCGATTATATCTCCCTCCACTGTATGCGAAGAGTCATACTTATTCGTGCAAATTCAAAGTAAGAGGAAAAAAGTGTTCTTTGACCTAAGCTCGACCTGATGCGGTCCGGACGGCGATGTTTTTTTCCAGCCATTGCCATACATTACAGTTTTTTTATGTGTAATACATTATATTTGTAAAGCTTTCTGTTTTCTGTTCATGCTTTTAGTTTACCGCTGTACATTGTGTACATCAGTTCTGCTTGTATTCAGCTACATTTCTCCAAAAACATTTACGTTTACAAAATGGGTTTTATACAATGAATGATTATATTCATGTAAGTTTACCTAAATATCCTTTGTTTAGCCTTTTTATTTACATAGATTTATTTGACTTTCTTTTGGATGGAAGGTTGAATCCGATCAGTCGTTGACTAGTTTCGTTCCTTTCTAGAATCACGTGACCCTATAACTTTGGAACGCTTCTTCAAATCATCGGGACTCCATATTCTTGATCTGAGTCTGAGGTTACGATAAACCGAGAGAGGAATAAGCCCGAGTTGTCCTCGTCGTCCAATATCAGGACTGGGTCGACAGCTGTAGTTAACGATAAGATACTTTTCCAAATTAGGGCAGTTTTCGCCCCCATTTTGTAATTCCTTGTAAAATGCTTGCACCGGACAATAGGGAATATTATTGCATTTGCTCCTTAATTTGGACACAGTTTCTGACGCTCCGGGGCATACTTCCTGTCCTTTTGCAGATGGACACACTTCAGCGTGTTCGCGTCCCCAGAATGCTGAGTTGATCTTGAGTAACCAATCAGATGGGCAGGATAGTATGGACCTTTCAGAGTCACACAAAACAACTTCCTTTTTCTGTGGCACACATGTATAGTTTACAAGCAGATATTTCTGGACGCCGTAACAGTGTTTTCCATTTTGTAATATATCGGCCCTTCCTTCTAAAACACAACTTCCCATTCCTTCACACATGTCTTTTACGACATGCTCCGCCTCAGGGGCTGTGGGGCAGTCTGTTTCCGGGTCCCCGTCCTCCGAGGGGCAAATGTCGGGGGATTCCCGTCCCCAAAATACCCCTGTTATAGCGATTGCTGATCCCGGAGACTCACAAGTCAGTGGACTCTTTCCTTTTGAGCAAACTGTCACTCGTTTATCTGTGAATAAATCATATTAACGGCGAATATTAAAAAAGCTTTCAGCAGCGTTTCTCATTTGAATAAGGAATTAAATATGAGACAAAAGGTGTGTTGACATGCTGATAACTCTATGGAAAAGTCGAGGATAGATGATAAGACAACGCACGTCTCATAAAAAGGTCGTTCAACGTTCCTGCCTTTTCTACGGTAGACTAGATTTGTAATGTGCTAGCAATGTGTTTTGTCATCAGCGGGATAGTCTAACTCGAAATACGAAAATTGAGAATGCACGTATTTTCGTATTTTCGGGACCTCTCAGACGTTCACACTTTTATATAACTGGTCTTCAACAAACGATAGCACTCAATTTTGCCAAAAAAGTCATAGTTAACTTATTCATGGCGCTTAAAGCTAATGTCATTTAATTTTGGTTGTATTTTTAACAACTTCTAAAGTACTGATACAGTGCTATATGAGGATTTGGCATCTGCACTCGTACTAGTGCTTGTCGTCGATGCCAAATCTCTCTATTTCCCCCTCATTACACGCGTCCATTTGGCTTAACAGCAAGGCGATTAAACGAACTCTTACTCAGTTGATTCGCGAGTTTTTATCCTCTCAGAAGTTTACACTTTTATAACTGGTCTTCAACAAACGATAGCACTCAATTTTGCCAAAAAAGGTCATAGTTAACTTATTCATGGAGCTTAAAGCTAATGTCACTTAATTTCGGTTGTATTTTTAGCAACTTCTACAGTACTGATACAATGTTATGTGGGGATTTTGACATATTTAAGTAATGATCCGGGTAAAGTGGATAGCAATTTCTTTTGTTATGCGGCAACGGTGCTTTCCCCACATAGGAATGTTCTCATTTTTACACAGAGAATGCATAAACCTACATGAAGGCCGTTTACACAATAAAATGCATTTACACTCCACTTTGAATGGGTGTTTTTTTTGTGTTAAAAGATTTAGATCAATCACAAGAGTTGAAAACAATAGCCAAGAAAAGTTTACAATTTTACATGTTCCCCATATAGGATTTCTTTGTTATTCAAACTGAGACCAAATTTTGTTATATCGAAGATGGGAAAAGATGGTTGCTTTATGAAGTTTTGTTAACTTTTGTTGTTTAAGCCAATCAGAGGAATACAGACAATAAAAGTTAGCACCTTTTTGCATTCCAAATGTTTGTTCCTATCGGGGTCAAGGGCTCTGACTCCTGCTAAGTCCTGGGGTCGAGGGCTCTGGCTTAAACACTGACTTATGCACAATTCAAATGTGACCGGTGCACACCACTGCAGAGCTTTCTTCTGATATATTTTAAATACCACATTCTTACTTACCTGCTTCCAAGTCTAGGGTCGTCAAAAGCTTCTCTTTTTCATCAGTTGAACCGTAGGCAAGTCCTATTGGAAAAATAAATAAGATGTGTTATCCGCGCACGAATCAGTGGACCGTTCTGCTTGACCGTAACGTGGCCACATCAGATTATTTGGCTTGCAATCATGCGGTTCTCTCTTCAGATTCCATCGCCAAATAACATGCGATTGCAGCTTTATGGTCACAGGTAATAGCCATTGATTTAAGCTTAAACAGAGCGACTATTCAGGTAAGGGGAGGACTAACATAAAGGGGTTCAGGCGTGAAAAGAAGTACACAGTAGTCACGCCTACGTTCTGTCAATGAAGGGACACAACGCAGAGTGTACGATGGAGAGAAGTGAGAAGTGAATGTCCTAAGCTGCACTTAGGAGCGTCAAGAAAAAGACACCGTTCATAGTCCAACATCGCTATTTTTGGTTCAATATGCCGCTAAGAGGGTAAACAAACCATTTATGGCTTTGTCAAGTAGCAGGCCACTTCAGCCAACCTTTTACGCGTTCCAGTTGATTCTAGTATTTAGAAGACACTGTATGCTTAAAGTCTCATTTTTCCAGAAGCTGCATTTCCTGCATCTATTAAGATTATATTTACATTTTCTTAAAGGAAATACTAAATAACGTGTGGGTGATAAAGTCATTTGGAAGGTGCCAAGAGTCTATAACGAACCATTCAACCTAGGCAGGTGAGATACTTGTGCAGTTCCAAAGCATTAGTTTCCTTTGTTTTTACATACAGCAATATAGCTCGCTCTTAACGGAGGGTAAATTTCTAAGAAGCCAGATATCTCAGTAGAGGTCACGGGACATCACGGACAATAATATATATATATAAAAAAAACCACCACAACTTACCCGACATAGTTAAAAGAACCACAAAGTAAATAACGTCCTTGCTGTCCATTGGGAGCCGGAAATGGCGAATTCCTCTGTTTGGTTTTCAAACTAAGTGCGTTGAATTAATCTGATATAGGATTTTAGGTATAGAAGTATTTAAAAGGGAAAACGCACATCGTAAGAGTAAATAAATATAAAATAAACACACTTAGCGATATCGGGTCAAAATGATAAACAAACCTTCCTTTCGTCGGCGCACAATCGCCATCCGCGTCATCACATCGACAGTTAATGATGTTTTAAAATAAAGCTAGATTTCAATCTAGACATAAAATTTGTGATAGCTTATAAAAAAATACCTTTTGTTGATATTTTTTGTCGAGAAATGACGTTCGCACGGAAGTATGAGCACGAGCTGTTAATAATTAAAGTCGTAACTTGCACTTGTTCCACTGTCAGTACGTGCTTTTGGTTTTTTGCGGGTATGCATTGTAGGTGAATTAACAAGAAATATTTGCTTTTTCAATTAAGAGGAGAAAGGATATGAGTTTCACCTAGCACACAGTTTACTGTCATTGACCAAAATTATGGTACGAGCAGAACACAGGTCCCATAATCTAACAACAACGTTTGCCAAATGTTAGTGCGTCCAGGTTTGAGGACGGTGTAATGAAGGCTTTTACATAATTAAGAATTCAGAATTATCCCAAGATATTTCAAGTAAAGGCCTGCCTTTACTGATATGCGTCCTTGTTTTTGTAGAGAGATAAATTAATAAAAATATTCTTTTCGATATATTAAACTGACTTCAACTTTATAGTGATACCTAGGGGACAAAAAAAAACCAAAGCAAATTATTAATCGTGTTCATTAATTTTCTTTGCTTGTATCTTTTAGGGCAAATATTAACATATCGAATTTTAATATATCGAAAGGATCCTAATGGCTGATTCTCTCTGAAATAATACTAATTAAAATGCAAAAGGACTATATCTAGAGGTGTTACGCTAAGCAACGCCTCGTACATCTTGTCTAACAACAGCGTAATAACACTACGAGAAAAAGTGTGCAAAACATTGCTCAGTATATGGTAACAGCTTTTAGCATAACAATATACACAGTGCTTGACAACGAGGTCACTTAAACTGCAATACGTCTTTATTGCATACACAACTAAATGTTCAATTTACAGAGGATTTGTGTGGAATGTTCTCTATAATTTAGTTTTACAAAGCAGATAAATGAAAACAAACTGCAAATTAGCCTTGATTACAAACGAAACAACTGTCCCGCAAAAATGTATTCAATCGAGAAACCTCTTTGGTTTAAATAACTGGATAGGAATGATTCTTTAAATAAGGCCGTGTTATCGAATCCAAAAACAATACATAGTGTTTCACTGCGCATACATTCTGCGATCACCTAAGCTTAAACTCAAATCTATAATCAACAAATAGTCGTCTTCACCTCTGTATACCAACAATAAAGATGTGCGCCTGTCACACCTACTCTTTTGTGCTTAACAAATTTTCTTGTAGGAACAACCAGCTCCTTAACAAGGCTGTCAGGAGTGTCACGCAGTAACAGGAAAACCTGTATTGCTGCGTTATTCACTATTCAGCGAAGGGTGTTTCATATTTTCTTTTCTTTTTTTTTGTTCGTCTTTGTTTGATCTAAGTAGAGAAAAGAGTATTTGCTTTTTCATCGACTGCAGATATTGGAAAATAAACATACACCATTGCAACCTAATTGGTACCCGCTTGTTACTTCTTTATTAGTTTGGTCGACTCAGATCAAATTAAAAATTTGGAGATGCTGGTTATTGAATTGAAAATAAGGGGAAAACCCAAGTATTTGGAGAAAAATCTATCCGAGCAAGGAAGGCAAACTGCAACAAACCCCACCAACACATTAAGTTCGTCTCTGATAGGAACAAGGACAATTTTGGGTGGGGTAGAGCTCTCTCCATTGCGTGGGAATCACTAATTTCATCTCTAAACAAGGCAAGGCAAGGCTCTTATACTCTTAATTATAAGGTTTGAAAAAAGCCTTCTTACCTCCCTTAGCTAATGCATTGATTTCGTCACTTGCTAGAGCTCTCTCCCACAAAGCGAGATTATCGATCTCCAGTGGCACTCTGAAAGTGGGTGAGTCAGAGTTGTTTGGACGTCCAATTTCTAGGTGAGAGAATGCATCGTTTGGCCTTGAAACTTTGAAAGACTTTCCACTTGTAATTTCCTTGCCATTGACATACAGCTTAAGTAAGCCGTCCTTCTTCCAAGTAAAAGCCATGTTAAACCATCCTCGTGGAAGATTTGTTGTTTCTACCTGCCACTGTTTGTGATGTGTGCTTAGTGTAATGATGTAACGATTCAAGAGATGAAGAAAAGCAAAACCACGAGCCTTTGTTGTTTGACCTCCGCTGGACAAGAAGTACGAGCTGGACTTGTTATGGAATTTTGTTTTGTCGAGCTTGAGCGATGCCATCACGGTCATGCCCTTATGTTTACACTGATCTGGATCACTGAAACATTTTCCTGAGAATACAAAAAGTTATTAGCTATTGCGGTCCTTTGGATGTGAATTGGAGTATTTCATGTAAAGTCAGTGCCGGATCCAGAACAAGACGGAGGAGGGAGGGAGGGGGATGGGGGTGGGGGGTCTCAAAAATTTTTTTCCCGCCCTTTGAGCATCAGTTTGGTCTTAAAATAAGCGGGTGGGGTCCCTCCCGTGGATCCCCCATTGTAAACTCCCAGCATTTCTCAGCATTCTTTGGAAGACCAAGCCTGCGTGGCAGACGTAATCTAACCCAGGTTAGTAACGTCTGCAAAGCAAACGCCGAAGTCCTTGTTCTGGACCCCAACAGACTCAACAAATTACCGGAAGTACGTTTCGAACTTCCCTTCCACCTGATTAGCAATTCATGGCGCGTTTTCAAATCCTGATGCACAGGTTGGGAATCAGAGCAACAACGGACTTAACTAGGGCTCAGTTGTTCGAACGCCGGTTAACGCTAACCCAGGGCTAAATTAATTAAAGTAATTTTCTATATTCTCTTTAGAGTATCTAATCATCAAATTTTAGGCAAAGAGAATTAAAGCTCTCATATCTGAGTTTAAATTTCGCACTAACCCAGGGTTGTCTTAATCCAGCTTCAAACAACCCGGCCCAGAGGTTTAGTTTAGTCTGTGGTGCGCGCTATAGACAACCAATCCCTTCCTAATCACACTCATTACATAGCCTCTTTATTATCTAAGGAAATAATGATGGAGGAGGGCTAGTTCAAAATAGCTATTACTAACTTTCTGCAATTAATTTTCGACGCCAAACTGGAATTTAGATTACACGAAAAGTGTTACCTTGAAAGTCTTCCAGAGAAATCCATCCTTTCTTGTCACTTGTTGTGGCTACATGTCCTCGCGCAATTGTCGAAACAACTCGCGCGCCTCCCATAAACCGAGCCACGCTTTTGTGAAGAACATCATGGGATTCTCCTGATGAGAAATCTTCAAACTGCCAGAGGTAGTCAGCGGATTTTAAATGTTTTATAACTGAAACGTAGGCATTGTAAACGAATTAGATTTTTAAAATCTTTACATGTATTTCAAAGTGGAATTACAACAGAGTAGGTCATCGTTGATTATTCACCAACAGATCACAGCAAAGCAACGGAAGCCGCTGAAAGGAATAGCCTGCGTCGAAGACACTCTAAACCCTCTGCATAGAGCCGGACTATACAAATGGTTCGGACAAATGCGTGGGCCGGCTGCAACGCGGGCTATAAAAGGAAGGGCTTACCCCGTTTAATCACAAAATATTTCCCAAACAGTAGAAAAGATATATCATCTAAATGTTATTGAACGAACAAATAGTACTAGTTAAGGGAGGGGACGTTAAAGTTGAAGTAGAGGTGCAAATCCAGCAAATGGTCAGATCAGGACTCGAACCCAGACCTTCGAATTGCAAGTTTGACACGGTGCCCACTACTTACTGACCACTTGGCCAAGTTGCTTCCTCTTTCTTTCTTAAACTCATTAATAAATCAATCATAAAGACAATACAAAGAGACTTAATATTCCGTAAGTGTTTGAAAATCAGATGAAAAACCCTTCATTTTTGCATCCTTAATTTCTCTTTTTAGCTCTTAGCTCATTTTCTTTGTGAATTAATATAAAAAATGTTTCATTAAAATATCGAACCCCTCGAATTTCGTCAAAACTGCTTGTCTGCACGTCGTATCTTCAACTGTCTTTTCAGTGTCTGATTTTGTATTAAACACCATGTCTCAAATTTCATATATCATTTTCAACCCTACCAGCATCTTTCCTCTTCTTGTTAGTTTCATGTATCGACTTCTTCGTCGGTATTTTGTGTGAGAGTATGTCCCCTCTTTTCTTTCCAGCTGCAAATATAACAAGAGTGTAAATCATAATGCCTCATTAAATCTTTAACATTTGACTCGAAATTTCACAAAAAATTCACAAAAATTCCAAACAACTTTTCGCACTATGAGAAAATTCTATCAAAAAGGTTTCATTTGAATGGTAACAACATAAGATTTTGCCCCAAACAACTATTATAACTTGATCTAGGCGTGAAAAGGTTACAGATGCAATTTTGCGTGACATTGCAACGTCTACGACATCTATTGTCCGTATAGGACACTGACTCAAGTGACTACTCGGTTCAATAGACCTTTTTACCGATAAGGTCGCCATATTGAATTAATTCGATTTAAGGTGTTATAGGATGCCCAGGGGGCATGGACACATTTCATTTGTAGTTTCGAGCGCTTTTCGGGACATTTTTTCTTAAAGTTTTCTTAGAATAAGATTGTGATGGGAAAAAAGATCCTTGTGCCGTGTTTGGATGTAAGAAAACTTTAAGAAAAAATGTCCCGAAAAGCGCTCGAAAATACAAACGAAATGTGCTCATGCCCCCTGGGCATCCTATAACACTCCTTAATTAATTCAATATGGCCGCCGTATCGGTAAAAAGGTTTATTCGTCGAAAGAATAGGACCATTTATGCGAGCAAAAATAAGACGTGTCCTAATCACACAAGGCGCATTTTGAATAAAACACGAACTTGATGTACTCGTATAAAATAATAATAATAGTAAAAAAATACAGGTTGTACCATTTACACGAGCTAAGACGTCTCTTGGGCCATTTATACAGGAAGTTCGCGTTTTATTTTCCTCGTATAAATGCATGGCCCAAATGTTTTCAGTCTTAACGGTAATCAGTACATTTTAGAATAAAATACATCAAACTACTTGTGTATATCAGGTATGACCGTTCCTCACCTCGTATTCTTCGCATTCTCTTTAGTAGAAGTCTTTTGAGTTTCTTCTTCTGTTTTCGGAGCCACTGCCATCTCTTCCTTTGATATTGCCACATTCTTTTACCTGCGCGTTGTTTTCTTATCGCCAGCAAACGCTGTCTTCGTTTAACAGAAATCAGCTGCCTTTGATACCTAGACCATCTGACACGAATGCTCGCGGATTTTCTTATTTGATAACGTCGCAAGGTTTGCAAACGCCGTAATATGGCATAACGCCGCAAACGTCTGTAGTAAGACATCTTTTGCGAAATACTCACAAGCCCTCTCCTGATCATAGTGAGACGCATACCCATGCGTCTTTGACGGGCCCTTACTCTAAACTGGAGCGTCCTTAACCTTGCTGCCCTTTGGTGTAATCTGCGGTATCTTGCTCGAATGGCTCGTTGTCTAAGAAGAATTTTTCGCCGCAAAAGCTTAATTCTTTTTCTAGCTAATGCTACCATTCGCCTCCGTTCTGCTTGTTGCCTTGCTCGTAATTTGGCCATCATTCGATACCGCCTTAGCCTCCGTAATCTGGAGATTTTTCGCGCACGCGCCAACCTCCTGCTAGCCAATAACCGCAATCTTCGCATACTCTGCCTGGCCCTAATTCGCAGGATCCTAATGGTTCTTCTTCTTGCTCGGAGCATGCGCCCACGTCCTTTGGCTGCTTGTAGACGATAATAACGTCGCTTGAGCCTCAGTTTGCGAACACGAATTCTTGTTTTCATTTTTAGAATCCTCTTTCGCAGGACAATCCTCACTTTCCGCACTGTTATCAATCGCCTTATTTTCCCCAACACTTTCAAGCGCCTGACCCGTCTAGTAACAAGCACCTGTTTTCTTTTCAATAGCCTTAACTTTAGTAAGCGTCTTTTCAATCTTCTTTTCAATTTTCGGGTTTTAGCTATGCGTGCTCTCTTTCTTCGTTTTCGTCTAGCTTTTCTTCTTTTCTCCCGCAATTTTCGCCCACGTCCTTTTCTTGATCGAGTTCCAGAACCTACATAAAAAGACGAACATCTTAAAAACAGCGAAGGAATGAACAGAAATACAACTCCCTTTGAAATGTTTTACTCGGAGTTGAGTAGTAACCAAAGGTTACATAGTGCGGGCGAGTTTCAGGCTTCTGATCGACGGTTACTGAACGCTCTTGCTGCTACGGTGGTCCTTTGTGTAAGTTTCATGTGACAGAAGGTCAAAACGCGTGTAATCAGATTAAGAGTGATAGGAGGTACAAAAGCGCGTGATCAGATTGCGTTCCAAGCATTCCATTCATACTCAGTGGAAATCCAAACGAATGCTGGCTTTATACGTGCCAAGCATGCGTAAAAGCAACCTAGAGATTAGGAGTGCGAACTTCTCTTGCCGCTTGCAATTAAGCAACACTTTCTCTTTGATGTACTAAAGCCTGTTAGGGCAGCATTTTTTTTATCCAAATGTCAATCGAAACCGCTTCTTATTCGTACGTTTTATTTCACAATTACTTAGAAGTTCAATTACTCATCTAATAGGTCAAAACAAATAAAGTTCAGTGCTCACCTGTTCTCGGCTTCGGACGAGTGTACGGGCCTGAAAATACAATAAGAAAATTTGAATTTAGTTTGATAATCGAGGTCATCGTTATCATCGCTGTATTTAAAGGAAATAACTTGCGAATAAAGTGCTTATTTCTTATCATAACTTCCTTACTTTCATTTTTGTATCACTTACAGTTAATGTAAAAAATATAAAATAATATTTGGCCTTTTCAGTAAATACCTCGTAGGAACCCCGTTTGCTCTGATTCGGTTTGTACTGTAGGTTACGAAACTAGTTTTTTCAACTAGGAACCTTTAACTTACAGACGGAAGAGCAAACGGTAAGACAATTATAAGAAGGGGCATAGATAATTGACGCGCGTCAAATCCTAAACACGAGGGAATGGCATTTGTTTAACTCTTAACATACTTACAGTCCCTGTAAATATGTTTCAGACATATATAATTTTGGTTATCAAAAACTATGTGTGTGCTAATTCAAACATGATAAGAAAATGTCTTTATCCTTGCAGCTAGACAATCGAAGGAAAAGATAATCTTCTATTGGTCTAAATTAAAACTGAAGCATGTGGCACCTTTTCCGATCATGTAGGCGTCGATGAAGTTAAAACCTCCTGCCCTGGCTCTGAAGCGACCTTTGATAACTGGTTTTCTTGTGTAAGTTCTTGATGAAAACGTTCCATAACACACGCCGCGCCTGCGAAGAGCGAAGGCACGATATCTCTTACGCCTTGCAAGAAGAGCGCAGCTAAAAATTTTTCTTCTCCCGGTAACGCGACCTAATCTCTTCCCCAGTCCTCTTCCTTTTGGAGATCGAAAGCGTCCTATCCAACGGTAATGCCAGACGGAGCCACCCTTTCGAGGCCTCGGACGAGGCTTATAGCGACCTACGACGAGTAAATCAATCAATCAATCAATCAAACAATAAATCAATCAGTCAAACACTCACCCAAACAAAAACGTCGTATCTTATGAAAATGTCTGTTCTAAAAGTTCTAGGAAAACTTTGATAAGTTTGTGTTCATGTTGACTTATTGTGTATTGTGAGAATTGATGCACCGTTTTTCTCTGTTCTCTACAAATCTTAAAAGCTAGGTATCTGCAGACTCTGATTGTTGAATTTTTACGAAGTTTGATTGGCTCAACGGGCTATCGCCTCATAATCTTGCTGCGACCATATATGGTAAATAGATTCATAATGTGAGTATTTACAAGGGCCACCCGACATTGCGCTGCACTAACGCACTAAGCGATCCACATGATCCACGCGCAACGCAAATTCCGACAAATTTACGAACCTCGTTACGCGACGGTTTTCGGCGTAGACGATAACCGGCGATACACGAAGACTAATCTTTCAGATACTTATATCGAACTTTTACCTTTTCCAATTTTGTAGGCGTCAATCGAACGCAGTCCACCAGAACTTGCTTTAAACCTTCCATACATGCGAACCTTGCCTGAGTAGGTTCTTGAATACCTCGACACATAACAGTCGCCTCTGTTACGCAGTGCGAATGCTTTGTATCCCATGTTACGAGCACGCCGGGCACATTTGAAAACTTTGTTTCTTCCCTTCATTCTCCCGACAAAACGACCCAGACTCCTTGTTGTGAGCGACTTGAAGCGGCCAATGAACTGATAGTACCATGGTGATGCTCTAGGCTTTGGCCTTAGTGAGCCTAATGAACAGTCAAAATGTCAATCATAATCAATTACAATTGTTATACTACTACATGAGAAATTTCTGCAATTTGATTGGCTTAGAGCAGTGGTATTTCAGCTTAATTTGAAATACCTACATGTCAAAATTACAAAGCTTTTGCGGGAAGTAGTATAAACTATAATAGCATGATTTGTAGTGATATTTCAAAATTGTCTCAAATTTCACTCGCCTAAAGGCTCGTGAAATTACATATAACAATTTTGAAATATCACTCGTGGTATTTATGCCAAATACCAGTACTAATCATGCTATTACCTACACAAACTTTTAAGGATAAAACGCAAAACGTTGTCTGATCATACAAGTCTTGCAAACAACAACAGCAACAACAACAACTCTAACAATCGCAAGAGATGGTACATTATAAACATGTGCCAAAAGCTAAAGCTGGTCGAGGCAGGCAGTGTGGGGACGCTTCATATGGAGATTAAATTCTCACATTTAACATGTTTGTAGAATATGTAAAATAAATAAATTTAACGTGATACTTTATGATACCTGATATTTCATAAAAAAAGGGTGTCTACGCCATTGTAACTATACTGGTTTCCAAAATTAAGAAACAGGTTCCTGAAAAGCGTGCATTGAAAGTTTTCTCGGCTTCTCAGTATATTGTTCCAAATGCCAAATGGAGTCCGATTGTATATATTGACTTCCCTTCTTCTATTTCTTATCAACAGACATTTCATATATCAATATAAGTCGTCGACCTTTTTTTGACATCTCTCAAGAGTGAAAAGCAATTTAGGAGATTTGCGGTTCTTGCTTTTTTTTTGTCATCATGAGTGTTGCTAGGAAGCATTTTCTCTAAAACACTAAACTTTGCTGAATTACGGAACAGCTAGAACCCGCGCACCTTTGTCTCCTTTCGCTAGTAGGCAAATGAGGTGAGTTTGTTGTTTTGGTTATTTTTACGCGCCAATTATATTACTCATTTTAAGTTCATAAAAATGGTTCTTATAATACTCCTCATTTAAAATATGTGCAGGAATAGAAAAATCAGAGATTATCCTAAAAAAGCAAAATTTACTCTCTCCTGCTACCGGGTTTGCTGACTAAATGTAGCTTAAAACGAAGGAAATAAAAAAGTAAGGCATTGCAAATGGCTCTCATTTTGATTCATGGTTGCAGCATGTTTTATCTATCGCTTCTAGTCTCACCTCTTCCAATCTTATAAACCACCATACCGCGGAAACCAGAGGTTCTTCCATATTTCGTCAGCGGTCTTCGTGATCGTGCGCCGTAGCAATAACGTCTGCTTCGCAGTGCAAAATACCGGTATCGTTTCTCTCGAGCCATAAGTGCGCATTGCTTGACTGGGTTTACTCTTTGTTTAACCGTCCCAAGGTACCTGCGGCCTCCAATGGATACACCCTTTGCAATTCGGTAAGTTCCAATCCTGCGATAGTTCCAAACTCGTCGTATTGGCCTTGGGCGTGGTCTGCGGGGTCGAGGTCGGGGGCGTATTCGAGGTCTAGATGAGCCTGAAGGAGTCACAGTATAAGTTCATCACAATACAGTACCACCCCGCGAGTAAGAGCCTACATTTTCCCAAGTTAGCCTGAACAGGTTCGTATAAAAATGGTAATTACCATAAATTAAGGCTACTTACGTTCTTAAATAGGTTCTTATTTTCTGAAGAAAAATATTACTCCTCACAAAAAAATTGCTTACCAGTAACAAACATTTTTTAATGACAATAATAACAAAAATTAAAACCCTTTAGTGATCACATGAATTTCGAAGTTCTCCTTCAGAGTACATATTACTTTACAAAAAATTAGAACCTGTTACAAACTTAAGGCTTAAGGCTCTTCTGTAGAGAGAGGGTCTAACTGAAATTTATAAGCCTAACATGCTTTTAGAAACTAGGGTCTTACTTGCGGGGTAGTACTGTACATTCGTTTTCACAAAGTACATGCAGAATACATGTGTGAATTTATGGTAGATACTACCAAAATTTTAGAAACGTCTAGAAATGTCTTTTTAGATTAAAATCAGACGAATTCTGTTCAACGGAGTTGAAAAGAACATTTATTACTAGCACAAATGTCTACACCACGTGCACTTTACCTTTCGATACAATATACACTTTTAGTCCACCAATTGTAGTTTTTCCGCGTGTTGTAAACTTTGCAGAAGTCATGCTGGACAAATAACACTGAACTCCACGGCGGATGGCAAAAGCTCTACTTTGTCTTGCACGAGCCAAGCGAAAGCACGCCCTTACGGCGTAGGCGGGACGAGTGACAGTGCGAGCAGCTCGCCCTAGTCTAGAAGGAATCTTGAATCTTCCTATGTAACGGTAATATACTCTTCTTCCTAATAGAGAGATAGAGGAGGCGTTTCACTTTGAATACTTCCTGTTTACCTTTCTCTTCGACAAAAGCTTGCGAAAAAGCTCTCCATTTGTGGTGAGCAAAGCGACACGCGAGAGAACGCGAAAGCGGGTGGCAAAGCCGCGAGGGGCAGACGAAAAAGAGAGCTTCTCCCTTTTTGCGTGCCGCTAACGCGTGACTTCGTCCGCCAAATGGAGAGCTTGCTGGCAGGCTACTTCAACAAAAACGGCTTTAGTTGGTGCTTTGTTATAAACCAAACGTCTACTCAGACGAGGGTTTAAAGCAAAGAAATGCTCTTTCTGCTCTTTCTGGGTTAAATACGCCTTTATAGGAACTAACTACTACACTAAACAGTTGGTTACATCTTAGGGATGAAGCTATGGGTGTTGTGAATTCTATTTTTATACCACGCTGAAAACAAGAAAAACAAATACCTGGTATTCGCGGCCTTGGACGGGGTCGGAACCCAGGTCGTGGTCTTATTCGTGGCCTGGGTCGAGAAGGACGACGCCCTGAAATCATTACAAACAAGTGCCCCGATATTAACAGGAATGTTTGTCATTTAAATTAATTAAGTGTTTTGAAATAGAGAAAGATGAATTTTTGTTGAATAAATAACTTTTGGGTGCCATCGGACAACATTTAGGAGCTACAACAATCCTTTTGACCAGCTCTGGAGAAGAACAACCAATTTCCTTTATTAACCCAGCAGTATGATGACAAATAGCATCAGGACACATTTGAGGTGCCATGTTTTTCACTTAACCAGTAAATAATACAAAATCAGTTACGACACAAAGACAAACTAATACCACAATACTACTATTGAAATTAACTGCCTACTACAGAACCTTACCAGCTGCCTTATGGCCAAACAGATGAACTCTTTTAATAGACTGCCTACTAAATAAATGATAAATTACATAATTCTAGGGGAAGATGGCCTACCATTGGTACGTTGGTACACTTTAATAGCTCCAAGTCTACTGGATTTACTGCGTCCATACATCACGAACTTTCTACGTAAACGAGTGACGTAACAATAACGGCCATATTGTAACGCAAATACCCGATATCGTCCGTATTTTGCTATTTTTTCACATCGCCTGCGAGCAAAGAGTCTGCTTTTAAACGTCTTGATCGGTCTTCCAAGAACTCTTCTGGGAGGTGGTCGATAGAGACCCTTAAAGTAGTATGACTTGCGCCCTAAGTGCAAATGAAATACCTCTGTCAGCTACAAACACACCAACAAAAAATCTAGCCGGATATTTGAAAACGTTACCGCCAAATGGACCTTTTCCGTCCAACAGTTTTTTCGGTCACAAACCCAAAGTAGCCATTATAAAAACTAATTGTGCAACCATTGCTTTTTTTTCTTGTCGTCCTTTCCTTCTCCTCGCTCTTTCTTTTTCTCCTTTCCTTTCCCTTCGTTACTGTGATTTTGGAGTTTTTCGCGCTTAAGAAACCTGCCTTTCGACGCCTTTTCACTCAAATGACTGCAGATTTCGATAAGTTGGGTTTCAAAAAATCGGTTAGATATATACAGCTATTTCGAACAAGGTTGTGGGAAAAATGTGCACGCGACAGTCCGAAAGGTAATATGGGATATGTTCAATACACTTTTCCTGTCACTGTAGCTGTCAAACCTACTTTTGTTGCTTTCCTTTAGCAATCGCAGACATATGTCCATGGATTCTCCTGCCATTCTTTCAAATTTCGTTGAAAAACAGTGAACTCAACACCACCCACAATACCTTTCGCGGTTGTCGCGAGCACTTTATCCGACAACCTTTCTCGAAATGGCTTTATGCATTATTGACCAAGCGTGAGGTCAAGATAACTAGGTAACCATAGTTTTACAAGAAGGGTTGTTTTCAAGCAATTGAGTTAAAGAAACTTCTTAAAACACGTGTCCCTCCCCCAGGCTCTCCAAGTTCAAGAAATTCTTGGGTTGCACGTGACGTCACAAAAAATCAAACTAAGAAACTATCGATTCTTCTGAGTTTCTACTTTCACGAGGTATTACAGTACCTAAACACCTTTATGTAAACAAATGTTTGGTTCGAAAGGGTTCTTCGTTTTGCGAGAGAGGACGCTTGAATTTCCAGGCTTTTGCGTGACGCGGCATTTAGCTGGCGGCCGGGAAAGCTCTTGTGGGTTAAAAACATTACCGATTTTGGGAGATTTTGCAATCTAAACATTCCTTGTCTCAGAATAAATATTACTGTAATCTTTATGAGTTCCTCAAGCGAAGAATTCACGCATTAGTAGGAAAACTCGAAAACAGATGTTTCTGTTGGTATCCGGCGGCCATATTGGTGTTCCTGCAAGGGACACCAATATGGCGTTGCCATACAAAGCTTTATACATTTAGGTAAACCGTTTTTCCCAATATCTCGCATTTGAAATATTTCACAGACCTGATTCTTGGAAAGGGTTTTTTGTATATTTATCTTTTTTCATTTCCCAAATTCTAGTCCTTCTGTATTGAATGGTTTGCATTTTTATTTTTCATTGCGTGACAGTGCAAGCCGAGAATAGGGAGCTTAAGCAACGACGACTACGACTGAGGCGATCTGTTAAAAGGTTAATCCACGCTCTCATTCCTTACGCTTCAGTTTGTCAAATGTTGATGAATTGTTCTAGAGTTGAATTCTCATGAGCACGGTATCCAAGTTTTTGTCTTGTGTTCACGTGCCACTTTCTAATTTCACGGTTTGTAGAGGACGTCGTAGTTGTTCAACGACGGCAGAGAACTTTACAAAAAAGCATAATACACAAATTTGTTATTTTGCCAATCAAAACGTTCCCGTTCCCGTCGTCGTCGTCATTGCTTAAGCTCCCTTGTAGCGAATGATATCTTCAATCAGAAGATTTCTCATTCAGTACCTGGCATTGGTCTGGGTCGTGGTCTGGGTCGAGGTCTGACCCGGGGTCTCGGCCTTGGTCTCGTTATTCGGCCACTCCCTTTAAAGAGAAAAACACACTATGCAGAAGTTATATATTAACCTTAAAACCAGGAAAGTGGCCAAAAAAATTTAGTAACTGACCATTTTCACATAGACCATAACGCACCTTGTTTACCCCCAAAATTCTGCATAACCATTGTCTTGGAAACAATGGTTATGCAAAATTTTGGGGGCTAAGTGCATTATGGTCTTTGAGAAAAATAGTGAATCGAAAACAAATATGGTGCTCTTCTTGTAGAGATCATTTAAAGATTTATAATATTTTAGGCAATGATACACTATTCAGACTGCGTTCACACGGCAGCGGACGAACTTTCGAACAGCTGAAAATTTTCACCGGACACTTCCTTTCGTTCACACGGAACCGTTCACTATTTTCGCCCTGTACACACGGAACTTTGAACGGTTAGACGTCTAAATTTTCGGATGGTTAAGGTGATTCCGTGTGAAAAGCACGAACGTTCAATCAGTCAAAAATTCGTTCGGTGCCTTGTGAACGTAGCCTCAAGGTGATGGTACACGAGACGATTCGCAACGACGATTTTTAGCGCAACACAGCATTACAATATTGTTGCGACATTGTTGCGAATGGTTACAACATTGTTCCAACATTGCTACGCTGTGTTGCGCTCAAAATCGTCGTTGCGAATCGTCTCGTGTAACATCACCTTTAGGCCATCTAGTTTTGATGCGAATTACAGAACATTAATAGAACAAGAGGTGAACCATTAGCCAACCTCCAAGTCCTGATTTTGGGTGTTTGGCTATTTTTATATCGACTTATTTCACAACACCACAGACGACGGGTCCAAATTACATCTATCTTCTACTCTATCTTCTATCATCTAAACTGAATTTAAGGAATTTTTACCTCTTACGATGAACACCTTCAGCGCTCCTGGCATTTTCGTTCGCGGCAGGCCGTACTTTGTAAATTTTCTAGGATTGGTTTGAGCGAGGAAACATTGTCGACCAAACCTTAGAGCAAACGCCCAGGCTCTACGCATGCGCGCTAGGCGCTGGCAGTTCTTTTTCGCATTCTTAAGGCTTTTCAGGGTTATCACAGGTCTACCAAGGATTGTTTTCGATGGGGCTCTGTACCGTCCAATGTAACTGTATTTTGCACCTAAAGAGAAAGCGTACAGTAAGGAAACTCTTTCGGGTGCGTCACCCGTTGTTCATAGTAACTGTGCAACGTAAAACTTAAATTAAGGTAGATTTCCACTGTTGCCTAATTTTTGTGTACGTAAATAGAATAGAGGCAATGTATGAAAGGTTGTGCGTAAACGTTGTGTTTGCGCGAGTTACATCTTCTACTTTGACGCGCAACCTGTCAGACATTTCTTTTATTATATTTACGCAGTTAAAAATTACGCGACAGTGGAAATCCACCCTTAGAGGCAGCTAAATGCAATATATCACCGAAAATACGGTACAATTAAAGAAAATCATTTACTCCTCCTTTTTTGAATACACTTTACAACGTAAGACATCCAGATCAATCAGCAGATAGTCGACGTTATCGACAAGGTTTTGCTAGGAGGAGCGGGCTTTAATAATACTAAAGAGCCTGCACGCGAGGAAATGCTCGTGAGCGGTGAAGCGCCCAAAGGTCTCCAGCCCCATTCTAATCGCAGCTTTGCCACTGGTGTTCGCAGCTCCTCCGTGTAAATTAAGACAAAAAGCACTTGTGATTTAAGCAAAGCATTGGGGGGCGAGATTTCACAGAAATATGAAACTATTTTTTATTACTCGTGCTTTGGTCTCTGGCGAAAAGCGTTGCAAAGCAAGCTCAAACATCAGTATTACCTGGTGGTGGTCTTGGTTTCCTTGTGGGCCGTCTGCCTAAAATAACAGGATGTAAATGATGTTAACAACCATCAAATTCCAAAAACCAAGGTGCTTTGGTACGTTTGCTAAAGTGGACGACCAGTTACGCAAACACTAAAATGTAAGATTTTGCCAGAACGTGAAAGTCTTTAAAGCAAGTGTCACTGATGAAACCGGGTGCCACTGGATTAGTCGAGCAAATGGCAACCAATAATTTCTACGAACAATAATGAACACTATCCATTGATAATAAGACCACAGAATAATGACAACGGTACAGCAGATGATCACAGTGTTCTTTGTCTGTAAGTCGCTCACTGATACGAACAGAAACCTTGATGCTAAAATTTATTATCCGACGCTTCTTCCCTGCGAAAAAGAAACCTCTCGATCTCAGAGAAAGGGAAGTGAACTTCCCTTCCTTGCTTTAATCTTTATAGAAAAAATGCGCCCCTGTCTTTTACCCCAAAACGCATCGTGAAAAATCCTCATTTGCAAGTAGTGGATTTTTCAAGCCCTTAGAAAGAACGACTGTACCACTCAGACATAATCTGTAGCAAAATATTTTGATATTAGAAGACGACACCAATCCGTTGAAGTTTCCATGAAGTTCCTTGACGCGTGCTAAGGAATAAGATAAGACACAGTCTTTCACAAACCTGCTTTAGGTCTTGGTCTTGGTAATGGAAATAGTGGCCGTGGTCTGGGACGAGGACGGAGTCGTGGCCGGGGCCTGGGTCGAGGTGGTATTCTTGGTGGAGGACGACCTGTTGAATAAACGACATACTGTGTAGTTCTGAACTCTAGATAATCCAAGCCTAAAATCTACCTAAGGACGTAATCAGCCCAAGGCTACTAGCCTCTTTTCACTGCCAAATAATACCTCACATGACAATTGTAAACTGAGGCCAGAACTATGTACCCTGCCGAAGCCGTCGCAGCAGCTAGTGTCCATTATGTATAATATCTATAATACGAGTTGCAAAAAGGATTTTAACGAAGAGAAAGCAATTTTTCATGGCCTATACTCTCGTAGACCATAGCTGTCGGCCAATCAGCACGCTGGAAATCACTCATTTGCTGTAAAATGTAAAATGGTTGGCTAGTGGAACAGAATTGACTTCTCGTTGACAGGGCAGAATAACCAAGTTAAGTTTAACTAAAAAGATAAATTGGACCGTAACTGGAAAAAGCTTTATTTTATCCTGATTTAAAAAGAGGACCAAACCGACCTAACCAAATGAATAGCATAACGTTATCACGGCTGGTCTCACATATTTTTGAAAAACACCGATTTCTTTCGAATTTTCCTCTGGTGATGGCGTGACGTTACTAATTCACCGACTTTCACAAGTCTAACATCACCTCAAACTTATATGGCCCCAATCTGACAGTGGAATTGGCTCCGACGATTAAGCTGCAATCAAGCACTAAGTAAGCAAGTGCATGCTTAGCAGTAAGTCAACTTATAGCTAAAGCTGGTGTTCAGCCGTACCCCCGCAAGGGACTAAGAAAACTGTTCGAAAGAGCGTGGTACAATTAAAGGGAAAGGTAAAGGTAAAGCAACCGTATTTTTCGTCGATAACTCGTGACAGTAATAACTGATGAACTTGAGGTCGACGGTACGCTCATTTTGCCCCCTTCTATCCATCAATGCTCTAAAATGCTTTAAGGGTATTTAAAGCTAGTCAAAGCTACACAGAAAGGAGAGAAGTTGAAACAAGGATGTGATGTCACCGAGAGACCTCGCGCACCGAAGGCCGCGCAGTAATCAGGTGAGCCACCCTTGCTTCAATTACTGAATACTTGCCCTATTCTTACAAAGTCTAATAAATAAGCCATTTCCGAGTTCCAAAAACTCTCACTTTCAAGACGAGGCTGAGTCAAAACCTTTCTTGTGTTTCAGTGTGTGAGAATAGAGTGTTTTCACTCACGTGGCCAGCAAAAATGCAAATTTATGGTAACAAAAGAACGCGTTTGCATAAGAAAAGAGTTCAACTCCCAGGGGACTGGTTTGGGACACCAACATGGCCATTCATTGTTTTGGGACACCAGTATGGCCGCCGTGACCTCATGTGAAAACACTTTATAAAAAATCATTTTCGTATCAATGGCCTCGCACTTAGCCTCGCTTTGAAACAGAGGCTTCATCAGGCAACTCGGAAATGGCCTATTGAATTGCAGCGTTTTTCGTTTATTTTCTCATACTAACCTTTCGGCTTGACGTAAACCTTGATACTTTTTCCAGGTCTCTTTGATCTTGACCGACCGTAGATCATAAGCTTTCGAGGTGAAGAGCGTGATACGAAGCAAAGGCGACCACGGAAGATGACAAATACCCGATAACGACCTTGTCGTGCAGCACGCTGACAAATACGTTTGGTATATCTACGATTTTTGATTCTAATCTTTCGGCCAAGATATCTCCTGGGTGGAATTCTGTACTTTCCAACAAATCTGTACGGACGCTTTCCTCCTAAAACGAGAAAGAAGGAGTAAGGATACCTAGTTTCCTTGTCGAATAAATCTGCGTTTAAGCCTTCAGGTATAGTTAGAAACCTTTCGTCTTGAATAAATAGATAATTGTTTTTCAGTTGGTTATGGGGAAGTTTCTTCCCATCAAACTTCAGGTTGACTTCTTTTAATTAAGCCCTTCACAAATGGCCAGATTGCTAAGTACGCTCCAAGATTGTGGCAGTCAGATACGACTTTATAGCACGCGTGATTTCAAAATTGAACGAGCCTGCAGCACGAATTCGATTTGAAATCACAAGTATGATTTCAGACCAAAACCGGCTGCACGATATGAAGGTCAATTACCCCTTTATTACATCCATTTTACCTGCAATTTGATTTGTTACTTTAAACAAGATTTGAAATCTGTTTGGTTGTGCTGTTTTAGTGTCCGTTTTCCATTGGCTGGGAAAAAGATGCAATTTAGAGCAAAAAATGGTGCGATTTGGGAATAGATCACACTGCTGAGAGCCAATCAGACTGTACGGATCGCCAGTGATTTCAAAGTGGATGTAATAAAGAAAGAAATCTCATTGTTTTTGAGTGCTCTTTGGAAGCTGAAATTTTAGCGAGTAACTTATCTTTGGATTAACATTTTGGTGGCCAAACGAAGAAATGAAACATTTTCGAATGAAAATCTCCTTTCAAGGGGAAAATCCGAAATAAAATGTCGCTCATTTGTTAAAATGTATACGCACCTGGTCGCGGTAGGACTTGGGGTCGAGGAACAGGACGTCGAACTGAGAGAGGAAATAAATGAGAGAGAGAGAGAGAGAAAAGAAATATCAAGAAGTTGCCTGGCATTGGTATATATAAACTTGACAGGCGCTGGGAAAGAATCGCATTTGCCAACGTCAGTCTACATCTCATCGTTGTTCAGGATAGAAAAGTAATATTTAAAATCCACAGAAAATAAGTCCTCCGTCAAGAATAAATGGCCCTCCAAATATAAGCCCCCAAGTGTTTAACTGGAAAATATCCGTTAAATCGCCCCTCCAAATAAAACTACATCCGGGGCTTGTACTTGGAAAATTGCCCCAAATACAAAGAAAACAAATGAAAAATTTTAAAATTTACCAACTATGATTTTATCGATATCATTTTTTGAAACGCAAATTTCCCTCTGTAGATAAGCCCCTCCAAAAATAAGCCCCTCAAAAAGGGCCTTTGAAAAATATAAGCCCCGGGGATTATTTTCGGAATTTTACGGTATTTTTATCCACAGAGGTATTGCTTACAGTCGTGCGTCAAGAAATATGGCACCATATAAAAACCTAACGTCGTCATATTGTGTTAAACACAGATCTTTATACAATTAGAATCATTGTAGGTCTAAGATGGTTCTCTGCTCCAGAGTAGTCTCCTTTACAGGACAAATAATTTTATATGGGAGTCCCCCCTGGATCAATTGAGGTTTCTGGGTAACCGTCCACCTATCCCTCCACTAAGTCAACATTAACACTTACCTCTCACTTAGGGCAAAATTGTGACTTAGGGGAGGGGTAGGTGGTCAGTTACGCAGAAGCCCCAATTGATCCATGTTCGTTGGGGAGGATTATGTGACGAGCTAAAAGAACACCCGGTTCGGAGGGTACATGGTCTGCTAGGCAGGCGTTTGAAGCATAAGGGAAAATGGTCAGGTTGGGCGTGCGTGCGGGGTGCGTTTCTCGCGCGCCTTAAAGTTCCTAACCACAGCGCAAGGTACTTGACTAACCTTTACAAGCTTTTTGTTTGACCGCTCGCACGATACTGTTTATGGTTTGGAACCTTGAGGTGAAAACACATTTCCTTCTAGAAGCCATTTGCTGCAGCTGTGTCACGCTGTATGCTTTACCCATACCAACTGTTATAATCCTCACCCCAGCACGCCTCAGGCGCCGCGAAGCAACTACAACCGAGTCACGTGATGTAGCAGCAGTGATCACGATGGCAACTTTTTGTCTTGTAGAGCGAGAGAACAGCCTAACCGTCGCATACTTCAACGCTTTTCCCACTTTAGCTGTACCGCTCATGAATGGTATCCGCCCCATCACATTTAACAACGTTGCTTTGTTTGTGAAGCGGTTAAAGTCAAACAGCTTCCTGGGTTTGCTGCTGAACTCTACCATGCCGAATCGGGTAGCTGTTGTGGACACAGAGAACGACGCCACGATTTGCTTCAAAAAGTTGCGAAGCCTAAGGAAATTTTTGCCGCCAACCTTTGCCGAGGCATCCACAATCAAACCAATGTCTAGAGCACGGGAACAAACTGAAAACAAGATTAAGATAGTGCGTACGGTTTAAACAATACCGCGGAAACTTTAAGATTCAAGCCATGACGGCTCCAGTAACTCGTTTTAAATTTAAGTTCCTTTAGCTTCTTCTTAGTTGAAGGACACGGATTTAAAAGAATAGGTAACAACCCTTATAAAAGGACGTTACTCATGCTGAAGACAAAATTAGAACTCAAAAAGAAGATATCGTGTAAAAGTTCGAAAGGTTTACCTACCCTTGCCATGAGGCTTTGGCTTCTGGAATCCTGGTGGTATTATAACTGAAAACAACAAACAAAAGATATCATTAGCTTTGGCACATAAATGGCAAACGGGGATGGTACGAACTGGACAGACAGGACCCAGACAGACAGACAGACAGACAATAGATAGATAGATAGCATGACAGACAAACATAGATAGGGGATGGTCTGTCACACATTGAATTATCTCAGAAGTATGGCACAGACCTGGCCTATTATCTTTGAGGCAAATGGGGATGAGGAATAGGACAAATAGGTCCCCCCCAATACCCTCCTTACCCATCCCCAAAACCCATGCCAGATATACACCCATCCCCACAACCCGTGACAGATGAGAGGAACGGGATAAAGACAGTCCCCAATGAGGGTGGTTTCCCCACAACCCTGCAGATAGACACTAGGGGTGGTTTGTAGCCTGGGTAGCAAGCGTTTTCAGTGCGAGTTGATTGAGAAAGTTGAAACGAGAGCAAAGAAAGAGAAGAATGATGAGGGGGAGTGCAGAAAAGGAAACATCCCCTCCCCCTTCTTCCCCAATTTCAGCAATTTTCTAAACAAACTCGAGCAAAAACGCCTGCAACGCAGGCAAAGCGATCTGTCACACCGATTGTTAAGTTGTTTCTTTTACGTTCTACAAGAGGCAAATCAATTAACTGTTTTGAGACGGGGCCTGTTAGGGTTTTCTTCCTTATCCAAGAAGACTAGAATGTTTAACAATTTGCAGATGTGAAACAAAGGCAGCACATTCTCCTCGCTTATTTCAAGACCCCGAGTGTTGATGCAGCAGAAAAAAGATCGAGGTGAGTCCCTGCGGGTGTTTCCTGTGAACCTCTCAATTTCAATGCAAAGTAACTTCATAGATATCAGAGCCTTCGCCTAGTTTATCCACTGTAAACGAATATTTGTCCTCCACGTTGGGGGTTGGGCTGAAGGCTGATAACCCTTTCGCGTAAAACCCTGTTATTATGGAAACCAGAAGCAGAGAAAATTCACTTTATCAAGGAAACACTATGGCCGGTCCTCACAATAAGAGCGACTCTATGATGCGCGGGGAAAAAGCCAACAGGACGCCACCGGGCTGAATAAGAGGGAGACCGAAATCCACCTGGAGGCGAACGGTTGAAAAGGAAAGAACAGAAGCAGGATGGCTATCGTGGGAGGAAGTGAAGACCGTTGCAGCTAACCGAGATAAGTGGAGGGACGCTGTTTAGGCCTTATGTGCCACGAGGCACGAAGAGGATAGGTGTGGTGAAACGAATATTTAAAATCTGTACAAGACTTTGGATAACTAGCCGCCTACCCCTCCCCTGATCCATCAATAAGAACAACTTCTCACTTAAGGAAAATGTTGAGTCTCGGGAGGGAGGGGTAGGTTTGCAGTTTTCCACAATCTTGTTCTGATCCTTAAATACTCACTTCCTGGTGGAGGCTTCACAAAAGGCTTGGGTCCTGTTAAAAAAAGGGTCCTGGTTAGTAGCATATAAACCACACAACGTCCTTTAATTGTCATCAAAATCATGTGCCGAACCAAGGGAGAATGAGAATTCTCTTTTGGCAGAGCGCACAAAATCCGCGGCTATATCAGTTTGCATGGTAGGAAAAGACCATGAACATATGCGAAGGTGAATATAGAGAAAGCAAGAGTCACTGAATTTTTCTCGACCGCTGCTGGCGTTTCCAACATCTAACATTTAAGGCAAGGCTGATTGGACAGCTATGAATCGGTAATTTATTTGCCCAGTGTTTCGGAAAGGTCGCAAAACTGACCTTCATCAGAGGCTAGAAACATCATCAACATCACCCGCCAGTAATATATAAATCAGAATAGATTATATAAATCAGTGAATTTGGCTCTTACCCCTGCAAGCTGCAATTTGAACTGGCTGAGCAATGGAAAGTAGTGTTCTAAAGCTGGATGTAAATACTGCACCGCGTCGTTTTCCCACCATTTGCCGAAGCTGTGTAACGCTTACAGCTTTTCCAACACCAATACTGATTATCTGCACTCCCACACGGCGCAAAATGGCAGAAGGGATAGCAACATTGTCGAAGGACTTTCCATGTGTTATTACAAAAAGGACTCTCTTTCGTCTTCTTGACCGGTTCTTGAACAACGCTCTTTTAACATATTTAAGGGCAGCGCCTGTTCGAGGCCCACCTCTGAAGAATGGAGCGCTGCTAATGGCTCTCAACAAACTTCTTCGTCTTCCACTATAGCTATAACACCAATTAAAGACTTAAGTTTAGTTATGACATTCCTATAGTAAATTTTCATTCCACTCGCAGGAAAAATGGATTGTTTAGAAACGTAAAAACCTTCTTGAGGGCAAAAGAGAAGCCGGTTAAATCCTCTGAACGCCCTGTAACAATTGGCTTAGAGGTGTGATATGTCTCAAACACGTTGTTTGTAGCAGATCAAAATCCCAAAAAATCTTTGTTTTCGAATAACATTTTCAAGGTTAACTTTCGCAGGAGCCGACTGAAACGAGGGAGTTTTCTCCATCAGGGACCGCGGGTTTCTAAACGTAACAAATGCAGTATCCTGTCTGGAACTCAAAAATCAATTATCTTGGAGAATAACTGTTAAACAACAAAGCAACCGTTTTTTTTCACTGACGCACAGAAACATGGACAAAGCTTGACGTAGAAAGCTGTACCTCTACTAAGGTTTGTCAGTATTCCCCTGTGTGTCCGAGACGAAACTAGTAAAACATGATAAAACCCGTTAGTAATTATTTATTGTATATAACAGGATACCTGTAAAATCCAAAGACTTTTGTAGCCTTTCTGGAATAAGAGACTAGGCCGATCTTTGCTCGCGGGAAAGACACAACAAGTTTCTTTATCAAGTGTAGAGTACGCTGGAAATTACTAGAGCTTATTCTCCCGCTCTCTAATAAGAAACCAATGTCGATCCTCTTTTGGCAAGCTGGAAAAAAAGGGAGACAAAAAAGCGGATTTGTCACTTTACACCCGTATTGTTTAAGAACAACTCCTTTTGATGGACCCCGCTAAACAAGCACTGACTAAGGGTATGTCTGCACCATAACGGATAGCTCTTGGGCAAACGAAAAACCATGTCGGATAAGGCTTCTGTTCGCACATGCGAACGATGATATCGGGTAGGTTTCTGCGTCACTCTTAGTGGCAGTGTGAATGGTTGCAGGGGTGGATACGGTAATCTATTTTAAGTTGTCCTACGTTTGTTAAAAAACATGGCGATTTACGAAGAGCAAAGGATGGTTGTGTTCACAAGGATTTTGGAAGCCACGTATTTCACGTTTTTTCGTTTCTTTATCCAAGAATTATATTCGTTTAGTGCACTGTTCTAAGGGGGGGGGGTTGGCTAGCCACCCAATCCAGCCCCTCCGGATCCGCCCCTTGGTTGTTCATACCAGGCCGGAGTATTTTTCAGGTCGACAAGATAAGCTATTCGGTACAGTTCAGACCTACATGGTTTTGGTGCAAAACATGCGGCCCTCTGTTGGTGTTCCCAACTTACTGGAGACACTTTTCACAGCTTACAGCTTTGGAAATGCTGTTTTTTGAAGGGAGTGGAAAACCGGATGGCCCGTACAAGAACCTCTCGGAACAGATCAACGATAAACTCAGCCCACATATGGTGTCGACGCTGGGGCTCGAACTCAGGCTACATTGGCGGGAGACAAATGCTCTCTCGCCACTGCACCATCTCTGCCCCCTCTCCCCGGTCTACCCTATAGATAAAGATCGATATGGAGGTGAGAGAGACGCTAGAGAGGTGAACGTTAAGTAAGAGAGGGAACTGAAATACATAAACATTCGCGTGACGTTTTTCTAGAAGTACAAAGAACAAATTGTAAAAAGTGAAAAAAAAGTTTCAGTCAAGAAAGTGTACTTTACTAACCTGGTCTGAGTGGTTTTGGCACTGAAGGCGCTGGAAGAGGTCCTGCCAAGAAAGAAAGTCATCAAATTGTTGTAAGTGATCAAACTGGCAAGAAATATTCTGCAAACGGCTCATGATTACGTCTGTCAATGATCAAAAACTGCTTCCCGGTTTGTATTTACCTTAAGCCACCAGGTTGATTCCAGAAATTTTGTGGGTCAAGGAGTTCGAAGCAACGTTGGTGCGAAATTTCAATCTAAAGGTACATCTTTACAACGGGGAACAACAATTAATTCTTCTTTTACTTGACTTAGATTGCTATCGAATTATGGTTGGAAATGATTAAAATTTAGGATATTATTAAAGACTACCTTAATAACCGGTTACACCGCTTTATTTAACCCTCAAAGTCTTGGGGTATTAAACGCTTATCTTATTTCTTATATCAAATGGTTAAGGAGTGCGAGCGAGATCGATCGTAGGTTACTTAAAACGCTTTTGCTCTAACGCCATGCTTTGGGTAAATTCTTCGCGGGAGAATTTCAAAACGCGCGTAATCAGATTGCATTCTATACATTCCATTCATTCTACATACGTGCCGCGCATGCGTAATAGCAACCTGGCCCCAGTTGTTCACGAACGATGGATAACGCTATCCACTATAAACCTCTATCCACTGAATAACGCAATTGATTTCCCTAACACTTTTCCACTGGATAGTGATTTATCCGATGGATAGCGCTATCCAACTTTCGAACAACCGGAGCCCTAATGATTAGGATTGCGGGCTTCTCTGGTCGCTTCAATTACACAGAAAGAGAAATTAAGACATCGGTCCCATCTCAGGTAAAGAGTCTTACCGCGTGTCTTGAAACACATCCTTTTCCTGACAGCTACTTGTCTTCCCGAGAGTGCTGTGTTATAAAACTGTAAACATGCCAAACGACCTTTGAAAAACCTAGTGCCACCAATTTTTGCTCCGAGCCTTACAGGATAGTTAGTGGCCAATCTGAACTTGCCAACAGTCCTTCGCTTAACCAGTCTGGTGTTCACATACAACCTTGCTTCGCCTGTTTTTTGATTGTAGGTCACCGTAACGTAACTCCAGCTTCGCCGGTAAATTCTGTAAATAATCGGCTTGGTCAAGAGGCGACCTCGTCGTCTAACAAACCGCGCATAGAGCTGGGTACGACTAACCATCCAAATTTGCATCCCTTGTCCCCTGGGGTTATAGTTAACGAGCGGTCCTGGTCCCTGTGGGTACACCCACAGTGATATTGTGATGGAATTTACAGTATCTAGTAAACCTTTGTTTGGAAGCTGGATGAAGCTGTTTGGACGACCAAAGAACTGATAGGACGAGCCTTGTTTTCTGTCCGGCCCGGGAGCTGGTCGGACGCTACCGAAGATCGCCGGAGGATTTTTACGACCACTGACGTCTCTGCCTTTGCTGACAGAGTTCAGGGGATAGACTGCCACTGGATTGTAAGAAGCTTGAGACAAAAGAAAAAGGTTACAAATTGATAGCATAATGATACATGCAAGTATAACGGAAATAACGCAAGGGGGGCCATTCCTTATATAATAGTGGCATATACTGGGAGGCGGCGCCCGAAAAGGGTCGGTTATATCAAAGGATAGGGAATTCACGAGTTGAAGTATAAAGCGAAGGAAAATCTATCATTTAGCAAGCTAATTTGTGGAAGTAGACAAAAAACGCTCATTACCAGTCGGGTTCCATTGCAAGAAAATCTTAGCTCCACATGATGGATTGTCCATGTTTTCATTTTACCAAATGTTAAAAACAATACAAATACTTACGAGGAGGGACTGTGGGTAGACTGGGACGGACGACTGGTCGAACACCAACAGGACGAGTAGCTGCAAAAAGACGTGGTTTATGGATTTCTTAACAATCATTATAAAGTAACAAATACTAGTAAATAACCAAAGATGATGATCATTGTAACTTCCTAATTATTATTTTGGAAAGTGTTTGTTTACGATCTTCGATTAAATTTCACTTTCTTTTTCAGAAACTATCCCTAGAACAACAACACAAAACTTACTAGAATTAACACATGACCAAAAATATGAATACAGACAACCCTCTCTTCACGGATACCTCTGTAAGACAGAAAGCAAGTTAAAACAGACGCCAAGAGTTGGTCCCGCCTTTCTTTACTCCTTTTAGTTGAATCTCCGGAAGACGGACATCTCTCTTAACCGAACATATAGTGCCGGTCCTGGAGGAGTCGGTATAAAGAGAAATGACCGTAGTTGGATTTCCTTTGGACATTGACTCACTCAAAACTTACCAGCTTTGAAACATTTTTTGGCCGCTAAACGAACTTGTCTCGCTGTAAGCGCCCTTGAGTACACCTGAAGACATGTGACCCTTCCTTTGAAGTAGCGCTTGTTCCCAGACCTCGCTCCCATGCGTACGGGGTAGTTGGTAGCCAGTCGAATTCGACCAATAAACTTCTTAGCAATTTTTTTCCATTTCTCCATAGTGCTGCGGTACCGGTTTTTCTGTTGTAACTTGCTCCGAGAAATTGCCACGTTTTAGGTCGCACAGAGAACCTACTTATCACAGGTCTCGTATATCGGCGACCTTTGCGACGCATAAATCTGGCATATAACCTTCCACGGGTTCTGAGCCAGAAGTGGACACCACGAGCGCTTGGGTGGTAATTGAACAAGGGTCCAGCTGCCAGCTTCTCAGGATAAACCCATGCCAAAACGGTCATACTGTAGGACGTGTCAAGGGCCCCACCTCGTCTGTTAGGAAACTGAATATAGCTTGTTTGGCTACCTAAAAACTTAATGGAACCACCGGGTCGTCCAAGGGGACCTGGTGCACTACGAACATTCCTCAGTCTCGCATTTGGGTTCCTTCGCGTGAGGTCCCTTCCTTTTGAGTTCTTGTTAAGCGGGAAAAACGCCACTGGTCGCGGAAGATCTTATTCAAAGAAAGGAGAGCAGAGTTATTATCAAAAAAAGTCAGAGAGTGCAACCGACATGTCATGGTATCGCAGGGCAAGACAAGAACTTCATTTTCTGTCAAAGTGATAACTGATTTTATACAGATTACATTTCCAGGATAGAATCGAAGGTGAGAGAAATTGGAGTTAGTAAACGATTTATCTTTACCTTTGGTGTCACTTGATGTCCAGCAGCAGTTTTTAGATAGACGAGCGGTAATTCAAGAGCGAGGAGAAACGGATGTTTTCGCAGGCTACCATAGGGCAATTTGAATGACAGAAAAAATTAATCTTAAGCCAGCAATTGAAGAGAGGTAGCCGCTAGAACAACAGAAATTCTACCTAAAACTGACGCTTTGCGATGTTTCCTCTTTCAGCATGTAACTGACGTCTCATGTTGGCATTTTAATCGATACACTGCGATAGTATGAATAAATTTCTGCTTGAATTTTGTTATAATTAAACTGCTCCGTGAACTTACACAATGGCCGCTTTGATGGTAGGCGTGGGCGAAGAGGACCTTAAACAAAAAGAAAATGCACAGTTAAATTTCACTGGTGAACACGATCATATGGGGCCTTCCATATGAAAGAGCGGGAATGCTTGTCAGAAAATTAGAAAACTTCCGTGCAACCTTAAGCGAAATCTTTATGGGTAAAAGTATTGGCTTTCCGTCCCAAAACGAGCATTTCCGTCACTTTCATTTAGGAATACTCTCCCAGGATTAGAAGGTACGGTCAAGGTCGATTGACACCGCACAACTTTCTCGCGTGCAACGTGCTAACGGTAAACTTACCACCCTTCTGCACTGTAGCGCGTAAATCAGACTTACAACAATCACACGTAGGACGTAGGTTTGATTTACACGGTAAGACTCGTGTCGTAAGCTTGTTGTAATCAACTCGCCACACCACAAGCCACAAACTTGTAAAGTGAAAATCGGCCTTTACAGAGGAATAACGAAAATCCATCCACAAGACAAATTTATCAGGATAAATATAATGGATGTTTCTGAACATACAGAAAATTTCTTTTTAAAGAGGAAAGAAAAGAGAAAATCGCGCATGCAAGCAGGGGAAGGTCCGGCGTGCGGAGGAGGAGGTTAACCTTCCTCCTTTCTCCGTTACTCTCTTATGGCATATTAGGGAGCCCGAATTTCCCCATTCCCCTCTGCCTCGGACGCCTGCCACGCGAGTAATCCATTACGTTACAAGAACCTCTAATTTACAAGAACCTCTAATTTAAGTGGTCATCTGAAACAATATTGCCTTTTGTGTTGAGGGTTAGGGTTATCGTTTGTGTGGTTATCTTATTGTTTTCACAGCCAATTGTGTGAGCCGTTCAGTGAGGTGCTGTTTGACCATGCCACGCAGAACAGAAGTAAATGAACGGTATTGAGTATGGCTGCTACAGTTGACTTTTGATTTTCTGAGTTTGTAAAAAGACATGACATAACCATTATTTCTGAAGGGCTCTTTGGCTAACAGGTCTTTAATAGACTAAGCGCGATTCTACTTACGTCGAGTAAAGCAGGTTCTTTGTCTTGCTCGAATCTCTGACTGGGAGAGGGCATAGTTAAACACTTGAAAGCAGGAAATGCTCCCAGAAAACCGTCGCTTGTCCCCTATCTTTTCACCCATTCTTATTGGATAATTCGTAGCCAGTCGGATCCGTCCGATTCTCTTTTGTGTCACTCGGTAGTTATTTATCCAAAGTCTTGCAATCCCTGATTTATGATCATAGCTGCAACCAACGAACTGCCAACGATTTAATCTAATTCTTCGACTTCGAACTGCGACCGTGTAGCGCCGCCTTCTTCCGCCGCGTTTACCACGACGTGTGAAGCGTGCCATAAGTTTGTTTGGTGTCTCAAGCCAGAATTGCACTCCCATTCCGTTAGGATGATAATTTGCAATGGGTCCAGGTTTCCCTCCGGGTTTAATCCAAACTAGCAAGGTGATGGAATACTTTGTATCTAGAGAGCCTCTATTTGGAAACTCTATAAAGCTGTTCCGCCTGCCTTTGAAGCGATATGCTGTACCCGGTTGGCCGTCAGGTCCTGATACCGGGTACACTCCTCGTAATCTGGCTGGTCGATTAGCATTGTGGGTAATGTCCCGTCCTCTTGATGACACACTCAGTGGATACACTGCCACCAACTTGTTACACGCTGTTAATGAATATAAACAGCCATTTGTATTTGTATTTCCTCCCTTCACAAAAGCAATACAGTTGACGTAAAAGATAATACATTAAGCAATACAAAGGCATTAAAAAAAAAAAGGCAAAATAGGAATAGAGAAAGGCATAATAAAGTGGAACTTATTAAGGCCCTTTAACAATGTTGATTAGGCTGGATTTTATTGTCCTCTTATTTGGTGTATCTCACCATTGTTACACGAACACATAACAATGCTGAACGCACAACGAAATTGCAAAAAATAATACGAAAAGTGCAGTAACTACAGTAAAAACCCGCGAGTAAGAACCTGCATTTTCCCAAGTTAGTCTAAACAGGTTCTTACATGATGGAAATTAGCACAAATTTCGGCTATTTACGTTCTTAAAGAGGTTCTTATATTCGGCAGAAAAATTATATTGTAGCTAAGAGTATTTAGTGGTATTTAGCAGTTAACATTGCAGTTGGAGAGATAAGGCACCTATGTCCCCAAAGAGGATCCTGAATGTTGACTAATCTTGATTGCGCAAGTGTACAGATTTTTTTTAAAACAGATTTAGAAAATAAGAACCTGTTTCAAATTTTAGCCTGAACAGGTTCTTGCAATGCGGCATAATTAAATTACGATTTGAAGGTCGTTCCCACAGGTTTTTACTGTAGTAAAAAGCTTAAGATTATCGATTTTAAAGATATTCACGTTCTTTTTAAAACACATGAGCCAGTTTTTACTTTTGTAGCAATTAATTAATTATTTAATTAATTAATTGATTATTATTATTATTATCATTATCATTATAAATTTATGATTATAGAGGCCAAGAAGACTGTGGAAATAAATTACGATACCATCATCACTACCCAGTGGTGACAGGATGGAGTTACCAACAGTCTGAATTACATCAGACTGACCACTATAAGACATGAAAATGTGGACAAATCTAACACTATTTCTATAACGATTTGAAGGTCGTCCTCGCTTAAGTAAACTACATTATCGATTTTAAGATGTTGACTCTTTTTAACTGATTTATAAGCCAATTTTTACTTTTGTAGTAATTAATTAATTACTTAATTTATTCATTATCATCATTATAAATTTACCATTAAAAGGGCCAAGAAGAATGTTGAAATAAATTACGATACCATCACTACCCAGTGGTGGTAGGATGGGGTTACCATCACTCTGTCTACAGCGCCGTACTCAAGCCACTAGGTGCATTGTGGTCTCGGTGAAAACAGTGAATGCGCCCAGAGCGTTTGTCTATCTATTTGGTTTTAACTTTGGCATCGCGTATAGTTCTTTATGTTACATAAAACCATTTATCCATAAAAAAAATTTAGCGAGCATTAGTTGTCGACCCTTTGGTGTAACTAACGTCGATGTTTGAAGATGTCAATAACGTAGGGCTCGAAACAAGGACGAACGCCAGTCTCTCGGTCACCCTCATATGAGAGACAACCAAGTCAATCAATGTTGTTGGACTGTTAAAGAACAATTTACTGTAGTATTCTGAACTAGTTAATTTGGTAAATTACCTGAGAAACGGAAGCACTTCTTCTCCATTAGTTTCACCTGGTGACTACTGAGAGCTCGATCAAAAAACTGTAAACAAGAAACTCGACCACGAAAATACTGCTTGCCACCCGGCCTCGCACCCAAGTAAACGTCGTGATTGGTCGATAGATCAAAAGAACCGATTTGTTTCCGTACAACTGGTTTGCTGTTTACATACAGCGTTGCTGTACCCGTGGTCTTGTCATAGGACATTCCAAAATGATTCCATTTCCATGGTTGAACCCCGTCAATACTTGCCAATTATGGCTTCTTCTTACGGGACTGTCTTGTAACAAACTCGGCAAACACCATGTTCCGTCTCATCATCCATAACCTGACAGCGAAGCCTTGATTCCCAAACTGAACTATGGGTCCAATACGGTTTTTAGGAAATGCCCATATAAGGATAGTCATTGCCTTTCTAGTGTCCATTCTTCCAGCATTTGGTATCTTGATGTAGCTGTAGGGTTTCCCGCGTAATTCGTATGCACTTTTCCTTCTTTTGTCGGGTCCATTGACAAGCCTCACTCCCATGAGAATAGCGGGAGGATTTCTCCCCAGCTTCTCCAAGCCGCGATATCGCTTGTTGAGTGGATAGACAATTACTGGCCGCGCAGGTACTGAAAGAGAAGGTACAGCAACACCATTAAATCGGTACAGTAAATCTTTATGGTAATGCTTTTTTTTTGTAGTGTTGTAATTATGGATACCAATAAAATAAAAGAAAATAAAAAAAGATCACAAAAAGCAGCCGTCTATTTTAAAAACATAAAGGACAGAGAACCGTTTCTTAGAGAGTAATCTAAAAGTCTAAAATTAGAAAATGTCTCTGTAGCAAAATCACTCTTCTGTTTTCCAGATAACTCCACCTCAAAAGTAAAAAGAATTTAATTGCCTGTTTTTACAAACAGAAACTAAAAAAGGATAGGGAACCGTTTATTAAAGGACAACCTAAAAGCCTAAAAATGTCTTTATCAAAAACATTCTTCCGTTTTCAATACGGGGTAAATCACTCTGCCTTAAATGTAAACGGTGTGGACGCCATAGTCGTCAGCTTTTTTGTCTGTACATGTTAAAAGTCAGTTCAGTTTCTCCTGTTATAATGCACGGCGCTGTGGTAGGTTATTTACTGAAATGTTACGGTATTTACACATAAAGTACATTAGTGTAAACTACCTTTGCGTTGAATTTTGCCCTTTGTTGAAATTTGATATTACTTTGCTACAAACCTATTCCTATACATTACAATCAACAATAACAACAAAAACCAGGAAAATAAACTTTTAACCAAGGATAAAATTTAACCGCAACAACTACATACCTGATGGAGCTTGAGTAGGTGGAGCCGGACGTGGAGTGGTTAGAGGTACAGGAGGGCGTCCTAGAAAAGCAAAAGCAGTTATTCATTGTTAAAGTTTTACACTCATCATCTTACTTACCTTGCTGTACTAATCACAACACTCAAATGAGCGTTGCACATCTCTCGTCATTTTGAAACGAACTCGCGAGTTCCAGTGACATAAGCCGTCAAAGTAAAATTGTACGATATATATCTTATTCATATCCCAGAACAATTACTGTAAAAAAATTGCTCTCGGTGTAATAACTGAATGAAAACTAATTGACCATATTACCAAAATTACATATGTAATCAAACAAGAGTGAATATTTATCGTCTCTTGAATCAAATCATTAAATATTTTAGTTGGTGCAGAATCACTCAGTTTGTTTCTGTTATATTTATGGAACCTATGATCCGACGACGGCGACGGGAACTTACGGCAAAATAGCGATAGGATTTTTGCACATTTCTTGGCCATCACTGCACGACTTGAAAATCACGTGAAAATGCCTAATTTCACGTTTTATGGAGGACGTAAACAAGCCACGGCAAAATTTTCTCTCTCTCAGTCTGAAATTGGGCATGGTTTTTAGGAATCCAACTCTGGGAGAGTCCGCCTACATTTTGACAAAGTAGGTGAGTTGGAATAATCGCGACAAGATTAAAAAAAAAAATGCGAGTTCACTTTTTAAGCGACGTCTTCGCAGCCGTTGCCATCTTCGGATCTTCAGGTTCCTATTTTTAATATGGGTGCATGTTAGGCAGCGTTCACATTTGATCCTCGGGCTCGGTGTCAGAGTACGCTACTCTGGTCTGGTCATCCAGACCCTGAGATAAGGGGAGTGGGGAGGTCCCCCTGGCCCCATTCCCTGGATCCGCCACTACTGGTTCCCAGACACCAAGTGTGGACAGCCCCTTAGCTGCCCCGTAAACTTACGTCTCATGCATCCTTTCATGGCTCTCTTAATTTGCTTCTTATTCAACGCCACTCGATAAAGCTGCACACAGGCCACGGCTCCTTTGAAGTAGCGAGGATCTCCTATCTTTGCTCCAATTCTAATAGGCCCAAACGTCGACAAACGAATTCTAGGGATCTTGTGTGTCGCCAAATTCTTTCCATTCACCCACAGCCTTGCGAAATTCCCATCGTATGTTGCACCAACGAAACTCCACGCGTTTTGCCTCAGAGCTGTTTTGGTAACAGCGGGGGTAAACACACCTCCAATCTTCACAAAACGGGCGAGAAGCGTTCTTGGATTTTTGAGCCAAAGATGCGTCTCCCGTGCGGGGCCAACATTGTAGTTGATGATCGGTCCTGCATTCCCCTGCGGTTTGATCCAAGCAAACATGGACAGTGCTCTATTTGCACGTAGCTTGCCGTTGTTTGGAATTTGAACGTAGCTGTTTGGAAGACCAAAAAACTTGACAGCGGAGTTAGCCCGGCCATCTGGACCTTGGGTCAGAGCTACGTTGATAAACTTGGCATTTGGTGCCTTATTAGGACTCACATCTCGGCCCTTGCTAATTGGGTCAAAGGGATAAAGCCCCATAAGCATCGGAAGAGCTGCAAAAGAATATATTTACATTGAACCAAGATGTTTCACTTATAAAATTTCCATTGTCCGCTCTTCTTTTATTAGAGACCGTTTGATTAGAGAACGAAGACGACTATGAGGACGATATTTAACCTACAGTTTTTTCGCTGAATCTAGAAAAAAAATAGACATACCAAAAAGCTTCCTTGTGCTTTTTTTCTCCATCAGAAAAGTTAGTACGGTTATTTCCATTGAAGGAGGTTAAATCCTCTCCTTATCGCAAAATAACAGAACGTCTAACATTTGATAACTTGTTTCCCACTACGACATTTTCCGCGCTAAGACCCGTACAAAATGACGGCGGCAATCACGTTAAATAGGGAACTTAAGCAAAGGCGTTTTTGGGTGACGCACGTCAACCGGAAGTGCACTTTTTACATTCCTGAGCATTTTTTTAAAATTATTTACTAGGGAAGCGCTTGGGTTATGCTTCTTCCTTCCCGTCATCCCCTTTGTTTAAGAGCCCGTTCTAGTCTTCCACGCCAAATACTAATAATGAGAGACGACTGGGGACGAGTCAGGTTCAATCATCTCTACAAGTGTAAAGAAACTAAGCAATACAAATTGTATAGCGTCAAGACATATTGAAGGGGAAAAGTCCTTACTTCCGGTTGACATGCGTCTCTCAAAAACGCCTTTGCTTCAGCTCCCCAATGACACTGGTTCAAGCGCACCCTACTTAGTATTGTAGTCCTCGTAATCATCCTTGTTTTAGAAATTTAAAGGTCTCTATTAATTGAGACTCGAAAACAAAACAAATAGCCCACATACCTGGTTTCGGTTTTGGAAGTCTTGGCTTTTTCTCTGTGAAAAGGAGAGTACGAAAATTAGATGTCTCACAAAGCTAGCTCACAAAGTTTCTGGTTCAATTCGTCATTCAATTTTAAATACAGATCCTCTAAAGAAGAGGAAAGAGGAAAAATCACACTTGATAACTGCCAATATATCACAGTGTAAACGAGCAATAACCATAATAAAAAAAGTGCAGTGACTATACTCGGGGACATGCCAGTCCAGACTGACAAAAAGAAATCAAGGCAAACAAACCAGACATAGTAGTGAAAGACAAGGAGAAGAGGACCTGCCTGCTCATAGATATGCCTATCCCAAATGAAAAAAACGCTTCTTTAAAAACAGTAGAAAAACTTTCGAAGAACAAGGATCTCGAAATAGAAATTGAGAAAACATGCGAACTAAAAACAACAACTGTCCCAGTGGTCATTCGGGCTCTCGGGCTTGTCAAGAAGGGGACTGAAAACTACATCAGCGAGATCCCAGGAATCATCGGAATAACAGAGCTTCAGAAGATTGTCCTCCTTGGGACTGTTCACACACTCAGGAGGTCACTATCCATCAAGTAATCCACGAGACTTATGACTACCCTAAGTTCATGGAATGATCTCGGCATCATAAGAGAAAAGAGCACGACTCCAAAGAGAATTAATAATAATAATATTAATGATATGTGAAATAAATTCATTTTCATTTTTCAATAATAATAATAATAATAATAATAATAATAATAATAGTAATAATAATAATAATAATGATATTAATAATACTTAACAACTCTTACTTCTTCTAAAGCATTTCCTTTTCTGTGCTCGTATCTGAGGTCCTATTAGAGCTTTATTAAATATCTGCAGACAGGAAATACTGCCTCTAAAGATTCTGCGATCGCCTGGTTTGCGTCCCATCACAGCAGGATAGTTTGTGGCCAATTTGAAGCTACCAAGACGTCTCTAATCCAGAGAAAAAGAAACATCACATGAAGCTTAAAATCAACCAAGCTGACATTGTAAAATGCACGAACGAATACTTAGACGCTATTTTGAACAATTGTGAGACGAACAGAAAATAAGAGTTCTATAAAAAGAGGGTGCTGGTGTATCTTCGGGGGCTTAAAATTTTTGGATTGGAGCAGCTTAGATTGTTCTAATCTAAAATGACCGATACAGGAGTTTCTGATACCAATTAAAGGTTGTCTCGGAATTTTCGAGGAGCACCCTGCCATTTTTATTGGGTAGTATACCTTGGGATCTTATTTCCCAACGGGTTCGCACCCGTGACTTCCCAGATAAAGAATTCAGGGTGAATCCCTTTACTAGCGTGTTCTGTCTACTGCTCAGCTAGGATTAGCAGAGTATAAATGTGCACTATGTGGTGGTAAATATAAGAAGGTAGTTTGTGTTTGGTGAATAAGTAGCCGATGAAGAGGCTCTCCGTATAAGGGAAGGGGTTCTAAAAAGCCTGGTCTCAGGCTATTGAACAAGAGGCACGTGAAAGATGTTATATTGTAATTCGTAATGTGACACGCTTGTTAACAAAGCGGTAAAAAGAGAGTGCACTGTGTTGGGCTGGAACCGACTTTTAAAATATTCTATGTGGGTATAGTAAAACATTGTTTTTGTTATTCAAATGTATCACGAGTGAAACAAAATGATCTTTTGTTACGAGAACCAATGCGCATCTGGTTGTTACATTAATATCAAAGGGTGAAGTCAGCGTGAGTATCTCTATTATGAGGAACTGGAAGGAGTCAGTAACAGTGTCCTGTCTTACCTGAGCCACAGGGAAACCATTTCTCCAAATAGTCCCCACTCCTTTGACTTTATTATACGTTACAGCTAGGTAGTTCCACCGTCCCATCTTAATCTGACTGCTCCTCACAGCCACCACTCTCTTACCAGACCGCGTGGAAAATCGAACAAACCATTTCCGTTTCCTGCGTCCCCCAACGACCCACACGTGTACTCCGCCCCATGTCCTTGGCTTGTAGTGAAAGATGGGTCCAGAGCTTCTGGGCTTTACCCAAACTGTGATGGTTATTTCGTTCACCGTGTCCAGTTTACCGTAGTTTGGAAACGTAACGTAGCTGTTTCTTCGTCCAGTCAACTCGATGGCACCAGAGGGAAGACCGTCTGGTCCATTGACCGACTTAACGTTTCGGAGTTTAGCTCGTGGATTCTTAAATGGAGAGATGTCTTTTCCTTTGAGAATGCCGCTGAGAGGATAGGCAGCTACGGGTACTGGAGTAACTGCATATTTTAAAACAAAACAGGATAAATTAGTTAGCTTTAAAAATATTACAGGTAGCTAAAAGATAATAAAAAATATTTCACACTTCACCTACCAGTAGAAGGTTTTCCTGTTGGCCTTGATCCAACTACGAAAATAGCAAACATTTATTAGTTACACAGTAGGTTCAATATCATCCCCGACGACTACCTGATAGACAAAAAGCCTCGTAAAGCAACAGCAGTTAAGTTTGGGAGATTGAGATTGGGATGTCCATTGAGACATTCTGCATCTAGACACGGCTCATATTATAAGCGGGTTTAACAGAACTACGAATGCAAAATCTACTAGGAAACTAAACTAAAGTAGGAATTTACTAAATTACGTGATTTAATACTACCCCTAGTACTCTAAGGGACAATTCAGTTTTAACAGGTGATTTGCTTCTATTGCAGCTGGGCATTCACGACTTGAGAATTAGCTGATACTGTTTAGGTACCCTATCTAAGGATCAAACTGCGAACACAATGCCAAACAAAAGGCAAAAAATAACCCTGTTTAAGACTAGGGACCCTCAAAAACCTTTCCCTATTGGGGAGTACATACCTACTGATGTAGACCACATATAGCATTACCCCTCGGGTACTACGGACTTGGTCTTGTTTTGTTCTGTTAATGGCAACGTAGTCTATCCTCAAACTAAAAACCCTATCGAGCCACCTTAATGAAGTCCATCTCACCATCGCATTCACTTAAATGTGAGGATACCATGTTTACCAAGAGGCACTAATTGGAAGTATTGATTTTTGATTTTCCTTTGATGGCACCGATAACTGTGTATCTTATGGTCAGCTGAAATGAAAGTTGCTGGAAGTTGCAAAAAATAATAGTTCCCGCAAAAAAACAAGAAATCTCCCATTCGCCAAGCAAATTTGGGGTGACTTTTATTGGTAAAAGGGTTTAGCGCTTTGGTGCAGTTTATCTACAAGATCACGTTTTTGGCTAGTTGTTGATTCTGGTTTGAATCGAAATGGATTTAAGCTGCTGGGGTATAACAATTTGGCTCCCCCCTTCCGTTACCATCATACTTGCGTACCCTCCTGGAAATCATTTCACAAAATTTACGAGGACATACAATGTGTGTTACTCAATCATCATTGCAAAATTATATACCTCCTTTAAAGCATCTTTTCTTGACCGCGGCTATTTCAGTCCTGGTAAGAGCTCTGCTGTAAATCTGAATACATGACAGTCGACCTCTAAAATATCCTCTGCCGCGCTTGGTTGCTCCTGATCTGGCTGCTTTGTTTGTGAGAAGCTCCATTCGATCAATTATCCTTCTCACCACTGGCTTAGAGTGGACGTAAATGGCCACAATCCCAGTAGTGTAATCGTAAGTGAAGCCGACGTACGTCCAAGTTCTGGGTTTAAACAGTTTCTTTCTTGTAATCACTGGAATACTCTTGGATTTTGTTCGACTGACTATGAGGACTTTAACTTGATTCTGACGGACAATTGACAGTCCCACTCCCTCCCCCTTGGGACCGTACTGGAATATTGGTCCCCTCCTCCCTTCGTTGAAGACCCATGCCAAGCAAGTGATTGAACGCCTCGTGTCCAGTCTTCCAAAGTTGGGAAACTCAAGGTAGCTGTTAGGACTACCAGAGAAGCGGAAGGCAGTATCTGGCTGTCCATCTGGACCGTAAGTGACGACAACGCCTGATAATTTCCCTGGGCGATTTTTGGTAGGACTGATATCACGTGCACCGGAAGACGCGTCCAGGGGATACACGGCCACCAAGTTACGGACAACTGTAACAAGAAAAAAAGTTGAAGACAGTCGGCTCTCTCTTAACGGACACCTTGGTAAGACGGACACCTAGAGTTGGTCCCTGCCTTTCTTTACTTCCTTTATTTGACTCTATATAAGATGAACATCACTCTTAAACGGACACTTAGTGCCAGTGCCAATCTCTTTGTTAAAAATTTGAATGAAGTGAACACTGGTAAAAATAAATTCAACACACCGTAATTCCCCTATTAAGCCCCGCCCCGGGAGCTTATTTTTTTCAAGCCCATTTGAGGGAGGGGCGGGGGGGGAAGGGGCTTATTTAACTTAGAAACACCTAGAATGAGAAGTGGAAAAGCTCAAGTACAAGAAGGTTGGAGGTCATGCAGCCGAGGATCAGAATCAAATCCGAACTTCCAGTTGGTAAATAGACCATCCCGCATCAGTCGACACGAAGTTTAACAGTCGTGATTGACCAATACAGTCGATAATTTATTAGTTAAGGATAAGCAGGGGAGGGGAGAAGGGCTTAATAGAGAGGGGGGCTTATTAACTTTCTTCCCCTTAAAAGGGGGGCTCATCAGAGGCAGGGGGCGTATTTGAGAGGGGAGCTGTATAGAGGATTTACGGTACATGTATTTGGAAAATCAATAAAATTTGTCTAACCTGGGGTGGGTCTAGTAAGTGGAGGAGTGACTGGTTTAGTTGGAGTGGTCCGACCTAAGATAAGAAAAGTAAGAAATTAGTCAGTTGTTAAAGTAGACTAAAGGGCTATTCACATGATACATTCACATTGTTCGTTTTTGTACTAAGGACGCATTATACTTCTGGACGAACTTGAGCAAATATTTTGTAGTTCGTCTGGTCATGCGTCTCAAGTATAAAGACGGGCGCAAGACTCATTATCGTCTAAGACTATCTTTTGTAGTGCGCCGTTCAAGACGTATTACGAAGGACAGTTCGTCCAGACGCATAATGCATCTTGTGCCTGTCTTTATACTTGAGACGCATAACCAGACGAACTCCAAAATATTTGCCCAAGTTCGTCCAGACGGATAATGCGTCCCCTAGTATAAAAACGGTCATTCTAGAAGGAGTTCACTCAGTGTTCTCACCAGGCCGCGGCCTTGCGGGATTCCCGCAAGAAAAACTGAAATGGCGCATTAAAACCAAGAAGATGCGCCCGTTAGGGCGCAGGGGCAAGCTACGAGTCAAACGGACTTAAGTAGTTTTAATGGTCAACCTAACACTAAAACATTCTGTTTGTTTGAATAAATAGAAAACATGATATCAAATGCGTCAAAGTCTTTCATTTTGTTGCCTTTACTTTCATTGGTCCCACGCACGTCCCACTACATCGTAAACTCCTCTTCCGCCATATTGGATCAGGTAGGTACTTCATGTAACAGACAATTTGGAGTGCGGGCTCAGGTTCTTCATACCGCGTGTTTTTTGTAACTTTGTCCCCCTAATGTTCTTGCAGGGCCCCTATTTCTCAGAAGAGGGGGCCCTGGGACTCCCCAAGGCAAAATCCTGGTGAGAACACTTTCAGACACTGCATCTCCACATATTTCTCTGCATCGGTTTACATGATACCACGACAAAATTTTGTTCATGTATAAGTCATTCCGAAATGATTTCATTCTGGTTTTCATTCTGAATGAAATTCTCGTTCGGGTATGAAATTTCATTCGGGTATAATTTAAAGTGAAAAGAAACTTCGTTCGAGATGAAAATCGCATATGTTGTAAAGCACGAACTCACTCTGGAACAAATCTCTTTTACTCCCCAAATGAATGTAAATAACTCCTTAAATACGAGTAAACAACAGAAGATGCTAACCAACCTGGTTTAAAGCAGTTTTTCCTCGCCGCTCGAATTTGTTGTCTAGTCAATGCAACGTTATACACTTGAACGCAAGTTATTTTTCCACGGAAAAATCGTCTGTCTCCCACGCGCGCTCCCATTCTGACTGGGTAATTGGTGGCTAGTTTAATTCTTCCAAGGTATCTCTCAGCTGTTTTCCTGGAGTCCACGTACAATCGAGCATAACCAGTGTTTCTATCATAAGTAGCTCCCACCCAGTGCCAGGTACCCGGTTTTATTCTGTTAGTAGCAACGGGCCGCGTGAACTTTTTGTTTCTCTTTACAAAACGCGCAAACAGCACGTTTCGACGAACCATCCAGACATGCATTCCAAATCCCCGGGGGTTGTAGTTGAAGATAGGTCCTGGTGATTCTGGATTAACGTAGCCAAGAATCGTTATGGAATTTTTCGTGTCGAGTCCACCTTTGTTCGGAAATTCTATGAAACTGTCGGGACGCCCTCGGAACTTGAAAGCACTTCCTGGTTGGCCGTTGGGTCCCGAGACAAGCACGACACCAACAATTCTTCCAGGTCTGTTTCTGGTTGGACTTATGTCCTGTGCGCCATATTTGGATGTCAGAGGGAAGAATGCCATAGCGGGAGGTAAAGCTGCCAATCAATATTACAATATTACAAAGTAAAAACTGCATTCTTTAATATTTAATCAGTTAATTGGTAACAGTAAAGGTTAATCGTGGCATGGGTGGGTCATAATTAGACAGCAAATGATAACTAAAAGCATTTAACTGTGGCCTTACAAACGATCAAAGACGGAGCATTAATAGCATCAAACGGGAGACTGTTCCATACAAGTATATAATAGCGGCTAAAAAACGAGTACTTGTTAGCATCATCAAACGTGGGTAAAAGGCTTGTAGTTTTTTTGCAGGTTCGTTAAATTTAAAGCACGACGGAACAGTTTAACTGTCATTTAAAAGTTGACTGATCCATAAATAACCTAATCCTCTTGTTGGTAAACAGAGGTGATTTATTTTGTCAATGCATTAGACGCTATTCCATCCCTGCGACGATCTTCACTTTCTTTCATCTAAATTTTCCTTTGAAGTATTGTCATAAATGTAAAGTTCAAAAAACTTTCTAGCCTGTTCCAGGCTCCAAGAGTAGTAAAGTGTGGAGATGGTCAAAACTGATGCAAAAAACGCGCGGCGACTGGGGAGAGATAAGGCGGTGGTCTCTCCTTCTTTTACCACCACCGCACCCTTCTGGGGCCCTGAATTGGTTAACCGCCTTGAATTGGTTTACGTCTTGTCTTATTTAGCTTTATTTCAGTGCTTTTTAGCTTTAATGACTATGTATATTTGAGCTTTTATTTTCCTTTTAACATTTAAAGGACCAGTTGTTACGCGATTTTGATCATGTTTCCATGGAAAAGGCGCGTTATAGATTTTTAATCATTATTATTATTCCCATGATCACGCGCGTCTTATTTTCGCTTCGCTTGTTTTCTACCACCTGAGCGGAGCCTGGCACAAGTTGACATCCCTCTTATTACCTGGCTGAGGAGTGGTGGGAGGTCTTGTAGGCGTTGGCTCACCTGCAAGTACAACAGTGGAATATGAAGGAATACAACAGTATAACAATAAAGGAGATCTAGGGCTGCTAAGGACCTTACCAAACGTTGCAAGCAACCACCCCAATAGCACTCTTGATAAGATTTTAAGAGACCTAAAGCACTAGACACTGAATACTGAAGTTGAATGCAGAATCAAAGTCTTCTGTTAAGCAACATTAGGGCCATTTATGCGAGGAAAAATAAGACGCGTCTTAAATAAGACGCGAACTGTACCATTTATACGAGCATGTCTTATCTAATAAGACGCGTCTTAGCTAAGCCGCGTCTTATTTTAGACGAAATGTGCCGTTTATACGGAAAGTTCGCGTCTTATTTTTCCTCGTATAAATGGCCCTATTATCAGCGTATCCAATCTAACTACCACCGTTTAGACGTTATTAAGCAGGCTGACAGGTTTTCCCACTATCTATCACTGTGAGAAGTGGGGCAAACATTGGAAGTTCGAAGTGCGTCCGGTTAAAGACGCTTAAAAAAGTGCAGTATATTACAAAGTGCAATTGTAAACTCAAAGGGCGACAGAACGGGTAGGTTAACTTAGGTACTCAATCCTAAAAGCCCACAAAGTAAGACATTACCTGGTCCAAAACAAATATTTTGCACGTTCTTTACCTGTGGCCCTGTCAGAGCATCCTTATAAACTTGAAGACAGGCGACGCTACCCCTGAAAGGCCGCCTACCACGAGGCGCCCCACCCACCCTTAGTGGGCTCTTCGTGGCCAGTCTGATCCAACCAAGCTTCTGGAAAGCAATAGGACGAGAATTCCGCCAAATGGTTCCAATCCCCGATCTTTGGTTGTATGTAACAGCAACGTAATTCCACTGCCTCAGCAATATTGCACGCCGCCTAGTCTTAATAGTCTTGGTTGATCTACCGTTTCTTCGAATAAATCGAGAGTATAGGCTGTCGCGGGAGCGAATGCCAAATGTTACTCCCCTTGGTTTATACCGTATCATTGTTCCTGGTCCTTCAGGTCTGACCCATAAGATAACAGTTATTGAATTTTTGGTATCCAGTTTTCCGTTGTTAGGAAACTCAATATAACCTGGCCTTGATCTAGGGAACCTCAGGGATCCACCCGGTTTACCGTTTGGACCCGGGCTGGGTCGAACATTGTACATGATGCCTGGGCTATTCTTTAGTGGGCCAATGTCCGCCGCTCGAGTCCGTTTGTTCAGTGGGAAAATGCCGACAGCCTTGGGACGTTCTGTTACAAGGAAACAAAAAGAGATTGTAAATTGTAAATATCATATTATCCACTCCCCTTGGGGCTCTTTAGGGAAAATTTACAATAATGGTTGGCGAACTTGTTGCCAGACTGCTTATGGCGCAGTTTACAAACTTGTACTGAAGGAATGAGAGATGATGTTCACTATGATCCACTATGTGAGTGCGCTTTTGAGAGAGACCACCACACCGGGAACAAGTCTTTACGAACAGTGTGTGGGTTCTTTAATGTCCCAAAGAGAGTGCACGGTTCTTTCATGAAAGGAGTTGATCAAAGAAATCCAGCAGGGGTTCTATGCTATTCAAGCAGAGAAACAGTGGATGGAAATGAAACAGCTTGCAAAGCAAGGACAAACGCAACTCAATGTTCTTACTTGGACGTTTCGTAGGTTTCGTCCGTGTCTGAGTCCCGCCTCCAGCTTCTAAAATTTTATTGAAAAATACATTAATTGGTAAAGCAAATACAAAATAAATTAATGAGTTTCTTTGCGGACAATATAGACACGGCTGCGCTTTATCTTAACCCAAGGACTCTTGGAAAATAATGAGATCTTGGCGAAGGTTTTAAATCCTTTAAAGAAACTCGAAGTTCACGTCATATCAAGAACAAAATCAATTGGCTGCACTTCGTGTTTTAAAATGCCCGCTTGGTTTACAAACCCCGTTTGAAAAATAAATTGTAAAGACGAGGAATTGTGATTTAGTTAAGGTGGCTGAACACAGTTTTGCGGGCGGTCAGCGGTAACTCGTGTGACGGCGCGTGTTTCAAATTAGACAAACAAACAAACATGGCGGCGAAAAAAGCAATGGTACACAGGATACGATTTCTCAAATCTACTCATTGAAATTTTGTGATATTTGGTAAAATTTTTACTTCTGTCGTATTTTGAATAATGAGAACTTTAAAATAAAAGTTGAACAGACGAATTTTGTGACACATTTTATAATTACAGTACAACTATATTGTTGATTATCTAAAAACACGTCTGTTAAAATTTGGTCAAATAAGTTCAAATGATAATGGTTAATTATAGTAAGCTGTGAGCAAGTTTACAGGAAAATCTAATGAGCGAATTTTATGTAAACTGAGTAAAAGTGAAATTCTAAGGTTGTATTTAATTGTTCATGTTGCCATGGAAACTATGAAAACGTTGCATTTTACCTAACAGTCAAAATCTTTCATCAGCATATTTTTGACTTGCCAAGTTTCAGCTTGTAAGCTGCAACCTTTCTCTTGCCATGATTTGGCAAATGACATATACTCACAAACTGCCAAAACTGTGTTCAGCCACCTTAAAGTACCTCTTAGCGTTCCAAATACCAATATTAAATATAAAGAAAACTACTAGATTTTCGAGGACTCTATTTTCAAAAAAGTGAAGTCAATGACACCAAACAACGATTTTCATCAATGATTTTTAGTTACCTTAGTTCTGTTTTTATCATTGTTTTTTAGTTGACCATGAATAATTGTATCATGTACGAAAGAGCTTTCATTTTTAAGAGAACCCCAGATGTTCCAAATGCGGAATACTATAATTATTAAAAACTGAATCATTGGATAATGCAATTCTAGAGCTCTGGTTGGCTTAGCCATCATGGCATATGAGCCATTATACCATGCTCTCCAAATACCGTGACTGTACGCGTCTGCTCAAAATTAAAAACAAGCTGAAAATCGGTTGTTTTTACAACTAAAGTCAGGAAGAATTCTCGATATTTGTGGACTTTTTTTATAAAACGATTATTCCACTCGCGCTTGTTGGATATGCGATGATTATAGCCAACTCATATCCAACGCGCACTCGTGAGATTGTCAAAGAGAGAGTGTCGTATAATGGTTCCCAATACTTCTCTCTCTCCTTATTGAGAACTAGATCATAGATTTACAAATTCTTATTACAAACCTGCGCATACTTTGTCCGTTATACGCTTGACAATAGTTGCCAGGCCCTTGAAGCTTATTTTGTAGGCATGTTGAGGGTCTTTTGCTGTAGTAAGAATTTCACTGAGAACAGCAGCAGGTCCCACGCCAACGCTGAAGACATCCACGCCTTTAGCAACTAACCTCTGTATTGGCCCAAGGACCCGGTCGGAAGACCTCCCTGATGTTACCAAAATTAACGTTTTCTTTCCTTTACTAGCAGCAAAAATACGTCTCAGTGCTAGTTTCAGCGCCATTCCTGTTCGCCTTGCGGTGCCGAATGGTTGAAGAAGGCCGAGGATCCTTTTTATTTTTTTGCGACTGATGTACTGACCCAAAGTAAGCTTGACTTGAGGGCGGTTAGAGTTAACAACCAATCCAAGCCGAACGTTCTGAACGGAAATGGTGAAGGAGTCGACAAGCTGTAGAAGGAATCTTCTTATAAAGGAAAATCCCCTTCGAACGACAGGAACGGTGTCAACAACCAAAACAAGATCCAGCTTTGCGTTGCAAACTGTATGTTTAGGCAACAGAAGAACATTTAATTTCAAATCCAACCTGTCTGTGTCAACTATATAGCAGTCCTAATAGACGCAAACAATCTCATGCCCCTTAAAATAAAGGGTCTTCAAAATGGTTGTCATACTGATGGGAAGTAGAAACATTTCGTCAAATGCTAAATTAACACCGAAAAAGAATTATCAGTTGTTTGGTTAAAAAGTGTGTTGCCCGGACTGATCACTTTCAACAACTACCAGGTAATATATAAACGAAGAACAAGTAAGTCTGCTAGCTTCACCGTTTCTCAGCATATAGAATGTATTTTGCTACGCGTTCTTTTTCTGTGTACATTCTCTCATTTTACAGGTTTGATGAATAAAAGCTTTTTCTAGAAAATGAAATACGTTTGCAAAAAAGTGTTAAAATCGACTGTCTATCACTAATGATTTCCAGTTAATGACTGTTTTTCCTCACCAACTAGCTGTGTATTTTGTATGTACCTTTACTGGGCGATGTTGTGGCTCCAGGTCTCGCAGTCGCAGCTGTTGGTCCGATAGGTGTGGTGGGAACAGGCTTCGTCGGAACAGCTGTTGGGACCTTCGGTTTACAGGGACCTCCGGGCTTTGGACCTCCCGGCCCCCCAGGACCACCCGGTCCTCCTGGTCCTCCTGGACCTCCAGGTCCACCAGGTTTCCCAGGAGGAGCTGTTGTAGGTCCTCCTGGACCGCCAGGCTTTCCTAAAGCGTGTCAAAAAGGTTTTTATTTTTTAACTCGTCCCCTTTTCGCTCTTAGGATGGGCTGGGAATTACTCTCGTCGCTCTCGCTTGCTGAAGCAAGATTAAGAATATGAACAGGCGATCTGGCGTAAATATGGCCAATACCGCGACGTTTACTTAGTCGCAAATACTACTTGATAACCTTAACAAAAATTACAAGCATGTGATGATAACTTCAGCAAAAGGTGGGGCACAAGAAAAACCGCCCCTTGGAAAAACATACAAAATTAGCCTGTCGGCGGGCTGGAGCTGGGGAAAAAAGTTTGGGTTAGAAGATGGCGTTCCCGCGAATGGCAAGAAGGCTGAAATCATAGTGCATGCAGACTAAATAGGGACAGTTATCCCGCCTATTTTAATCTGATTGGAGTCTCCAAGGAGATATGTCATTTTCAGCCCCACCCAAACAACTGAGGAATGAAATGCGAATAGCCAGGAAAATGGCACGATATTATCTGTGTTGCATATAATGTTTGTTTTATGAAATTCCACAAATTCTTCTGCGCTTCATTTTTTAACGTTTTAGACGCTCGTCGGTTATTGTTTAATCTGTGTTATTCCAGATTTGCTAATTTCGCAACAAAAAAGCCTTTTCTCACCTGGTTTCGGCCTTGTAGGTGTTGTTTTCACTCCCGGTTTGGCGGTTGTTGGTTTGGTAGAAGGCCCCCGGGGTGCTGGGGTTGTTGGTCCCCCTGGTCCTCCCGGACCTCCTGGTCCCCCAGGGCCACCTAATTTTAGAAACAATCAAGATAAGAAGATGATGTATAGGGTATGATAAACGCTGTAAAAAACGTTCAGCCATAATATTGATAACGTTTTAGCGTATCCTGATGAGGAGAAGCCAGAAGTGCAACATAACGTTTTTAAACGAACTGGTTTACCTCTTATCCATACATCTCTTTCAGAGATACGGATTTGGACTTGTTTATAAAGCCTTCCTCTTTCCCTAGATTATTTCTGAAATTCAACTTTGCGAGGTAATACACACAAGAAGACACCTTTCATTGTAAAATTTAAGCCACTTTAACAACCGTTTTTGGTGGAGAAGTGTGTTGAAATTTAGGTTTGTTACTTAAATTTCACTAGAATTTTCTGGCGGCCTTTCTCTGAAAAATATCCACGAAAATGTCACCGCCTTTGATGAACAGGAATGTAATAGAAACTAATAACAATTGCGCTTAGCATATTTGTATAACATCAATGTTTTACAGCTGTAAGCAATAAGTGAAGAGACCCTTAAAGTTTCCCTACCTGGTCCGCCAGGTCCGCCGGGTCCGCCCGGTCCTCCGGGACCCCCTGGCCCCCCAGGTCCCCCGGGACCTCCTGGGCCTCCTGGACCATTAGGGCCTCCAGGACCACCAGGACCTCCTGGTCCCCCAGGAGTACCGGGGGAATTGGTTGGTTTGGTTGGTTTGGTTGGCACACCAGGTTTAGCAGTTGTTGGTCCACCAGGACCCCCGGGTCCACCCGGGCCGCTTGGTCCACCTGGTCCTCCGGGTCCTCCAGGTCCCCCTGGTCCACCGGGAGAACCGGGTGCATTTTTCGTTGGTGTCGTTGGTCTGGGAGGTACACCCGGTTTTGGTGTTGTTGGACCACCGGGGCCTCCAGGCCCTCCTGGACCATTTGGTCCACCTGTGTTTTTAAGCATTGAACGATCATGAGATCTTTAAATCATAAATCAGACCAGACATTAAGTGACCTCTAAACTTCTACCGTTACTTAATAATATTAAACTAAATTCCCTAATATATTTCTACGACCATGTAATTCTTCAAATTCTTCTTTCGTTTGACAAGACACCCCTTCGAAGTTAATTTCTTCAAATCTTTTTTTTAAAAAAGCTGAGTCTGAAAAACCTGAGAAAGCTTTTGCTTGATTGTTGTTTTCAGCTATTCCTAAGACCTTTCCTAGCAAACTATAAATAAGGTTTGGAAACAGGGTGCCTATGTTACTCACCCCAAAAAATGGGGAAACGCTAGCCATGACAAGCCAAGAAAACGATCTAACAGTGTTCAATGCAGGTTTGTTACTGTACGCCCGTTGAAATTGTATTATTGCTCAACGATTCTTGTATATGTCGTTAAACTTTGTATTCTTTTGACTTTACTTCAGAAACATGATCTTTTCAGTTGTACGCATTGCGCATATTCCAAATCTACTTAATCAGGCAGCACTACACAATTCTATTATCTTTTTAAGGCCAGCCTTATTTGGCGTGCAATTCAAACAAATTCACAAACCTGGTCCGCCAGGACCATTTGGACCACCAGGTCCCCCAGGACCACCTGGACCCCCCGGACTTCCTGGCTTGCGAGTTGTCGGCTTCTTTGTGGGCACTCCTGGCACGGGCGTTTTGGGACCTCCTGGTCCACCAGGTCCACCTGGACCTCCTGGTCCTCCTGCTCCCCCTGGGCCTCCCGGACCACCAGGACCGCCTGGTGTACCTGGAGGCTTTGTTGGCTTCGTAGGTTTTGTTGTTGGAGGACCACCGGGGCCTCCTGGTCCTCCGGGCCCATTAGGACCACCGGGTGTACCCGGAGGTTTAGTTGGCTTCGTAGGTTTTGTCGTTGGAGGACCGCCAGGACCACCCGGTCCTCCAGGACCACCAGGACCTCCCGGACCTATAATAAATTGACATTAAATTCCATTTATTTCTGTGAACATAGTTTGTCCGTTTTTATTTCAGCTTCAGATGCCAACAATCTTTAATTTTGAATTGATTAGAAATAACATGCTCTTTTACTAATGGCTCAAGGGCGCTTATTTTGTATCTGTCACATGTAAGTATTGTACAGAACGCAAGTTGTAACTCTCGATGCAGCTTTAAAAGATTACCGTGGCTTCTTACATTTATGCACCGGAAAGATTACGAGTGAGTTTAAGGACTCCTAACGTTTGGTAAAAATATCGTATCACTAAGTACAAAAGTCAGTGGTTAAAACAAATTTCATTGCAACCGTTTTTTAATTCTCCGCCTATTCCATTGTTACTCTGCTGTTTCATATACGAACATCGTTTAACAGGAGGAAATGCATGATTAACTCAGTTAACTGCTCCTTTAACCAATGCTATATTCTATGCTACTAACTCCTTTTGTATAACCGTACATACGAGTTCAAATTAATAACATCTTAAACCGGAGAGCTGGTTCGATATTTTTACGGACCTTACAAATTTAAAATACACGGAATAAACCACTTATTCGGCAGACTAATGCCAACAACAACAGAAAACAAACTGAAACAGCGATTATCGCTTAAATAACAGAGTTATAAGTTTCGATTCCCAAATTTCCGGCTATAAGGACACTAAATCCACGAGAAAGAGGTGATGAAAATTGCACAAGTAAAGGTAATAAATGAAAGTTATAAAGGAACAAATCTGTGTTGCAATTAAGCGTTAATAATAATGATGATGATAATGCTAATGGTAGTGATAATGCTAATGGTAATGATAATGATAATGATAATGATAAGAATAATAATAACAACAATAATAATAATAATAATAATAAAGAAAAAGGAGCAAACCTGCAGGGCCACCCGGGCCTCCAGGGCCGCTTGGACCACCAGGTCCTCCGGGACCCCCCGGTCCTCCCGGACCATTGGGTTGTCCAGGTGGGTACCGAGTTGGTGTTGTTTTCTTCTCTGGCGCTCTCGGCGATTTTGTTGTTGGCCCTCCCGGGCCACCGGGACCTCCTGGACCACCAGGGCCTCCTGGTCCCCCTGGTCCTCCTGGTCCACCAGGACCGCCGGGACCCCCTGGTCCTCCAGGTCCACCAGGGCCACCTGGACCTTTGGGGCCTCCTGGACCGCCTGGTGATCCTGGCGTTTTCGTTGGTGTGGTGGGTGTTGTCTTTTCTCCTGGACGTGGTGTGGCTGGTCCACCTGGCCCTCCCGGCCCTCCCGGTCCTGCTGGCCCTCCTGGACCTCCAGGACCCCCTGGTCCACCAGGACCACCTGGCCCTGCCGGACCTCCGGGAAGTCCTGGTTTCTTGGTTGGCTTAGTAGGCTTGGTTGTTTTTCCAGGGACAGGTGTGGTGGGTCCACCAGGGCCACCGGGTCCTCCTGGCCCTCCAGGACCACCTGGTCCACCTGGGCCACCGGGTCCCAGGGCCTCCGGGACCTCCTGGTGTCCCTGGAGCCTTTTCAGTGGGTTTCGTGGGTCTAGTAGATACACCTATGATAACAATATTTTGACAGTTCTTTGTTTTATGACCTACAGCATGTTGTGGATGAAAGCTATTAGATACTGGTAAACACAGATATGACCTAAAGCCCCGTGCAAACGGACATAACGTTGTTGGCAATTAAATCCCAGCATTGCTGGATGTTACATGTAGCCTCTGTTTGCACACCCTGTTGCGTGTTGTTGGGAGTTGTTGCGACCGTTTGCACGTAGCTTAAAAGCATGTGGGGGTGGGGGGGGGGGGGCTCTAACAATTACCGCAAACAGTCTGCATGCTCAGACGAAAAGACAGTATTTTTCTTGGCTACTGACAGTCCTGATTAGACTTATCATTGAAAGCGAATCGAGATTTGTCATTATTTCTTACCATGGTGTACTCTATGTTATCTTCTGTCTTTGGTTGGAAGTTTACACACATTTTGTAAATTGCACGCATAATAAATACTTTATTTGTTATGTAAGTTACAATTGGCAGCCTTTACGACGACGGAAAAAAAAACATCAAAAAAGCAAATCAACCAAAATAACAACTTTGCACGTGCATCACACTTTTTGGTGCACTTCGTCGATGTTCACCGCACAACTGCGACGTCAAACTTTCCTTTTAATTGACCGAACATTACCATTAGTTTTTGCCCGTCTCTGCAATTATTCTTTCTCTGTATCGCATTGTGTCTAACTACTAGCGTACACATGTCGAAACTACGAAAAATGCACAAGCTGGCCGGAAAAAATTGATCGTGTTTCCCGTGTAAGAACCTAAAGTTGGTAGTCTCTTGGTGTTGCGGACGGCTGCGATCACTAAATGACGTAATACAGAAGATTAAAAATGCAGTGAACAATACCCACATTACGAGACACCCAATCTAAGCGCAAAACTTTATTATGCATATCTTCTAGGAGATATATAACTCAACTGTACCTGGTCTTTTAGTTGTCGGTCCACCAGGTCCGCCTGGACCTCCAGGACCAGCTGGGCCCCCTGGGCCTCCCGGACCTCCAGGTCCCCCTGGCCCATTGGGTGTCCCTGGACGCTTTGTAGGCTTTCCGGGTTTGGGAGTTGTCTTGGGACCGCCTGGTCCTCCTGGCCCGCCTGGACCTCCTGGGCCTCCTGGTCCCGCGGGTCCCCCTGGTCCACCCGGTCCATTAGAGCCTCCCGGTCCACCGGGGCCCCCTGGGCCTCCAGGACCACCTGGTTTACCTATGAAAGAAAATCAACAAGGATTAGAAAAAGAATATGACAGAAAGTACTACAAAATAGGACATTGAACTGCGTGGTTTTCAGGCTCCGTTTACACGGGTGCAGACAAATTTTGAACGGAAAAAACGCCTTTCATGTAAACGTGTAATGGTGAACCGCGAAACCGTGTAAGTTTATGAACGGCAAACTATGCAAGTTTTTGACCTGATCAGTAGGGGGTCAAAATTTTTGACTGGTAGGGTTCCACTCTTACGCGGACTCGTGCAAACACCTGAACCCTGCAAGTTTTTGCACAGTTTGCGCGGTAAAAACTTACAGCCTAGTTACTCGCCTTTCAGTTTGATAAAGAAAGCCATTCCAATGCTGACGCCGGCAAAATTTTCACGGCTTCTACGGCATTTACGGTTCTACGGGTCGCACAGGTAAGAAATTAGTCTGTTCAAAAATTTTTCCGGACCCATGTAAACGGGGTCTACAGGTGATACTAAAGGAGACGATTCGCAACGACGATTTTTAGCGCAACACAGCGTTGCAACATTGTTGCAACATTGTTTTGAATGGTTACAACATTGTTCCAACATTGCAACGCTGTGTTGCGCTAAAAATCGTCGTTGTGAATCGTCCCGTGTAACATCACTTTAAGAGATAAAGAACGCTGGCGATGTACAGATTTTCCACTAATATAACATGATTATTTACGTACAAAATTGAGAGATGTCTATAAATTTAGCTCATACCTGGAGGCTGCTTTGTTGGTTTCGTTGGTTTACCAGACTTTGGTGTTATTGGTCCACCTGGGCCTCCGGGACCACCTGGTCCCCCCGGTCCTCCAGGACCGCCGGGGCCTCCTGGTCCACCAGGACCTCCTGGTCCGCCTGGGCCTCCTGGACCTCCAGGGGATCCGGGTCCTCCTGGCGTTCCTGGTTTTTTCGTTGGTTTCGTTGCTAAAAGGAGGATAATTGAGACCTTTCAGTCCTTCATCCAAGGACCTGATCTTACCTAATATTTACTTTTCTTGCTAAAATTGACATTAAGCTTTTGAAGAAAAGGACAGTTAAAATATGCTTAACCAATGGCAGGTACGTCTGCAGGGTAAATGCATTTTTAAAAAAAATTGTTTGTTCTCTAGCAAAAAATAGAGAAAACTTTAATTTCAAAATGAACTTACCCAGTACGAAAGCCTTTAGGAAAGGAGGACAATTGAGTAAACTTGAGGTACAAAAATTGCAGTGTGTAAGTGTTTCAGTCTCTTGACTCAAAGTCAGATACGAAGTAGTAATGTTGGTTTCGTTTAAGCTCCTTAAGAATATTTTTGTCAAGTTTAACCAAAAGCCAGCAAAATGTGAGCGCAAAAATGCAAGAACCCAATAAGGAGAAAAGAATTATACGGTGCAAACCTCGTTTTGTTGGTCCCACAGGTTTTGTTGGTTTGCAGACACATGGTTGAAGTGAAGACACAGAAAGACGGCCACCAGCACCTAGGTCAAGGCAGGTGAGTAAATCAATTCATTCACAACATTTACACTTTGACTTCATTAAAACAAACAAAAATTATATTTCAAAACTTTGTCCGAAAAAGAAAGCAAGAACTGTGATTGGTTTTTGAGTTTATTCCTAGTTAATATTGCCTTGCACATCTTTACCGCGCATGATTTCACGCGTGATTAGCGCGCGCACATTTAAAGCTGGAAGCTTTTGCCTTAAGACTGGAGAAAAGAAAGAAAAATCTTCATTTTCACTCCAACGAGTATGGTAACCTACCATTTTTCCTCTTCTTTGAAAATGAGCAATAACTTTCTTTCTCTAAGCATGCACTTGTAAATATAATCCTACTGGTATTTTAAGGAATTATTGCGTATATTTAAGTTGCAGCTGGTGCTAAACTAGTATGGGAACACCCCAATTTCATTTCAAAATTTAATTTTCTATGACATAAACAGCCAATTGGTAAAGTTTGACAAATCTCACTGCAGCCTCTATTTCAGAAAAATGACCTTAGCATATTACAAAAAGGTACGTTTCATCTCCCTCTACCTCCCATTCGAACAATTGACGTTAATCACGAGAAATACACAGAGATAGTGATTTCCATAAGCTAATGTCTTAAACAACAGTGTTGTCTGAGAATATATCATCACAGCTACTTACTTAAGCAAATTGCTTTCTTTAGATCATTGGTAATGTACTGCAGCTGCTTAAAATCAGACGTAAAGACGTGGGTCTTGTCTGGATCAGTTGCCATAGAATCAAGCTCCTTTGCGTTAAAGTACCTTCCCACTCCTACTGAGAAGATCGTGATACCACGGGCTCTTAATCGCTTAGATATGGCATACACGCCATCGATGGAGCCACCGTCAGTGATAACCACGATCACTTTCGAGGCACGTGACCGCCTACTTGTTCTAAACAGTCGCCTGTATGCACGCCTTAAGGCACGACCGGTTCTTGCTCCAGTCCTTGGGTAATAAATTGGACCGTTGAGAGCGGAAAATAGCCGAGTATTGCTTTGGTATCTGTCAAGGAAGATGAAAATTTGGTCACTAGTGTTCCGTTACAGAACGTGGAATTTGCTGAGATTAGTATCATTTAAACTTGATGCTTGCTGTATAAATATAGCACAAGTTAGTAAACAAAAGACTTCTGCTTTAAGTGTACAGCTACGGAGCCCTTCATGGTCTTCTCCAACGTAAAGCAGGGTGATCTGTTTGCCCTGGTAAAGTACCAGTTATTAACATTTTTCAAGAGGAACTTTTTAACAAATGAAATAAATTTTAGCCACTTAATACTCATGCCCACCTGCGAAAACCAAAGATGGTTTTTGGTCTTGTTCCGTAAACAACTAAAGACACTTGAGTGTTGGTTCTGGAGATCGCGAAGCCCATCGTGAGACCTCGGACAAAGTTGATGACTCTTCGGAAGTTACCGACACCATATCTTTCAACACTTGAAGATCCGTCCACCAGGAAAGCCAGGTCGATTTTAGCACTACAAGCTGTCGGGGTAAGAGAAATAAACGGCGATTAATTCTGTGAATAGATTCACAAAAACAACATCTAAATACATTACGACTGACACTTTCTAACATTTTAACTTAGAGACTACACACAAATCGTAGTTTTAAAAGAATCGTCGCTAAAAGACAATTCAGGGCAACGTCAATCCCTTTGCCCAGTTTTATGATAATGTTGGCTGATAAATGTATTTCTCAATAAGATTATATGAAATGTGTATCAGACTCACGATGCACGATGGCTTATTGGTGTGTGTACTAGCTTATAACAGAAAATTTCTCTTACCTTGAGCTTTTGTTGGTTTTGCTGCGGAGAGAAAAATTAATACAAGTTACAAAGTTTGCAAGGAATTTGGTTCAATGTTAGATAACTCCCAACAAATGGTTCAAAAGGATGAACCGATTGCACTGTGTTAGAACTCATTGATAAATAATGAAAGAACAAAGCAAAATTTAATTACATTCGGGAATGACCTGTCTCATTACTTCGTTCTTTCCCCTAATCCTCAGGGGTAAGTGTAAATTGAGATATATCGACATTGTTGCACCGTTTCCCAAAACACGGTCGATGTATGTATTAACTCATCCTGTATTCACTTTTTCAAAGCCACTTTTTTAAATTAACTTTTTATTTGTCAGAGACTCCTCAAAAGTTTTTTTTTCTCCATCGGTCTACTTTACATCTTCGTTTTTTTCGAGTACTTCAACATTGCGTTATTTTGTTTTCTGCACCCTCTTTTATCCGCTATTTTTCTCAGCATTACTTACGGCAAGGTGGACACATTCCAGGCAGCACTCGAGGTGAAACAGCAAACGACTGGTCAGCAGGATTATCAATTCTGTTTTCTTGCTTCATGGAGTCGTCATTAAAACGTCCCTTCACCTTGTCATCATCATCGTCATTATCATTTTCATCCTCATCTCTTGTATCGTTGCTGTCGTCATCTTCATCGTCGTCGTCATCATCTAAATCGTCGTCTTCGACGTCTACGTCTTCATCGATGTTTCCGTCCTGACGGGTCCCCTGTTTTTCCGACCCTTCTTTTTCGGCCTTTTCGTCAGCTTCTTTTTCCTGTTCTACGGCCTCTTTTTCGATTTCATCTTTATAGTCGTGCAGTTTAGAAGAATCGTCTTCGTTTTGTTGTGATTTGTCTTTTGCAGCATTTTTGGGAAGATAGTTCTCTGGTAACTTTCCGTCGGCATTTTTCTCACGTTGTTGTACAGCAGAAGAATACTGTGCTTTGGAGGCACTAGCAGAATCACCTTTCTCTGGAAACACACCTTTATCATCGCTATCTTCAGAATAACCGCCGTAAAACTGTTTTTCATTTTCTCTTCCGTTATACCCTGCGTAACTCTGATCAGTTCCGTTATACTCCGCTTGGTCATCGACACCTGAAATAATCTGTTTTATCTGCGGCGAGGCGTCTTTTGGATTTTGCTTAGTTTTCTCTCCATCTTCAAAAGAGATCCTTCTGGTTGCTGCTTTTACTGCGGTCGGCCGCGCTTTAATCGGTGCAGTATCGGTTCGGTCTTTAGTAGATGGTGCATTATTGGAGACAGCATACTGTGGTGGTGTTGGCACAATTGGAGACTGAAAGCTCAGGGAAACAGGAGGCTTGTAGCTGGAGTATCCGGGATAATTACCGTATCCTTGGAAACCGTTATACCCACCATTGTTTGAACCACATGGTGGTTTACCTGAAATAGAAAAAGAGTAAAATTGACATCAGTTTCTTTCATTTTTCCACTGCTCGCCCGCTTTTACTTACTGAGAGTCTGGCACAGACTACCGTATCATGGGAACTACTTAAAATAGAGGTCAGCAAAAAGAAGAGAACACCCTGTCTGAGGAGTAAATCTCTTCCAGTCTGTCAATGGTGTTATGCGCGTCAAAGCGACTTATCAGAGACCTTTTTTTATTCCGGTAAATGCAAAATTTGAGTATCCCAAGTCACGTTCGAAATCAGAACAGCAATCGCGCGTAGCTGTTAAGCGGAAAAGGAACATGTCCTGTTAAGATTCATTAACTGACTCACCTGGGCATATCATACTTGGTGGACAACATTGCTGGCTAGCATAGCCGTAAGGTCGTGGGGCTCCCCAAGCTATGATAGAAATAAGACAGCAATAAAGACTTTATTACGAATATAGGCACGACTAGGATCATTACTTCTGTTTAAATTTGGGCAATATTTACGCATTGTGCAATGACTGTGTGTAGCATGCAATTCGCGTGAACTTAAGCTGGCGCTGTATGAGTGAATACGTGCGTACAATCTTCGTTTGTTTCATTATTCTTTAAGTTAAGAAGATATAGGGGATTAATTGTGTCAGCTTGTCGCTCAGCATAAAAGCGAAGCTCAGTTCATTCAAGTCGAGCTGACGAAGTTTTTCCCCCATATCCTAAATTGAGACAACGTTCACAAGGCGCCACAAAATGGATCATCATACTTTTCTGGGAAACTGTCCACCTGCTCCTCCCCTAAGCCAACATTAACACTTAATTCTCACTTAGGAAAATGTTGGCTTAAGGGAGGGGAAGGTAGGCAGTTTCCCACAAACGTATAATGATGCGAAGTGAAGTTCATTGGTTTAGGTGTTGCGTTCACACGGAATCATCTTAACCGTACGAAAATTTAGACGCCTAACCGTTCAAAGTTCCGTGTGAACGGAGCGAAAATATTGAACGTCCCGTGTGAACGAAGTGTCCGGTCAAATTGTTCAGTGAGATGAAAATTCGTCTGATGACGTGTGAACGTCGGCTTAGTCACATTGGTATGATCGTAGAGCATTTTCTATTCAAATACAAAAAAAGCAGTCAGACCATTTCCTTGCATATAGAGGATATTACATGGCCGCGCGAGGATACGAATTTTATCTTCGAGTGCTGAAAGTATCTCTTTCAGCACGAGAAGATAAAATTCGTATCCCCAAGCGGCCATGTAATGTTCTGTTTATTTCATTCATTTTCGAAACAGCAAAATAGTCCAATTAAAGTGGTCACCTATCGAAAATTTGCCAGCTCATCGAGAAAGTCACCGGTAACTGTACCGTCTTCGCACCTCGAAGCCACTTTGTGAAAAAAATTTCAAAGAACCGGCCGCGCGCCTGAGCGGGAAGCTCTCTTGTAATTGGCTAACCATGTTAGTAATCATGGCGACACCAACATCCTCACACGTGAAAGATAAAAATAGTATCTTCACTACGTGCGATGAAGATATGATTTTTTAGTAAAAGGAAAAATCCTGGTATTTCATCAGTATCTATATAATAAAACAAGTTATGTGTCTTATATACCTAAGTTTTGCCTCTTCACTGGTTGTTCATCTTCTTCATTATCGGTAAGGAAATGTTCTTCTGATAACTTTTCACTTCCGTCTGCCTGTTCACCTGTTTCCTTGATTTTCTCGGCCTCTTGCTCAATTCCAGTTTCTTTCTTTTTGGTTTCTTGCATTGCGTTCATCAGCTCACTTGCACGGCTGGCGTATTGTGAAGAAGAAGACTGTCCCTTTTTGTTATCTACGATATCACTACTTTTCTCTATGTCGTCTAACATGGTCGTTCTATTACCTTTATATCCCCCGGCTCTTATAATCTCAGTGTCCCTATCATTTCCGTTTTTCCAGTCGCTAGTATCATACGTGTTGTTCTCCGCGTTGGTGGCGTTTGTTTCTAACAAAGTGTACCATTCACTTGAGTTGAGATTTCCCTCGGGGACGTGACTTAATGAATCATCTGTGGTATTACCATTATCTCCACTATTATCTTCTGTACCTCTTTTTGACGAGTATTAGCTACATAGTAATACTCCGTCGATTGTTCGGCATTATCGTCATCGACATCGACATCTCTTTTCTCTCGGAATGATGGTTTCCCACTCTGGAGCATGTCCGTTGAGATGTCAGTTCTGAAGTCAGCATGCGTATACCATTCTTGAGTAATACAGTGGTCTGCTAAAAGAAGCAACAGCGTGCTTCTAAGCAGTAAGGGAACTAGCATCTCAAACCTGAGAAGAAATATAACATAGGTTAAGTTGTATTAAATATACCGCTCCCTTATTTGGCCTAAATGGGTATAAGCCATCGAACAAGGTATGGTTTCCGGGGTCTCTAGTCTTTAAAAGGATAAAAAAATTCATTTCTTGGCATCCTTAACAGGGTTTCTCTCTGTACCAAAAGCCTTGAACATGGCGTGAGCTAATCGCGTATCCAGAGCCTTCTGGCTTTTGGTCAGCGAGGCAAAAGCCAGAAGACTCTAGGTATGAGATTGGGCGTGAGCTTAGGCGAAGCGCAAAGTGCATGTGTGATGCTAGCCTACGTAGGAAGCGTTTCCGTGCGGTTTCGGAGAAAAGAATGAGGAACGAGAGTCAAAGACCGCGCATTTCTCGCGCGGCTGAAACCGAAAATCCCGTTCCTCGGTCTTTCTGTGCTACGAAACTAAACGAAAACGCTTTTCTTTCACAATATAATTCTAATGGACAAAACAATCAATTCTGTAGGAGAATGAGCTGGAGCAGGGTCACCAAAAAAAGGTTATTTGCCTTCAAAAGGGTACTGAAAGGAATGGATTTCGTTTTAAACAGAATCAGACTTTGCGGGCATCGGTGGCACACTCCCACTCAAACTTACCGTAAGAGCCGAAGCCAAAAAAATACACCGTAACTTTTTCATTCAAGATACTTTATGCTTAAATCTTTTAACGAGTTCTACCTTAAACCATATCATAAATTTAAGTTTTATAAACTACACTTATTCTTTCGAGTGGAGCATAATATTGCCTTCACTGATAACAAATTTTCAACCGTGTTAACACAGTAACAAGGTTTGGAAGCGTTACAAATTTCAAAGAAACCCAGATAAAAGAGAAGCAAGTCTTTCTCTCGGAAATACAAGACTTCTTATAAAACAAAACCCGGTGGCAAGAATAACAACAGTGCGAGCCGACAAAAAAACCTAAGCTCTAACTTCTCTTTTCCGGTTGTTGTAAATCAGCAAATTTCACGGGACAGTACAGTACCATCCATCTTAGCATAGTTAGTAGATATGACGTAAGACATTCTTAGATTTAAGAGTAAAATCTCGTCTTTCACTTGCCACCCACTGGTTTGTCCTAACACAAAAGACAATACACCTATTGTCTAGTGAAAGAGCCATCGTATATAGGTTAAACAGCAGTAGGTTCTTATTTTCATAAGGTTGTGGACGCCTGCATTTGGGTCAAGTTTATGTTGTTCACTTAACACAGTCGTATTAACTCAATCCTGATTTCAGAGTTATAGATAACATATTTTAACATCCACCTTAATAAGACAATCAACTACACAATTTATTTTTACTTCCAGAAGAGTCTTTCCAGGAGCCCCACATGAATGCCATTGTCATATACGTAAATAAAAAAGAGTTAAGCAAAGAAATTTGAAAGGTTTTCATTTTTTTACTGCAATCAACAGAAAATTCCCATAAACTGCAACAAAATCCCTTTTTCAATTGTTTCACTTCATAATAAAAGGATATTTCAGTCGTTATGTCTATTGTGTAGAATGACTTGTTCTATGAATGGCACAACTCACCTTGCAGCTTACACTAATACATTTCGCAGGACATTTTCCAGAAAACGAGTCTTCAATTAAATGCAGTAATATGATTTTACAACAAGATGACTAAAAAATTCATGTCTTATAATTTTTATCTCATCATCCACCTGTACCAATCAGGTCTGTTTAAAACTTTTCTGCCAAACAAAAAAAAACATTGCTTATATTTTAGAAATATGTGTTATTACTTTAAAAAAAAATGAAGTGTGTCGTAGATACTCTTCACTCCCCAAAATGAATTTTCTAATCCTATATTTTTTACCGGTGCGATTATAGATAGAAAAACAGACTGATCATAAAAGCCGGGGAAGTTCAAAGGCGAAACTCTTGAAGGCACAATTTTTTTAACTCAGCGGTCACTAATATCGTCAGTTGTTACGAGGTGGTTTATATTGTACACTGTAGAAGGTCAAGGCCAACTACAGTTAATAATAACAAAAAAACTGAATTTGTCAGGGCTTTCAAAACAATTTTAATTAAGTTATATTCATTCGATATCAAGTGGTCTCTCTCCTTTACTTCCGCCCAAACCTTTCACGAGGGTTTTGGCAGGTATGTACATTTTTCGTTTGTAAAAATAACGGATTTGTTTTAGCTGACCCTTTAACTACCTGCATTATAAAATACATGGCCCTGAAAATGACTTCATACATTTCTTTACAAATGATCTTTTGAAATCCAAAAATTCAAAAGGGTTTGGAAGGGTACCAATCATTAAACGTTTGTCTTAACTGATGATGCGACAAAGAAAAATGCTTTGAAACTTGCACGGGTGACATCCCAGTACCAGCACACTAACATAAATATTCTCTTTGAATTCTAGTAAATTCTGCTACAGGTAATACAGTCGAACCTCCATGTGCGACCACCTCCCGTAAGCGACCACTTCCCATAAGTGACCGCCTATCCAAAACTCCAAACTTTTCCTACTCAAATTACTATACTCGGAACCAATCGTAAACGACCACCTTTCGTAAGCGACCACTTCCGATAAGTGACCACTGACCTAAAACACCAAAAATTTCCACCTCAAATTACCATACTCGGAACATCTCGTAAATGACCACCTCCCATAATTGACCACCTATTCAAAACACCAAACATTTTCCACCTCAATTTACCATACTCGGAAAATCTCGTAAACGAACACATTTTGTAAGCGACCACCTCCCATAAAAATGACCACCGATGCAAAACACCTAAAATTTCCACCTCAAATTATCATTTTCGGAACATCTCGTAAACGACCACCTCTTGTAAACGAGCACCTCCCATAAGTGACCACCTATTCACAACACCAAACACTTTCCACTCAAATTACCATACTCGGAACCTCTCGTAAACGACCACCTCCCATAAGTGACCACCGATCCAAAACACCAAAAATTTTGAACTAAAATTACCATACTCGGAACATCTCGTAAACGACCACATTTCGTAAGCGACCACCTCCCATAAGTGGCCGCCGACCCAAAACTCCAAAAGTTTCCAACTCAAATTACCATACTCG